ACTTGGTCCTTGGAGGAAAAGACCCCCAGCAGACTGAAATCCTCTACAGAAGGTATTTGCGCAAGGGGGACATTTACTGTCACGCTGATATCCGTGGCGCTGCGCATATTGTGATAAAGAACAATCCAAACACACCAGATGCCCCTATTCCCCCGGCAACTCTGTCACAGGCAGGGTCACTGTCGGTATGCACCTCGGAAGCCTGGGATTCCAAGGCAGGCATGGGCGGATGGTGGGTGAATGCGGACCAGGTATCTAAGTCGACCCCAACAGGAGACATTCTACCTGCTGGGAGCTTCACAATTCAAGGAAAGAAGAACTATCTTCCTCCGACGCAACTTTTACTTGGTTTGGGGTTTACGTTCAAGATTAGCGAGCAAAGCAAAAGCAAGCATTTGAAACACCGAGTACACGACGAGCGCTCTTCATTGGGAGCCTCTGAGACTGAGACAGCAGGCGAAGATGAGTCACAAGCTGCCGAAGAAAATGATGATTCCGAAGATTCGGGCGCCGAGTCAGAAGAAAATCAGCCTGGTGACGACAAACGAGCCAATCCCCTGCAAGGCTCTGGCGACGAGGATGAGGTCACAGACGACACAGCAGACAAGTTGGTAGCTGTGAAGATCAGTGACGAGCCTGAGAACGATGAAGCTGAGCCATTGACCGTGGATGTATCTAAAGAGGAGCTAGGAGAGGAAGGAAAAGAGGCAGATACAGTTGAAGAAGAGGATGATATCGAGGAAGATGAAGTGACACCTTCTGAACAGGCCACTGAAGTCTCCGACGCCCCTACACGAGCTTCTGATGCTGCTTCATATACAACGAGAGCCTCGACGGCCACGAAGAAAAGAGGCCAGAAACGTAGACAAAAGGGAAAAGCGAAGAAGATTGCTCAGAAATACAAGGACCAAGACGAAGAGGACCGCGCCACAGCAGAAGCACTGATAGGAGCAACGATAGGACGACAAAGGGCCGAAGCAGAAGCCGCCGCGAAAGCCCAGCGCCAGGCCGAGCTGGAAGCCCAGAAGGAGCGCCGGCGGGCTCAGCACGAGCGGAAGCAGAAGGAAGTCGCGGAGCAAGAGGAGATTCGCCGCGCCATGATGAACGAGGGCCTGGACGCTGGGGAGCCTGATGAGGCGGAGAAGGCGACGAACTTGGACACGTTGGTTGGCACGCCGCTGGCGGGAGACGAGATTTTGGAAGTCCTTCCCGTTTGCGCACCGTGGAGCGCCCTGGTTCGATACAAGTACAAGGTTAAGATGCAGCCGGGCTCCGTGAAGAAGGGCAAGGCGATCAAAGAGGTGTTGGAGCGGCTGAAGACGGACTCTGCCAGGAAAGGAGTGATAGATGAGGCGGCGAGGGATTCAGAAAAGATGTGGCCGAGGGAGGTAGAGCTCATCAAGGGACTCAAGCCGGAGGAAATTGCCAACAGTGTGCCAGTTGGCAAGCTGAGAGTCATGATGGCTGGAGCCAGTGGAGGAAGTGGTTCCGGTGGTGGCGGCGGCGGGAAGGGCAAAGGTGGTGGGAAGAGTCAAGGGAAGGGAGGTAAAGGGGGCAAAGGATCAAAGAAGTAGACTAGAGATGGGTTTAGAGAGAGTGAGCAAGCCTGCATATATGTGTATAAGTATATATCTATATATGCCTATATATAGCTATAAATAGTCATCATATCTTGGGAAATTAGGACGCAATCGTAATCGTGCCATGTCATTCGTTTCCTAGCCTCATACCGATCCCAAACCGGTGTCGTTCGAACAAATATCAAATCAAGTAGAAACCATCATATTTCATACATCTCACTAACATATACATCTATATGTAATGTAGTTTGTAGGTTTACCAATTTTACTTACCTAGTATTCTCCATTCTTCGTATCTCATTGGGCATCCGAGCAATGCACAGCTCGCGGCAAAACATCCCCCACTCGCCGCTCGTAGCCTCGCGCACGGCATCCTGCAGGTCGATGCCGTAGCGCTCGCGGTAGGCCCTCTTGACGTCTTGCATGTGGAACGAGTCCCAGTGGAAGCGGACGAGGCGCGAGATGAGCAGCTCCCGGCGGAGCGAGTCCTTGCGCGAGGCGGTGATGGCGTGTTGCAGGAGGAGGGCGTCTCGGACGGGGCGGTTGATGACGCCGTTGAGGATGTGTGCGAGGAGCTCGCCCTAGATTGAAAGAAGCATTCGTTAGCATTGGATTTTCATAAACCTCTTAAAAACAGAGTTCGCAAGGGGGATGGAAAGAGAATAGTTACATACCACAAGGTTGTTACTCTTCTTGAGCGCGTCACGGGCAAAGTTGCTGCGGTATTGGTGTTCATACTCCTTGAGCACAGCACGCAAATGGCTGTCGCTTCGCTGGACGACAATGGAGATCATCAACGTCTCCCCACCCTTCTCAGATTTGACCGCCTTGTGCAGGTCATCGACGTCCTGATCGATGAGCTTATAGTCAAGCGGGAGCCTGCGGCCCTCGTAGTCAAACTCCTCCATGCGGCGCTCATCCAGAACCATCAAGACGGCCTTTTTGAACTTGTCCTCCTTGAGCTCCGTCTTCATACACTTGGTCAGGCTGTTGTCATACTTCTTGTCGGAAAAGGAGTCCTTGATGCGGCGAATCTCTTCGTTTGTGCGCCCCATGAGTGACTCAATGAGCAGCTCGCGACGGGTCTTGTCGCCTTGGTACCAGAAGTTGGCCCAATAGGCCTCGCTCTCCCACTTGCCAAGAGCGACGGCGTAGCATGCCTTCATGAGAAGTGGATCTTCGTCCTTGAAGCGGGCGCGGATGTGCTTGGCGATGTTGACGCCCTTGCGGTCCGTGCCAGTCTTGACGATGTGCTTGTACTCGGAGCGGAGCTCCATGACTTGCTCATGCGACAGGCTGGGAAGGATTTCAATGAACGGCGCAACATCAGGCTTGTGAGTGCCCTTGAGAGCTCGCGCAAGACGAGAGGAAATGTCCTCTGTATCATGGAAGCGAGCCCGTCGATTGAGTCTGGTGCCATCGCCCTCACCGTCAGAGATGGGCGACAGGGCATCCACGACTCTCGGGAGATCTCCCGGGTGCTTGGACGCGAGAAGCAGAGGAGAGGGCATGGGTGAGCAGTTCTGATATGTGCCATGGTATGATTCAAGCAGCGGAGAAGCCGGTGCCGAGGCAAGCGACAGGCTTGCGCCTCGGCCAGTATTGACCGTCAGCGTTGACATGCGGCCGGTAGGCGGCTGTGGTGATCGGTCTCGGCCGCTTCGCCCGTCCCTCGACCGGGAGCGCGAGCGGTCACGGCTGGCGGCGTCCACCGTCAGAGTGTTGGACCGTCGGTGACCCCTGGGATCGTCCCGATCCGAGTCCGAGTGCTTTCGAATGTCCACCGACTGAGAGCTGCGATGGCCGCTGGACCGGCCCGAGTGTGGCGGCGGCACGCCGTAGGCCAGATTGTCCACGTCATCGAGTAGGCCGTGACCATACTTTTGTGGCAGATATTTCAGCTTGTCGTCGTCCGGGTACGGCAGATGGCCGCCAGATCCACGAGGGGATCGCAGGTCGTCATCCGGGTACACGTAGCTGGACTCGCGCGAGTCGCCGTACGAAGGCCGCGACTGCCTAGGCTTAGGCTCCTCGATGAAGCGGCCATCGCGAGACCTGGACCTGGCCCTCGGGTTGGTGATTGAGGACAGGGAAATGGTCGCGCCGGGATGGTCCATGGCTTTGGAGCTGGGGCGCGGGGTGGCGTCTGGGGGAGGGGAATTTGGGTTTGTGAAGCCGCTCGTTAGTGCGATCCACCGGAAGCTGTCGAGAACCGGCGAGAACAAGCGCAGATTGGACCTGATCTCTGGCGAACAGCGACAATGGCAACGGCGAGAGATGGTGATGGAGGAGGAAAAGAGTAAAAAGACCAGACGAAAAGAACGCTGGAGCCTCTCTACATGGGATGGCGGTTACAGACTCAGCGCATATGCACCTAGCTGGGGGCTGCTAGTAAACTCCAGGCCACCTGCATGTGCGCTACGCCTTACCGTGGTTAGAGCGCAGAGCCGCTGCACGAGGTGCGGCAGTTCCAGCGAGCTGAGCGCGGTGAAGGGCTGCCAAAGAGGTGCAAAGAGGTGCCAGGGCCGTGCCTATCGCTGCTGATCGCTTCGCTTTCATTCGATCCAGACGGAAGCTGAGCGAAGCATACAGTACGCATATGACGCTGGACTGCTTTTCGGTGTCAAATGTAGATAGCACTTGAGAGTGCTTTGATACCTCACGCAACCACTGAGTTGAGTGCTACCATGTAGTCTACGGCTCAATCATTGAGGCAATAGTCGTGGGAATTGAATCCTTCCTGCAACAACCCACAAATCAGAAGCTTGGAACACAGCAGAGCAAAGCTAAATACAGGCGCGTGCCTCGAAGAATAAACACCGATTCTACATGGTCAAACGCATTGAAACTCCCGTCATACGAGTGCTACAGTGGTGCTCTATTTCCTCGCACTCACACCAACCAGCCTTACAGAAGATGGTGGGTGGATGGCGCCCTCTCCTCTCTCCTCTCTCCTCTCACAGCCATCATCGTATCCGCATCTGCGTCTGTGCTCCTGTCCCTCGTATGTACGAGTACAGTTAGTATCTGTACTGTAGAGTAATGCAGGCATCAGTCTCTCTGTCTACACCGACTAGGAAAAGGCCAGCATGACCCGACACTAGTGCCGGTGCCAGCGGGTTTCCCTGCAGAGCCTCAATCATGTGCTCGACATGGCGACAGCCGTTTAAAAATAAAGGCTCCCGTGAGTGCAGGTAAGCTTACTCGGCCACTGTGCGTGTTTCGATTGAAGGGACCTGGACATACATGCATCATGATGGGACTCGGGCAGCGCCGAGAAGGGCGGGGAGTCAGTCTTGTGTGGAGTGTATACAGTCCATCCATGGCATGTTGAGTCTGTCCGACCTTTCGAGCTATATCTGATGAAACACATAGATTGATTGCATCTTATTAGGAACATAAACAGCAACCATTCAAAGAACCAACATCAATTATGTGCTTAATTTAACACTTTGATTTCTATTTCACTCATCTCACTTCCATACTGGGCTCTATATCCACAAAGTATGGGCATCATATGTACGTCCTTCCCCTTGCGTCTCGAGACACGTCATATTCATTTCCACATTCACTTCCACTTCCACTTCAACCCCGACTTGATTCGTCCTCTCAACTCCCACTCCCGCTTCAACTTGATTCGTTGGGCGCTCTTCCGCCTCTCAGAAAGACGTACAATGCTTCATCCTTGCCCGCAAAGCTTGGCAGGGGAATCTGTACCACCTTGGTCCACTCTGGGTGCTCTTGCTCCATAAACACGTCCATTGTCATGCTCTTAAAGCCCGTGTATCCATTTGCATTCTGTGTTCCAACAACCGCAATTGTGTCTCCTTGGAAGGCATTGACAAGACCCCTGGTGAAGCTACCTTCGGTGCCTCCCCCGATGCCTCCTCCGACAACGGGGTAGACGAGCAGCAGGACCAAATCTTTGCCGCTGTCGTTCTTTCGTAGCCACTGGACGCCATCCATGATGACGGTATCATCAACCCAATTGACCCTCCACTCGCTCTGCATGTTATCCACTGGATAGACCGTCAGGCCGTACCGCCGAAGCAGAAACGTCCAGTACCCATTACCCGAGCCCATATCCGCAACCGCTCGGCCATCCGCCAGCAGTCTCAACACTGCAAGGCTCTCGTGTGACGGTGTTGCACAGCCAAAGTGATGCATGAAAATAGGGAGCACATGGTGGCTCGTTGCCACCCGCTCAGACGAAGCGCACGGCCCGCACCACTCTAGATTGCGGCACGACCAGGCCCAAAAGTCAAAGTACGGGTTCTGGCTGGGCGGCTGCTTGGACTTGGGAATGGTTAGCTGTGAGGCCAATGCCGGGTGTACGTAGCGCTTCTCTGCCAAGTGCCGCGCGGCCTCGGACCGGATCGACGTCTTCTTTGCGTTGGTCTCAAAGTTCTTGAGAGCAGACGCCGTGGCCGTTGAGGGGCTGAAGATGGAGATGTACGCCTCGATATCTGGTAGCGGCGGCGGCTCTCTCTGCAAGTCTTTGCTTTCAGTTACAGTTCCATTGACTTGTGCAAGGGAGTGAAAGGGCAATTGAGCTTACAGCTGTGCCATCCTCGTCACGATACCAAGCGTGTAGATTATTAACGCCGCCCAGTCCGACAACGTGCTGCACCTCGGCCAGCTTGACACTTGTCATGGCATGATACGTAAAGGTGTCCCTCTCGGGAAGACTAAGCAGGACGCGGCTGGCGTTGTATAGGTCGTTTGCTGCCAACAGCTCGCGGGCTTGCTGGAGCCTGGGGGCATCCTCGATGACTTCATCTGGAGCGAAGGACGGGCTGCCAACGCAGCGAGGCGCTTTTGGAGTGCGCGACATGGAATTGGATGGTTCAATTTACTGGTGAGGCGACTGGTAGATATGAGATGAGCTGCATAGAGATGTTAAGCCTGGAGTTGAAGATGAGAATGAGTGGGAAAACTATGAGTTGGCGTTGATATGATGGACTTGAGCATCTAGACTACATGTGCCAATGTCCGAGAAAAAAAAGTGGGCTATAGAGCCTACGGCGGTGTTATTCTTGGGGTTTCCGCAGAAATGTCGGAGTTAAAAAGAAACCTTGAGACGTGCTAGTAAATAAGTATTCGGCTGAGGGGAAAAAAAAAGTTTTAATAGGTGTTCTTTGATGTAATCGGCCTCAGTATACAGGGTAGTTCTAATGGATGAGCATGTGGGAGTGAGAGGTATAGCGAAAGCGAGGAGACATGAGATGAGTTGACTTACATTAGCAAATTAGTACTCACTCACTTCAATTGATATCATGGATGGATTGTCTTGCTGCTCACTCACTAGTCCTAGGTTAAGGCAGTTCCCTGTCAGTTTAGTTCAATGAGCGGCGACTGCCGGCTCAGCTGGAGTCAGATCCGCCCGCGCTGAAAATCCCCCGCCAACTGCTAACCAAGTGCCAGTTTGAGAGGGGCATCAGAAGGTTATTTCTTGCATTCGGATCAAGATGCCCCAGCCGGCCAGGACCCTTCTCTTCCATCTAACAAGATCTTGGTCGAGCTTCTGCAGGTACAAGCAACAGATACACGCAGTTGGCTGCTCAATAACATGCGTGAATGAGTGAATGGGTGGATAGTGCAGTATGGACCGTGCAGAGAGAGTGTACAGGCATAGCACTCCCACCGCATCCTCATATGCATGTGCTTCCCGTGTTAGACCAGACGAATTGTTGGTTGGCTCGCGCATCCTCCGAGCTGTATGTTGGCCCTGTAGCACTATTACGACGCACTACTGACTCCAGCTAACGAATAACTGATAGCACACACGACTCGCAATGCAATCCCTCCTCTACCGCATTGACAGGCCTCAGCGTCCCTGCTTCCAGCTGTTGGCTCTGCCTTGCACGGATCACCGATCAAATCTGAGTGTGACGCACCCATGGGCCATTCAAGCCGGTGGCGTCCCCCCCTGACGGCTCTGCCCCCCGCCTCTAAAGCTGCTTGTCTCGAAGCCTTCAGCTGCCATTACGTTTGGTGAACGCCGACTATATCAGGCCCTGTCCTTCTAGTCCCCTAGTGGCCTTGGCTAGATCCCGTCTGTCAAGTGCTAATGCAGAGCGAACCTTGTTCTTTGATCTACATTCCAGCTTCCCCCACCACCTGGCCCTCGACACCTCTCTCATATCTCGATTCTACACTCCTTGAATCAATCAGATCCAATAGCTCAGGTGCGACTTCACCTACATGACTCTGTTCTGCTCTGCTCTGCTCTGCTCTGCTCTGCTCTGCTCTGCTCTGTTCTGCTGTTCAGTCTGTCCTTGAGCTCCCCTGGAACCTCGCGGCCAATCTCCATCTTGTCTCTCTAAAGGCGGCACGAGATCAGCATAATCGTTTCCCCGAGACATTGCGGCCTCCAGTCTCCCGAATGAAGACAAGATACGTATTTTGCCCAACGAGCGCTGTGTCTACCAGCCGGGAGATAAATACATACTCGGGCGTACCGTCCGTGACCTGATTCCACCGCTTAGCGACACTCATATTTCTTCGAGCAACTCCAGCCGCTCATTTATTGGTCTTCTTCTTTCTCTCTCACATCGGGTTAGCTATGAAATACTCTTCTACCTCATCTCATTTCGCCATGGATCGGTATTTGCAAGATACCTTGGAAGCTCCATCTCATAAAATACCAGACTCCTGTACCAGCAATGGCACGACGAGTACTGGTAGCCATTCGGCTAGCTCTCCAAGGGCGAGCAATACCACCATTAGCAGCACCACCAGTGATGCTTTAAATGGCGAGCATGAATCTCAGTATCATGCTCGTTCACAAGTCAATAATCAGCTGGACTATAAACTGCCGCCCTTGCAACTACACGGCACTGAGCAAGGGCTGACAGACAATCCACATGGGCAAACATACCAAGATACAAACAGCGAGATCATCATACCGCCGCTCAATCTCACGAAGAAAAACGAGGGACAGCCAGCTGATAGGGAGTCCGCCCCGTTGGGACATGCTGCTAGGCCAGAGTCCATAGTAGCTCCTTTAGCCCATCCAAATGGCGTCTCTATGTTTCCAGAGCTGTCCACTTCCGAACAAGAGCAGTTATCTATCGAAGCTCTTGAGGAAGCCGAAGAGTCCATCATCGCTGATAGTGCAGAGAGCACCGATGGCGGAGCTGACGATACATCATCTGATGCCGGCTATGACAGCGACAGTGCCAGCTCAGCGAGCACATCTGCCATGTCCTCAGTCCGCGATTACATGTTTGAGAATGGCCGCCGCTACCATCGATTCCGTGAGGGTAGCTATAACTTCCCCAATGAAGACATCGAGCAGGAGAGGGAAGACATGAAACATGCCATGGTCAAACTCCTGTGCAATCAGAAATTACACTTTGCCCCCATTGGCGACAATCCCCAAGAGATTCTCGACATAGGAACGGGGACGGGTATTTGGACGATTGAGAGTAAGTAGCTACCGTCACCACTTTTGCTCTACGAACTCTATTAACGCCCGGATCAACTAGTGGGAGACAGATTCCCCAGTGCTCACATCCTGGGAATCGACCTTTCGCCTATCCAGCCGGATTGGCTGCCGCCCAACGTTCGCTTCATGATAGACGACGTAGAATCGCCGTGGCTGCATTCTCGAAACCATTTCGACTATATTCACTCAAGACACACCGTCATGGCCATCCGAGATTGGATGAAACTCTTCCGAAGAGCCATAGAGTAAATCTAACCCCCCACTCTCCCAACCATGACGGCTACATCTACTGACCGACACACCACCATCAAGGCATCTCAAGATCGGCGGCTGGATCGAGCTCCAAGAAATCCACCACACCCCAAGAAGCGCCCTTCCAGGCGGAAACGGAGAATTGGCCCCAGATCACCCCGTCGCCCGCTTTTGGAAGCATGTGACGGACGGCCTAGCCGCCCTTGGCATCGACCTGGATGCCGTATCCGATGGACGACTAGCCGACACGATGCACCAGGCAGGCTTCAACAATGTCACGGAACGCGTGCTCCATGTGCCCATCGGGACGTGGCCCAAGAACAAGGTCCTCAAGACGGTCGGCCTCTACTGGCGGACCATTCTCCTGGACGGGCTGCAGGCCATTGCCATGGGTCCGTTGACTCGGGGCCTGGGTTGGAACCGGGAACAGGTCGAGTTGCTCCTGATCGAGGTTCGGCGGGCCTACTTTGACAACTCCCAGCTCATGTACATGCCGTTCCATGTCATTTACGGGCAGAGATCGTAGTGTGACGTAGATACTAATCACTTGTCTTGAATTCGGCAAGACAGTATATGTCTTGGATTAGTATTTGGAAGTGCCTGTACTACCCCACTACTATGATAGTTTAATTACATATTCTTCTTCTATATGATAGAGTTCATTAAAAGCTCGGTTCAAGCCGTCCCTATGAACAACTTAGTGAAAAGGTTTAATTACAATATGACAATACAAATGAGTTGTGCTCTGCGTGCCCTCTCTGCTTTGTTTATTGATCCATACATTCGTTGCAGTATGAGGCACAACAATGAACATACTCTGCACAAAGGAACTCACTGGAAACCAAAGAAAAAAAAAATGACAGCTCTGCAACTAAGCGGTGAAATGTGGTTCAGTCTGATACAGCATGAAGTCAGGGATGATGGCTGGAGGGAGAGCGACCACTAAGCGCAGCCGTGATATACGAATTGGCCAACGAGATCACCCGCTCGTGATCCACTTGCACCTCTCGTCGACTACCAAAGAGGAACGTCCGAGACCTTTGCTTTTTGCGGCCAACACGGCGTCTCGGCCGCAGTTTTTAGCGTCCGTCGCAATATGGAGCTGCACGTCTGGCCGCTCTGGGAGTGCTGTGTACAACACTTTCCCCCATATCAGGAGACGGCAGTGACAGCAAACAGTCTCACAAATGGCTTCACCTGCCTACAGCACGTCCCTCTTGGGCAGTGGCGCTGGGGACCAGCTCCCGGGGGCGTTCTGACCAGGGTTTCCCGGCGATATCACAAGCAAGACGGCCAAGTTTGCGGACGCAAGGGCTGAGCGAAAGCTGAAAAAGCGGCAGGAGACGGCTGGCCTGCTGAATCCCGAAAAGTGACATGTGCTCAGTCCAAGACGCCGAATATCACGCTAGCTCAGAGAATCCCGATAGTGGAGGACCCTGACGGAGCTGTTTGCCGTTCTCCTGCCTGTTTATGAGAAGCTGGGGACAGATCATTAATCGTAGTAGCATAAAACCATCTTTGCCAGGTGATACAGGAGATGGCCGACGTACAAGCTTGCCGGGGGTGGCGTGCGGTCCGCGCCTTAATGTTTGCGGCTAATGTAAGAACGTATCAGCTTGAAAGAAAGGGCACGATGGGGAGTCAATTTGTGGAGAGAAGAGGAGCTGGATATCCAACAACCGCACTGTTGGCTCCAAGCCATCATGGTTTCAACTTATGCTGCCTTAGCTTGAGTAGTGCAGAACTCGTTGCACGATACTCGCAGTCTACCCCTGCCATAGTCGGGACCAACACATCTCCAACATCTATAATTTGTAATAGCCTGAAGATTGTGGTCTTGTCGTTGACTCTGACGTTGCTCGAAACGGTGACCTCGGGATATATTTTCCTCGAGGGTCGTGATCTGATCTCGCTGACGGCGATTAGCTACCTACCCGGGTTCTGCACGAGACAATGACTGGCATTGGAAACGGGTACTTGGTACCCGAATGCATCCTCAGAGCACCACCTTGGGATTGGGTGCTCCGTAATTCTGGAGACTGATGCCGCTCTAGGCTGTCGGGGATCGCGGATTGGAACACCATACGGTCCATACCTGACAAGGGTTCTGTTAGCCTCCGGCTCCTGCATCGATCGACCCAGGCTTACAGTAAGAGTACGGCGGCGTAGATGCGGAGACTGTCGGCCACAGGGACGGAATATGTTGGTGCTCGTACTCGTAGTATCGTATCAATGCAAACAGCTGCAGCTGTGCCTTCTGGGATCGGGGTTAGTTTAATTGCTGTGAGTCTCCGTGTCTTGAAAACGGTACACTGGCCTCTTCTTCTTCTTTCTCCTCTGCTCCCCCCTCTCTCCATTTCTTTCCTGCTGCGGCCGTAACCAATTGTTCAACCTGCGTTTCTCGCCTGACAACAGTGCGCTCGTTATGAAATAAATGACGGCAGCATCGACAACAGCGAACAGTTGAAGAGAAAACTCTGACTGGTCAGAGAAGAAATAAAGCAAAGAAGAAAAGGTCGGCGCTTAAAAGAGACTCGAAACGGAAGTACCTGAATACGACACATCGTATCGCTGCTTCCCTTACGCAAGAGGGTCCTCCACGAGCTCTTTCCACTTCTGGTGACATTGTCTGCGAAAGCAACCTCAGGCAGATTTGGCCTTATTGTATGTGTAATACCTTGTTTCCTTTTACATGTTATCTTATCTGCTTCAAATTTCTTTCTTGGAAACATCTCCTTTTGTCTATTGACCGTTGAGGTCACTGCGTGAATGCTCCAGTGGGCATGCCAGCACGGCCTCGATGATTCTGACCTCTCTACATATGAGAGAGAAGAAAGGAAACGAAATTGCCAAATCATAGGCATGCTCTCTTGTATATGGCTAGAGCTGCAGGAGGCATCATCTATGTCACAATTGTCACCTGATTGTGAGACTTGGAGGCATAGGGAAGTCTTCAGCTGGTCACTCGCTTCATGAGACGCCGTTTCTTCTCCGTTGTCGAACTTGCTTCCTAGACACGCCTATGAGACAAAAGCTATGTCTGATATGCACGATCGGAAAGCATAGACGAGCATCTCCCATGGCGAATGCAGCCCAGAACTTTGGTGGCTCTAGTTGCTGAAGTATGGCTATCAATCCTCAAGAGAGTAGTGACATCAGCGCTTAGGACAACGGCCAAGAGGATCGTTTCTATATGCTGCGAATTGTGACCACATGGCGGTGAAATTTCTTGCAAGTTTGCAGAATGGGATAGGCCTAGATGATGGTCTGATCTTTTTGTTTTGTGGGTACAGGCCTTGGACTGTTTACAATGTTGGCCATGATCCCTCATTGCCAAGCGTCTGGCAAACGGAGCTGTGGCTATACTGGCCATTACTCTTCTTGCTGTTACCCCCTAATCATTTTCACTCAGACGTCTCTATTCTTTCCTTTTGTTTCATGCTGGAACTCATCTCGTTTTCTAACTTTACGTCTTTTAGCCCTCTATTTAGTTCATGATGGCAAAGCTTAGAGTCCCATCGTGGATGTCCTCCGAGCGCAGCGGATCTACAGCCAGCACGGATGTCGCCAAAAAGAGACTCAGTCGGCGATCTTTTCCTGGGCTTTCTCCTGTAAGGTCGAAAGACGAGTCTTTACAAAAGAAGGAAGAAGAGCAGAATGAAGTCACAGAAGTAGAATCTGCCGACTCTCGAATGCTTGTGCTGGCAGAAATCATCCGCGTTGAAACCGAGAAGCTGCAAACGTACCTCAAGGCGAATGGAATAGCTCAGCCAAGTCTCAGCGTCGATGGACCAGACGATTTCCCTCTGTTGCCCGATGAGATACAAAAGAGCCGCCAAAAGATTGTTTTCGCTACTAAAGAGCTTACAAACATCGTCAGGGGTCCTCGAGAAAGCGTCAGATATGATGTTTGGAGCGTAAGTTCTGCCTCTGTTCCAATTTCGCTCCTGTGTTAACTTGACTTGACAGTACCTGGATACCTTGAGCCTGCAGCTAATTAATAGCTATCAAATTGGTACGGCAGAATGAACCTTGATTTTTGATCCTTGACTAATTTTGGTGTAGCCAAACTCGTTCCACTGGACACTCCCATCAAACTAACTGAGCTTCAATCCAAAACTCCGTTGGAACCTATCAACCTCGCTCGTGCTTTACGGCATGCGATGACCAACAATATATTCTGCGAGCCATCTCCAGGCCTCATTGCCCATACTGCAAATTCGCGTCTCCTAGCCCAGGACGCCTCGCTCCAGGCCTGGATTGGCTTCAATTCAGAAGACATTTTCCCTGCTGCTGGTCATGTTATGCAAGCGTTGAAATCTCACCCGGAGGCAACCTCTTTGACTCACACGGGGTTCAATTTCGCTTTCAGCACGGTTGGAGAGGAGCCCATGTTTGAGACTCTTGGTAAGGATCCAGTCAAGGCCAAACGCTTTGCTAATGCGATGCTCAGTTTCACAAGCGGAGAGGGTTATGAAATTAGCTATTTTGTAGATAACTATGACCTCTCCGAGGTGAATGAGCGCGGGGGCACACTCGTTGATGTCGGTGGCAGCCACGGCTTCGTGGCTGTAGAACTGGCAAAAAAGTGGAAGAACATGAAGTTTATCGTGCAAGATTTGTCTAAAACGATAAACACTGCCCCGAAACTAATTTGCGAGGATGCAACCGTGGCAGAGAGAATCTCCTTGCAAGTCCACGATTTCTTCAAAGAGCAACCTGCCAAGGGTGCTGATAGTAAGTCGCTTCTCACTGGTCGTTTATTTCCAGTTCTACACACATTGTTGCTAACTTGGAAATGATGCCAGTATACTACTTTCGGTGGATTTTTCACAACTATTCAAACCCTTACGCTGTCTCGATTCTGAAGAATCTCATTCCTGCTCTAAAGCCCGGAGCTCGGGTTATCATCAATGATTACTGCATACGAGGACCAGGATCAGAGAATCCGTGGGATGAAAAGCTATTGAGAAGCATGGATATGATCATGGGTACTCTCCTCAATGCACAGGAGAGAGAGGAAAGAGAGTTTTGCGAGCTATTCAAGGCAGCTGACCCTAGATTCCACTTCAAGGTATGCTAATCTGTATCTTCGGTTCCGAAAGGTTTGTGTCCACTAATATTTCTTTAGGGAGTACACAGGGTAGAAAATTGCAAGATGAGCGTTATAGAGGCAGTGTGGGATGAGCAGGGCGTTGAGGCTCAGGTCGAGGAGTGCGAGGAACAAGGCGTTTGACTCCCTGATACGCTATTGGAGCGGGGGCGAGAATCGACCGCGAAGAGCATTGTTAGTAATTAATTGATGGACTGGATAGAAAGCACACGAAAAGGATAATACTTGATTAATATCTACCTTTCATAATTTGGATCCTGGATTCCCAAAGGCATCGATCGCTCCAGTTGTTTTTGTCATTCCCCTTGCAAAGATTCATAGTTGAACATTAGGACACAATTCCCATCAAGAAACCCGCGTAATTGGTTTAGTGGTAAAATTCTCCGTTGCCATCCGCAACGTCGGGGAGCCCTGGGTTCGATTCCCAGATTACGCAGCTCATTTTCTTTTGCCTCCATTGGCAGTTTTACTTTTTTTTCGTACATCAATGAATGAATGATCTGGATTACTTTCCATCAGATAGATGTACAAGAAATCGCATTATCTTTTGCCTGTTTAACTGCGCACCTCGTACCTAATGAGCTCTTTTCCTCTCCACCTGTCTGTCAACTAGCTATTACATTTTCGCTTCGTCCATAATATCCCTTCACCCTGGTTCTCCTATCTTACTTCTTGTGTAACCTTTTTGTTCTACCTCACTGCTTTTCCAATGTCCCTTTGCTCCGTTCTTCTTCACTCCGTTCCCACTCCGCCATAGCGTCCCTTCACCGCGATTGTGTTTGCCATCTCCGTGATGGGCGAATCGCTGAGAATCTCAAACACAGAAAATTGAACACCGCAATTATTCAGAATCCAATTTCGAATCGTGACAGCCACGAGGGAATCCACGCCGTAGGCGTTCAGTGACTTGTTCATATCAATCTCCGAGGGGAGCATGTTCATCGCCTTGGACAGCATAATGGAGAGACCATCACGGACAATCACTGTCGCCTCTTCGAAGCTTTTAGCTGAGACAAGCATGGTCCTCATGTCCCTATTACTTGTCTCACTACCTGCCAGTAGATTCGGTGGAGCAATGTCAACCAAGTTGAGGTACGAATAGAGCGCAGTGCGAGTCCAGTACGGGTCTGCGGCATTGATTTGGACATTCATGCCTCCTGTTCCAACAGCCACGGTGATTTGAGGGGGAATAGGTACTCCTGGGGTTATCTCTCCCGTGATGGCATGCTTGACAATCGTAAGGAAATCTTCATGCGGAATACCAAAGAAGCCATTGGATCGTAAAATGTCCAGAATTTCTTCATTCTCGGCAAGCATCCCAACTCCCAAGACGGGACCGAGGTCAATCGCCACGGCACGCTCTCCTTGCTTCTGGAGATATCTTGCAAACGAGTCTTGAAAACAGTTACCTGCTGCGTAGTTGGCTTGACCGCGGTTGCCAATAATGCCGGATGAACTGGCAAGGAAGACGTAGAAGGGATCATGACCCTCGGCCGAGATGCTATGGTATAAATTCCAGGAGCCGAGAGTCTTTACCTTGATGGCTGTGTCCCAATCATCAAAGGTCATGTTACTGAAGACGGAATCTCTGAGTATCGCGGCACATTGGAACACACCACGTATGGGGGGCATGTCCAGGCTAATGACGTCTTTAATGAGACAGTCCAGCTCAGATTTGTTGCAAATATCCACAGAAAAGGCTTTGGCGTCAATCCCTCTTGACTGTAGATCTTTGAGGAATGCCTTCGCTACATCTGATGAGGCACCAGACCGAGAAACAAATGCTAGATGTCGAGCACCATTGTTTACAAGGAGCTCAGCTATGCTCCGTCCGAGGCCACCAAGACCACCTGTTAGCAGGTATGTCCCATCTGATTCAAGAGACTCTTCCAGCGATTTTGTAACATCGTCATTCAGTACGGAAATTGTGCTTGAGCCGTCTTCAGCCATAGATAGCGAGATAAATACAATATGCGGTGTTTGCTGAAGGTACAATAACCCATCTTTCAAGTCGCCAATATCGAAAACTTTTTTGAGTTCGACGTATGGGGAGGGCTTGATTCCAACAGTCTGGGTGAACTGAGTGGCCCGCTCCAGAAGCTCCGCTACAAAATCCGGATCCTCTCTGAGGAGCTCATGTAGATTCCAGTTGGAAACAGTTATAGATGTTGGTGGTATACGGCCGGAGATCGGGGTCGAAGACTTGCTCGCAAATTGGATGATGCTACCACCTGCTGTAATGTTAGTTGTAAGCTAGAGGAAATGAAAGGGGCAGCTTCACGACTTACATTTTCGGACGCAATCGAACTGTACGTCAAATGTGTCCAAGGTTGGGTTGAACAAGCAATCCACGCCGTTACCATCTGTAGCTCCTAATAGAGCGGCGACAAAAAGTCCAGAGTCAGCCTCCAAGATATGTTCTCCCGAAACGCCATGCCGTTCTAAAATCTCTCGCTGTCGATCGGCCTCTGGGCCGACAATGGTGGCAAAGATTTCAGCTCCAATTGCAAGAGCCATATCAATCGCGGTAAGCCCAAAAGCACTGGCACCATTGTGGATCAATACCTTCCTGCCTCGTTTCACTCTTCCGATATGTATGAGGGCAAAATAGGCGCTGACAAGAAAACTTGGTACCATATCGGTAGCAACACGTTTGACAAACTGGGACTTGACTCTCACCAAGCTTTTGATTGAGCCGTCAGCAACCAAAGCAACAACATTGTCACCTGCAGCCAGCCCCCTGACCTCGCTACCCACTCGAGTAATTTTGCCCCTGATGTCTGCCCCGATAGTTGACTCCTGAGATCTTCCGAGGACAACCTCAAGATCCAGCATAGACAGAGGCGCTTCTTTGAACGCGATTTCAACCTCGTCTGCTCCTAACTCTGGCAATTCGGATTTTATGAAGAATAAGTTGTCTTCACTGATACCCGGAGTCTCGATCGTGAGCTGAAGACCTAGATTATTTGCGAATGGCTTCTGAGAGACCTTCCCGGTCAAAGCTTTGCCTTCAATGATTCGATTCATGGAACGGAGTGTTTTAAGGCGAGGGATGTAGATTCTTCCATCCTCTTCTGCAAACTCTGTATCCTGTAGGGATCCTAATTTTGATCCAAAAGTTGCATCAAGAAGGCGCAATACGTTATTAACAACAGTGGGATCATCGAGCTTTGAATTGCTCCCTAAATCAAAAGTGACAATAGAGTTGAGAGCATCTTCGGAGATTAGGGTCCTAAAGAGTCCAACGATGGGACTTCCGCGCGGATTCTCGCAGCCCCTCAGGGCTCCCCGAGTAACCCAGAAAACATGGTCGGCCCGTTTTTGTATTACGCGAAAGGCGTCGAAATCTTCCTTCTGCCATTCGAAAATGGAACAGTCGCGAGACACAAGGCCAGAAAACTCGAGCAACGAAATAACTGTCTTTCCATCGATGGCAGTCGGGTCTTCAGCTGCTTCATCGACAACTATAGACGAGATCGAGAAAGGAATTTTTCTTGTTTCCTTGATTCGATTAATGGCGGCGATGAAGTTTTGAATTTCAGAGCCTACTTCTTTTGGAGTGATAATGACCACTGGATTGATTAAAGGAGATGGCTGGTTATACCTGTGAGCCTTTAGGAGGATTTGGACATCACCCTCTATGAAATCGACGAAATCTTCATCGTCTCTCATAAGATGGTTATTGGTAGTTGCCTGAGAGTTTCTGATGCTGGATGGGATCTTTGCTTCGCAAATTTGTCGCTTTTTAGATACTGGATCCATGACTTGCTCCAATAAGACACCACCTGCTTTCAATTTCATTTTCAAGAGGTCGATATCTGCCTGGACATTGGTGCAAGCCACAATGAAGTGGTAATCATTGTTGATCCTCGAGAAATCAGAGATTGTTTCAATGAACGGCTCTAGAGAGGTACCTTTCGTATATGAAAGAATTCGGGAAGCGGTATCGTCTCCATCTGCCTCAAGAATGGTATATCTCAGGAGCTGGGGGGTCGCGTCTGGATCTGAGCTGACTGCTGCAAGAGTTGCCAGCGAGAGCTCATAACCACCACCAATTTGGAGAATTGATAGTCCTGGATATTTGTGAGCTAGAACGGCAACTTGATCAGTGTATGAACTCGGTCGTGCAAAAGTAGCATCTTCCTTCCACATGATCTGGCTACAAAGATTGCGATTGCTAGGTAGAAAACCTCCTTCTTCAGGAGATGAGTGAGGCAACGCAGTAAGACTCAGGCCTTCAATGACCACATATGCTTGATCTAATGATGTCTGCTTCATGACAATGGTGGCTTCTGCATTTCGAATGCCAGTAGTGCTAACTGAGGAGTAGCCGGTGAAGTCTGCGGCAGATTCCGCACCACCCAAGTTTGCTGCCACAAAGAGAGACTTGATGGAAACGGGAACCATTGGTGATGGCTGTATAGCCAATAGAGTTTGAATCATTGAATCTAGAGTGGCCGGGTGTAGAAGATGTGGGTACTCGAACTTGCAAGGCATCTTTGCCTTGGTATCCGGGATCTTGATTGTGCTCACACAGTGACCATCGCACCTGCGAACTTCGGTAATGTTCTGGAACAAGGGTCCGTAGTTCATTCCTATTGAATCAAGATGCTCGTAAAGCTGCCGTGGAATGATTGGCTTTTTGCAAATCTCGCTCATGGTACTTTGGCGTCTCTCATATGATTGGAAAGCTGTCTGCCAGTTTCCAAGCTTGTAATGGAAGCGTAAACTACCGCTGGCATGTCGATCCCACGATCGTCCCTGAATTCGCGAGTAGATGACAAATGATCTTATTCCAATCTTGTCATGACTATCGGTGCTTGTTGGATCCTTTTTCATGCTAAGTGAGACTTCCAGGCCATACGCGGTGTTCGGTATTGTCATGGCTTTCTCAATGCTCATATTTACGAGCTCATAACCTAGAAGATTCTGATTGTCTTTTGATAACTGCTTTGCTCCTTCTAGAACCATGGAAACCATGCCGGCGGCTGGATAGACAATTGTCTTTTGTACCTGATGGTCTTGAATCCAGGGGTTTTCCGAGATGCGCAAGAACCCTCGCCATATAGGTTCGAAGGATGCAATAGAATCCGATACCTTGTAGCCAATTAGATCCATTCGAGGATACTCTCTCAGACGATTCTCGCGGCTCATATCAGTCTCGTGCCAGTATGTTTTGGTATGATCCCATACGTATGATGGCAAATTGGAGAGACACCTCAGGGACTCCTGCTCATGGCCCTTGGTCACAACATTTTTCATATTTACTGGGTACCCTTTAGACCACAATTTACCGATGAGATCGAATATTGTGATACATCCATTTCGCCTCCGCTCAAGGGCTGAATAGTATGCTGGACTGGCGGCACCGTTGATTGCGGCGAGAACGTCGGCCGTTGGCGACCGGAGAACTGCACTGGGACTGAGTTCGACCAAAGCATCTGGGAGGTCATCTGGCGGAAGGCTCATCAGTGACTGAACTGCCCCAACATATTGAACGGGAGAAACCATGTTATCTGCCCAATACTTGGCGTTCAATTCGCTTCCCGTCACCTCTTTGCTAGTGACCGAAGAGAACATCCTGACTCCCTCAAAACAGTCGCTGGAAACAACTTCATCAAGAGCAGCAACGTAATCATCTTCAACGAGCTTCATATGAGAAGAATGGTAGGCAACCTTGACATTTAAGACCCTGTTGAATATGTTCTTTTGGCGCAGATCCTGAGCGATAAACTCGATGGCTTCCGCTTGGCCGGATATTGTGATGGATCGAGGACTGTTTATGCAAGCGATTTGTGCAGACTTGTTAATTTCAGCAAGATATGCTGACACTTCTTCAGTTGACATTCCAACAACCATCATGCCTCCTTTCAACTTCGAGGCCCTGAACGGAATGCTGGCGGCAGCGAGGCCGCGATAGTAGGCGATTCTCCAGGCATCATATCGCGATATGGCTCCCGAGGCATACGCGGCGGCGATTTCTCCAGAAGAATGTCCAAGTACATACTTGGGCTGGATATTAAAAGACTTGAGCAAGTCGACAAGAGCAACTTGAAGAGCGGTCGTTGCAGGCTGGGAGATTTCAGGATCAGATATGCGTGTATCCTCACCCCCTCTAAGAATCTCTTTCAAAAGATCGAAACGAGAACCCAACACAATTTGCAAGAAGCAACTGGCCTCCTTAAGGCTGGCGCTATACACGTTGAAAGACATGAGATCTGCGCCCATTTTCGCCCACTGGGCGCCCTGGCCACAAAAGACGAATCCTAGCTTGTGTTGCTTCTTCGACGACGACGAGCGAGCCAAATGACTCGAATCGAAAAGTTGAATCTTAGCCATAAGGTTTGATGCTGATTCGGCTATGATAAAACCTTTCCATTCTAAATTCGATCGGCGGCAGCCTAGAGTATAAGAATAGTTGAGAAAAGAATCTCCAACATCTCTTTGAATAGACTCAAGAAACTGGAGGTGAGATCTCATGACGCGAACAACACCAGCATTGTCGTTTGCTGAGTAACAAAACAACCGAGCTTCGGGTTTCTTTTCAGCTGAGACTCCAGTCTTACTCGGTGGTATAACGTCGGTAGAGGAGTGGTTTGCATTCAACCCCTTTAGCGCAAGATAGCCTGGAGCTTCATCTATAACGACGTGCGCGTTAGAGCCTCCAAATCCGAAGGAATTGACACTGACACGACGAATGCCGGCGATAGGCCAGTCTGTAACTTCCGTAGGGACCTAATATACAGTTAGTAAATTGCATGACTGAGGATCGGAGGCTTTAGTCACCTTCACTCGCCAATTCTTGAAGTCAATCTTGGGATTCCCCTTAATAAAGTTGATATTTGGCGGCACAAGGCCGCGTTCCAGAGCCAATACTCCTTTGATCAAGCCAGCAATGCCGGCTGCACCTTCAAGATGCCCGATATTGGTTTTGATAGAGCCCACCATGATCGGGTTATCGACTGTGCGGACAGAAGCGATACTTTGAGAGATAGCCTGGAGCTCTTGCCAATCACCGGCCTGCGTTCCCGTACCATGGCATTCGATGTAGCCGGTCTGAGCAAAATCAAGACCGGCTGAATCATAAACGGCACGGATATTGGCAACCTGAGCGTCTCCGCTGGGAAAGGTAATACCTAGCATCTCGTTACTATATTGCCTCTCCCTTGGAAGAAATTGGCCGTTATATGATGTTGTTAACATACCTTTGGTGCGACCGTCTTGGTTAACATTGCTAGCTCGCATCACAGCGTGAATAGTATCGTTGTCACGGATCGCATCCGTCAGACGCTTCATGACTACAACACCAATACCTTCACCTCTGCCATAACCATTGGCTCGGGAATCGAACGTGAAGCATTTCCCATCCGGGCTAAGGAAATTCAACGCCGTCATGGGCAGCATAGTTTCAGGAGACAAGATCATGCCAGTACCTGCAGCCAAAGCCTGATAGCAAGGTCAGTCAAAGTCATTCAGACGCCAAGATACTCGTTCAGCTTCTTACCAATGATGTCTCCCCAGTTCGAAGACTCTGCGCAGCCAAGTGAACCGCAATAAGACTAGAGCTACAGCCAGTGTCCACCGTCATGCTTGGGCCGTGTAGGTTGAGGAAATACGATATACGATTCGACATGATAGCAATCCCATTTCCTGTTGCGGCATACTTCGGCCCCCAATTCTGATCGCGGAGGCTGATATATTCATAATCTAGTATTGTGCAACGTTAGATAAACATTCCTGAAGGATCTCCGAAAAGACAAGTTGCTAGTGTTGAACTGACCTTTGACAAATGAGCCTACATAGACGGCAGCATCACTCCCGTCAATGTCTTCTTTCCGAATACCAGCTAATGTTTATCACACACGTCAGTGTCTTGAGTCTTGTGGAACCAGCCCCAACTCTGGATACAACGTACCATTCTCAAGCGCTTCATATGAGACCTCAAGAAGCATACGCTGTTGGGGATCAACTGCGTTTGCTTCCTCTGTCGGGATCGAAAAGAACTGCGTTATTCTTATTAATGTTTGCTCAACTTTAGTATTGTTTTCAGATGTTCTTACGGGAGCGTCAAATGCGCTGATGTCATCCTTCAAAAAATGACCTCCTCGAAATGAAAGCTGCAACAAGTCAGTACAGTTTCTGAAACATATAAAGAACTCGGATGAGAGCGTACACTTCCCAGCCTCTGATTGCTTGGGTGATAATACCCATCAATATTAAGCCGGTCTTTAGGAAACTCAGACCATTGAGATTCTTTTCGCTCTAACACATCCCAGAGCTTTTGTGGCGAAGTAGCGTCGCCTGGGAACCGTAATGCAAGTCCAACAATAGCGATATCATCTACAATACTGGAGCCAAAGTTCTGGCTTTCTCTTCTCGGTTGTTCACACATGATGTGTCATTCCAAGATGAGGAGCAACCACTTCCTCTCTTCATATGAGCAATAGAGTCTCTGGGTAGTAGTAATCAGGCCAAGGGGGAGGTGAAGTGATATAACTCAAGAAGGGTTCGAGGGCGTAGATGAAGTTGATAGAGTAAAGTGCTCAGAGAAGAGATGTGAAGAAGAGCCAATAAAGTGTGGAGCAAGGAGCCCTCGAAGTGTTCTTATACCAGAGAAAGATTTGATGAGGTCGTTTGCACACCTCCACGCCCGCAGAGTCTACACACCCACACTCACTCTTCTATACAAACGGAGTATTGACGCCTCACCGGTTCGATATTAGCTTAGGCAAGCTTCCTATCCATAGTGACGCACTCCATTGCATCAAAGGCGCTTCTACACCACCCACAGTGAATGGGCCATCGGAGGGATGGTCCAAAAGGAGTTGGTTGAAGAATAGAGGCTTGGCAACGGGCATCTCAATGGCGGTAAACAAACGCGCAGAGCTCAGCCAATAGATGAAGATGCGGATCATCTACTATTGATGTAAAATGTGTGCACTACCCGCATTAAGTGACCAGAAATGCAGCTTCTAATCCGGAAACGGGCCGCGGTGGTGACAATATTTGCTAAAGTGTTGACCCATGAGACAAAGAGTGGTATTGGGAATCCTGCAGGAAGCTGACCCATGCTCCTGCAAGTGAAACATGGAGCATCGGAGTGATAGATTGTAGGAATGCCCAGAGGATTAGCACTGTTTATCTGACAAGCTTATACGCAATATGCCGCGCATGTGTATTAGCCCCAGGACTTTTCTGCAAGTAAGAGCCTCGCAGGCATTGCCCAAAGGAATGGAATCCTCCCGAAGATTGCATCTAAGGCATCCGATCGACCAATGGGAGTAGGCCACCTTGGCTGCGGCGGCTGAAAAGAGTAGCTACACCTCCATTGACTCGGATCGGATTTGGTCATTAATCCCTGTCAATGATTTTTCTGGAAATCACGACAATGGTTTATATATCCCATTTTCTTCACACTTCCACTCTTCGCGTATGGGGCAATGAATAGCATCTTTGAACGGTAGAAAATGAATATGGCTCTTTGACGTCTCTGATTTTTCGATTCCGCCACGCTGCATAGTTATGGCCTGAAGGAAGACCATGCCGTAGACACACCGACATTGTTCAACAAAGAGATCAACAGAAGGACTTGGTGACATCCATCCCGTCCATACAAGATGCGGTATAAAATCTCCACTTGGTAGACAGTGGAATAATGCTCGGGTACAGACATTTGGCCTTGGTGCTAGCTGACCGATATTGCTGCGTGACGAGTTCAGGACTTCTGAGGTTGATGAATCAAGAAACTGTAGAAGACATGATGCAGCAACGTCCGAGTCAAGGCACGTATCAGATACATTTATGTGCAATTCTTCGAATATGGAATTCGAGATCAATTCATATGTGATGTTGCAGCTAAAAGTCCTTCCAAAAAGAGAATTGCACAAACAGAGGCGTCAATATGAAATCCACGAGAGCCCGCAACCAGAACATGAAAATGAACAGATGCGTCTAGCATCATTGAACGGCATTGGTGACAAGGCTACTTAGAATGCAAGAATATTAACTCAAGATCCTGGTATCAGACGGTTATGGCGGTAAGGGATGGTTCCAAGCCGACGGCACTAGAAAAACGGTTCTCCGGTATGCGCCTGAGAGTGATCCAAGTTTAGTTACGGAATCACGCATCGATTGCGCAGTTGCCCGATTAGAGTTCATCATATGATGCTTGCTGAGATCCGTTACCGTGGAACTGGCTTGTCAGATCGATATGGAAGCCCCATACATCTTGACCCGCCAACACCGCCGGACAGAAGCAGCATCTCTCGTGGGGCTCAACATGCGTTATTCGCGTTTTTCTTTTTCCTTTCCTTTTTCCACTTCCAAGCATTTACTAAAAATGATATTCACCGAGTCTTGTAAGCATGTCTGGATGCAGAGTCGAAGTGTTTCAAGATGTGATACTTACCTGGATTGACAAAAAGAGTTCACCCTCATTCCCAAGACCAGCCAAGCAACACTGACAGCCTAACAAGCCGAGAACTGTATAGACTCAGCTTCATTGACCTAGAGATCATGATCTGTAACTTGTGATTCGACAGCTTCCTAGCTCCCGTGACCAGGTAACACAGGTAACGGCAAAGCCGAGCGGACGCCTAACGGCGTTGTTGGAGGAATGACACGGAGGCCTTTGCGGGATCTCCGTAGTCGCCCATCGCCTCTTCTCCCAAGCAAACATTCAGGACTCGGCCCATTAATCCGTTCCGTATAATTTCGAAGTGTATATCATAGATTTGATAGCTGAGTAGATCAGATACCGATGCAACGGGCCGTGCAATTGACTACCAATGCCAGCTGTTTTGGACACCAGCCGCCAGATCTCTTGCAAGGCGGCTTAAGCGGCAGCATGCTAGTTCAGATCCTCGTGCGATGAAACAAGCCTCTTGTGGAACCGGTTCAGCAACTGATCGTTACTTTTCCACGCAAGTGCTGTCCCATTGCATACGTCTGACTGGTCGAAGCAAGATGAGGTGTAACCGCAGCGCAAACGAACGGCTCGTTGCTGGCGTCAAATGCCAGCGGGCATCTGGCGCGACGTGTGCAATTTGCGACCTGTCTCTAACGGTAGCGGTATAACATCGCGACATATACCAGAAAGGCCGTTGCCACGCAATTGCTGCCTCGGCATCATACAACAGTGTCACTCTGGCTCAGTTACCCTTCCGATACCCGCTGTCCCGTCCGCTAATAGAGTATTCGGCCGTTCCTAGTATCCATTAAGCGTAGAGAGGAGGAAATCCTGAAACACTTGAACAAGTCCGTGACGATGTTGCCGCCGAGACGAGGAGCCGGTGAATGCATAGCTGCTCACATACGCTTTCTCAGAAGCCTGCTGGACAGCGTGGTCACGCCTCTCCTGTAAGACGCAGGCTACATACAGCTCCACGAGCCGTACAGGTGCAACCGAGCCGAGAGAATGTTTCGGATACTTATTCAATGAGCATCCTCCTCTTGGACAGGGACCGTCATCCATCTCCCCGACTCGCCGGCCTGTCTCAGCACGACTATGTCTGACTTCGGCTCTCACAGCTCCCACAGCCCGAGGATGGCCAGGATCGTGTATGATTTATCATAGGAGCCTGAATCGACGCAAAAGGGCTCGAATGGTGACAAGTTTCTTTATTTTGGGGTTTGAAAGTCTTAGAAGCTGATACTTTGTAGTTTCACGAAGAAGTTGCGCCTTGTCTCAAATCGGTCTGGACTTGTAGTGTGAGCAGTTCCTTCCCTATGATGGCGACGCGTGGTGCGATTGACCTTCTCTATCAGCAAAATTTATCTTTGCCTGCCTTTCTCCTTCTCCTCAATAGCCCTCGGTAACAAACAATTCAGCTTCAAAACACCGCGCTTCTCATCCCATTTCTTCTTTGTCTACCCGCTCAAGATCCAAGTGTTGCAACAACTAAGCTGAACTCCTGATTCTGGTTTCTTTGAGCAGACTATACTGTTTTCTCACAAATCATCGAAATAAAAATATTCGCTCTCACCAATAATCATGACAACAGAGTATCGTGTGTCACTCTCGTACCCAAATCCATCCTTGGGACAGATGGTGGCGGGATCACAGGCCTCCAATTCCATGGACGACGAGGCTTCACGCGCAAAAATTGGCTATGGAAGCTCGTCACAAGTGACGGGTTTGCATCAGGCGGCTCTCGTTATAACGTATGGCTTTCCCTCCCCGAGTCTTGCTGTCCTAACGGATGTAGGCTCCTCGTTGGACTTTTGATCTCGACCCTCGATACGACGATTGTGTCGACGTCGTTGGTAACAATATCGAACGACTTGGGCGACTTTGTCAATGCACCGTGGATTGTGTTGGCGTATTTGCTGACCTATATGGGTTCGAGTCCTGTGTTCGCACGCGTACAGATTCGGCTTCTCTAACCAACCTTTGTAGGGTTCGCCGTCTGCATTTCAAAAATGAGCGACATATATGGGCGGAAGAACATTTTAGTTCTTTCTTGGGTCATCTTTTCTGGATTTTCCTTAGGCTGTGCCAATTCAAAACACATGACTGCACTGTACGTATGGCCCCAATCCCAAGCATTGCAAAACAGAAGGAAAGACGATAGTGACACATGTCCATCAGTATCGTATGCCGTGCTTTTCAAGGCATAGGAGCATCTGGGTTGTACAGTTTGACCCAGATAGCACTTGTTGAAGTCGGCCCTGTACACCGGCCCAGCCTGATCGGAGCTATGATCGGAGCAACACTTGCCATAGCCTTCGTTCTTGGCCCTCTTCTTGGAGGCCTGATCTCGAGGCTCTCTGATTGGAGATGGCTCTTCAACCTTAAGTGAGTCTGCAAACTCCCGACGCACCCGACCTGTGCTGAACGTCTATTGATATGCACCTACGACAGTATTCCCTTTGGACTGATTGCCATTCTTGCTATTACGAGCTTCTGGCCCCAAGAAGACGTCTCCCATCTACTTTCTTGGGAGGCCTTTGCGAGTATAGACTTCATCGGTAGCGCTACTCTACTTTGTAGCTCGTCACTGCTCGTTTTTGCTATTCAGCAAGCCGGTTCCCAGACTTTTGCTTGGTCCAGTCCGGTTATCATATCGGCCCTTATTATATCGGGGGTAAGCTGGGCTGCATTTATTTATTGGGAAGTGGTCCTTGATTCGAAAAGGCACCGTCATATTGAGCCAATATTTCCAATTCGTTTGATGTTGCACAGGGTCTATGCGTCAAGCCTCTTGTAAGAGTACAATCTTCCTCACGCCTTTGAACAGGACTTGACGCGAAGCAGACTCACTCTTCTTACGGGATTTCCGTATATTTCTTTGACAGTTATTATTCCGGAGCGGTTCCAAATCGTCAATGGTGAGGATGCTCTCATGGCTGGTATTCACCTCTTCCCACTTCTTGGTGCCTGTGCAGTCGGATCTTTCCTCGGTGGCGCAATATCCAGCAAACAGAACAACACATCGTATACGCTCATTGGATCATCCTGCCTCCAACTCTTGGGACTGGGGCTGATGACGACTCGGTCGGGAGCGAATAGTGCGGAGCCATCTCAGTATGCCTACCAAGCAATATTTGGACTAGGGGTCGGTCTCTGTTTTTCGGCAACCACCATCGTGACGAGCATTTCCACAGCTGAGTCGGGTGAGAAAGCTACAGCACAAGGGGCTGTTGCCCAGGCCCGAGTGTTAGGGGGCAGCATAGGCCTTTCAATCTGCACAGTCATATTTAACATTCACGTTAACCGATATCTAGAAGGTCACTTAACCAAAGGGCAACTCGAGAGCCTTCATCGATCTCCCCTGTCAGGGTTGCAACTTCCAGTCGACCAGCGAGATATCGTTAAGACCGTCTATGCTGGAGCGTACTCTGAAGAGATTAAGATATTGGCTTGCATTTGCTCAGTCATGGTGATTGCTGCCCTTTTCACTCTAGAGAGGCATCCCACGCCGTTGAGAATCGTGAGTTCAAAGTCCAAAGAAGACCAATTCTCGCGACGCGGCAGTGAATCGGAGACAGAAATGACGGATCTTCACAATACCCACCAAATCGTCTGAGATGGCATATCACCATTTGAATCACGCCTCCCTATGCGGCAGTATTTCGACACCGTGTTGGATTCCTTGTCTCCACAGGACTTGTCCTCAGCCAATGCAACATGATAGCCTTCGAATTCGAGGTAAAGTTATGGTATAAACTCTGGTTGCGGTGGATCGCTTCTCATTTTATCCTCTTCATAAGATGTTTCGCTATGCTATGTGCTTATTTTTGGAACAATTTGATCAAGAGCCAGCAACTTATATGTTCTTGCCTGGTGTTATAGCTTTGATGTCATTAGTGGCGGTCGATTAGATGAATGTATTATATACGATATGGGTTCTTGCCTTTCCTTGTTGTTATAAAAGAAAGAACAAATAAGCCGAATGAAAGAATGAAAGACATCAGCTTACAATCATGCGTCTAGTACAGGACCCTCATCACCGTAGATGGGGTCTTTACTAAACCACGGCAAATTCTTGATATTGTTGATCATTGACTCCTCGCCATGTTTACCGTAGCACATGTCCCAGTTGTTGCCATTAGGATAGCTTCCGACCATGAGGAACGGATCGCGATCTTTGTCTTCCAGCAGACGATGGCTGACGCCAGCTGGAACGATGATGACGTCTCCTCTCTTGACGACCGGCTCAACGCGCCCGGGATTGCACTCGCCTCCAAAACACAGCTTGGCACGACCGGCTGTGACGCACAGGACCTCGTGAGTCGTACTGTGGAAGTGCGTGGTGTTATACATGGTGTAGCGCCATTGAGGGGTGACGACGCCGATTCTGAGGAGATGGGATTCGATCTTGTCTGGCGAGGCTTGTGTAGGGGAGAATGCGGAGTGGTAGATGATGAGGGGCTTTGACTGGAGAGAGGAGTTGGGGATGAGGTCGTGGGCTGGGATTTGGTGTTTGGAGATTCGGAGGCTGGAGAGGGGAGTTGGGTCGAGGTTGAGGTTGTTGGGACTCATGATGAATTACCCTGAAGCAGATGGAGGTGGTGAGCTGAAATGTGAAATGATCGGGGTTGATTGGATTTTTGTTTGTTTCTTTCGAGTGGAGAGTGATGTTGTTGGATTTGACAGGAAATGTTTGACGTCAAAGCGAGACGCTGGTTGGATCGAGATGTTAGAATCAACATGATGTAATGATGCTGTTGCGTGGGGGCTGTGGTAGCGTTAGTTCTGCCCATTGCACCTCGCCCAGCAAATTCCAAATAGATGCCAAGATGAGGCACATGCAACAACTCCCTGATTGATTAGTATGACAGCCATTCTAATCACTATGGAGTCATGCTTATTCCGTCACAGTAAAGTTTCTTTTGGTGCTGAGTTTACTTTATTTCTTTTTTCTTCTTCTAAAGGCGGGCGTCTATTTTCATCTCAATGCAAGCGCTTACTTGCATTTGAACATTTTGTCCCGGCTCCATCAGATCAGAGAGGAAACGGGGTTTTCAGGGCGCAACACCTCCGACGACCTGGGGTTTGAAGTAGACGGTCATGATGCCCTCGACACCGAGAGTCATGGCGACCTTCTTGAGGGCCTGGTGGGCGACACACTCCTCGTCGTAGTACTTCATGTCCTCGAGGCTGGCGAACTCGGACTTTGAGACGAAGGTGAAGCCCTGAGAACGCTGGTCGGGCTCGGCGGGGCCAGCGGCTATGGAGAGGATGTAAGGTTGGCCGTCCTGGGATTATACACAAGTCAGTTTTTGAGGTGCTCCTTTAGAGTCAAAGAGTGAGGGGCATTTTCATGAGGGGTTGGATTTGACGTGGTCACTGCGCTCAAAGTATGTAGCTTCATATTTAATAAAAGCAAGAGAGAAAAGAAGAGCTCAACTCACCTTTCTGTTGTTCTCCTTGAGCGTCTTGTACTCCTCGATGAGCTTCTTCTGGCTCTCCTCGCTGGGGAGCTTGAACATGGTGATTCGGTGGACGCGGTCTGCCATTTTGACGGATGCTGAGGAAAGGAATCTGAGGGCGGCGGGGTACTGAATTGACGGGCGCGGGGCAATTTGCTTGGAGTTGAGAGCCAGAGGCCGAAGCACACGGGAGGTCATGGGAGACTTTATATAGTAAGCCGAGGGAAGTGAAGGAGGAGGAGAGAAGCGGAATCGGCTCCGCAGGCAAAATAAAAAAGGGACCCAACAGCACAGCTAGAGAGCTGAGGTGAGCTCTAGCTAAACTATGATGGTAGATTGTCTGGAACGGGGAATTACTGTAGCCCCGCGGCTTGGATCGGGAATGGCAGATTGTAGTAGTTCGGCCAAAAAGCGGCGGGGCTGTTGCGGCGTGGGGATGAGAATTCCGTGGATGGATTCATCCGTTGATTAATCATGATTCTAACATAACTATCTACATACTTATATATCGCATCATGGGATCTGTGATTAGTGTTTGGTCAGGATAAGCACGCGGTTGATACCTCGGAATTTGTGTCGTGATCTGGATTAGGTGGAAAATAAGCGGCGCGGAGATGCGAACCAGTGGGTCAAAGGCGGCTGCTGGGAAATCCTGGATATCAGCCCAACGAGAGATAGATCAAATATGCCGAAACAATATGGACGGTAGCATATTATTGGATGATGTATTTTCTCCGGGAATTATTGTGCCGCATCTGGGAGTTGTGCATGACAAGGGGCCTTGTTTTTTTCGGCCCGCGCTTTGATTGTGTTTGCTGGAGGTGTTAATTCCTTGCTCCTTAAGATGGCGAGTGGGAAGACTTGATGAAATGCAGAGATGTAAATTGTAGTTAGATGAACGGTATATGAAAAGTACCGAGAGAGAGAGAGAGAGAGAGAGAGAGAGAGAGAGAGAGGTCACTCGCGAGAAGGGGGTTTTAGATACCTCGGAGGTAGGCACCTACGAACACTCCAAATTTCTTGCTCCTATTTGGCTAGATACAGCATCTACATCTGTAACTGTACAGGATACCAAAGCTGCTTGAACTATCCTATGATCACAAAAGTCTTTCCCGCAGATCATAAGCGTAAAATGGCGGATGTGTTATGTTCTGATAGGTAGTTTTACGAAACTGCTTTGTAGGAAAGAGTCTAGAGCCTCCAAGCCCCCCTTCCTCATCCGTAGCAACAAATATCACTTCTATACTCTCCATCTTTGAGCAATTTCGAGCTCTCCTTTTCCATCTATAATTATCATTCGTTCATCTTTTACACCCACGCATCTTTGGCCAGTTATTCGCCTCTACTTTATAAATTCTCTCCAAGTGTCCGCGTTGCCCCTGACAGCCACCACTTGCCAGCTGGTGACTGATCTTGCATCTCCTCGACCGTCCGTCCATTTTCCTTATTGGATATAAAACGTTTTGACAGCTGGCCGCCAGTCTCTACCAGTACCGTGTTTTAATTTCTGCCCAGCACGCGTCGAGGTTGACCGTGTTACTGATCTGCCAGCTGGTCGTGCTCCAGCCCGTGTATTTATTTTCTTCTGGCGCGTTCCCTTGTTTTCTTTTTTCTTCTTCCTTCCATCCTCAACCATCTTCAGCCGAGTCTCGTCTGATCAAGGCCGCCCTCTCCAAAGCATCATCACTACCATCACTCACTTAGCAATCACTCAATACTAGCGAGAAGATCCCCATCTATCTATCAGCATCAATCAACCCCCCTTCGTGAGCAAGTTATCTTCTTCCTGCATCTCTACCATTCCAGATTCTAGCCTCCACCCTCATGCCTACAATGCGAGCTCTCGCTGACACTCTAGACTTTGGAACAGCCTCAGCATCTTGCTCTCAAGATGGATCTCGCCGCTAGCTACCGCCTTGGCTACATGCGGGACTGCATCTACCGTTGCTACAATGTTGCCGAAGAAGACTCCCAGTCGAAGAACCCTATACTTCATCACTGGGAGATGACTTCTCCGGGTTACAACTATCATTTCTGCGCGGTTCATCGTGTCTATCACTGCATGGCTACCACCTCCCGAGTTGACCAGCCATGCTGTGGCGAGTGTGCCCCTGCATACTACAGCCAAGTCCCCGAGGTGACCTGGGTCCGAGAGAAAGACTATCATTTCTCGTTCCACAGCGTGCCTCCTGACTTCCTGCAGATGATGACGGGTGGTATTGTTCGAGGAGATGCCCGTGGCCCGTCCGTCCGACTTGCCACCATCTTCCCGCTTCCCAGCGACGTGCCAGAGCATGGCTCGGCGCTCGAAGCAGTCCCCCGACACGACGCCACGTATCGAGAGCTCGGTTCTAACTTGATGGCTCATCGACGCCACCCTGGCTTGTTCCTCATGAGGTTTGTCGACTACGACGGGCTGCCTGGTTGGTTGCTCTGTGGTCGTGGCATGACTCAGGACTCGTTTGCGCACCTTGCCGAGGCCGAGCATACTGGTGACAATGTCATGAAGTCTGCTCGGCTCTGGGCATGCCAGCAACTGGGTTGTACCATGCCTCAGGATGTTCGCTGGATTCTCTGGTCCATCTACATGCTTGCCAGCAAGGCCCTTACCAACCCTCTCCCTACCGAGCAAGAGTTCTGGATGTGGCGCAGCTGGCTCTGGTACTGGTATACCAAGGCTAACGAGCTCGCGGCATACTACCAGATGGACATTTCCAGCCCGGATGAAGATTGGTTCAGCAGACCCTCATCCGACGTCCACTCTGTCTCTCGCCCCTGTAACGGCGTGGCTGAGAGTGATGTCTCTGCCGCACAGCACGATACTTCTATGCCGTCTGACAACGACGACATTATGGACCAGTCATTTGTGGCCTCTGATAACAATGGCGAAGACGATGCCTCCAAGGATGCTGCTTCTAATGTGTCTGGATCTGCTACCAAGTAAGTCACCACTGTTATTACCGCCATCAACGTCTTTTGTTGTACCTGTAAACAGGCAGAGACTGACATTAAACTTCCCTCCTTCAGCCAAAATCATTCGGAATCTCCCGGTGCCGATTCGTGGTCGACCGAGTCGTCCTCTACTTCGTCTTCTGAAACGCCTTCTTCTGAGGCCGTCACCCGTGAGCCAACCTTTTCGATGACTGGACTCGCTACCACTCTGGCTTCTATCGACGAGGATGAGGATTCTGAAGCCGATACCGATCAGTAGGTAATGGTTGAGGAAGATTTATCCTTCGCTGTCTACAAAAGACACCGAAGAAGACAGTCTCGGCGATGATCCAATCCTCTCACTTGGAAAGCTGGAGACTGGTTTGCGGCGTGGTTCATGTCATTCTACCGTTCGTTTTTTTCCGTTTCACTTTCTTTCGTTGGTCGCCATGAAAAGCTTTTCCCCTTGCTCGACTTCAGGAAGGAGAATCAATTGTTATTTGTCTTGCTTGCAAATTTCGGTCACAATAAGCTACTAAAAAATCCGGGTTCGTCTACTGCCGTTTTGTTGCTTTTGCCTACAAATCCCATCCAGGATCAAGAGCACTTTGGAAAGAGGACTTGAGCAAAGCACCTTGACAAAGCAAAAGCGACCCAAAAAAAAATCTGGGTTCATTCGGTCTTCATTCTTGTTCTGCTGCATTTTCCGGTCAAGGGTCACAAAAAGTTATTGTTCTTGTTTGCTATCGTTTTCTTGCTGCTCATTACGGTCATCGTCAACGGAAAGGGAAAAGTACGGCTCGGTATGCTATTGTTTTGTTGCTTTCAAAAGAAAAGAAAAACAAGAAAAAAAAGGAAAAAGCAAAAAGCAAGAAAAAAAAATTGTCATGTTTGGTTTTGCCTTCTTTGCGGCAGATTACGGTCAGGGTCGGCGACATGGGAAAAGTTCTGCTTGGTCTACTGCTATTTTGTGGTTTCTTGCCTTGCTACAAGTTGCAATCAGGGGGTTGAAGAAATAGTCTGGTTTGATCTGCTTTTGGTTCTTCTTTCTACCCCTTTTGGTTTCTTCATTGGAATTCTACACTTTGGGGAGAAACACATCCAAGCGACATCTAGTACACATTCTTTGCATCTTGTTTGCTCTGAGCTGAGGTCATAGCACTGGTGGCTATTGGAATGGCACGATGGTTGGAGAACCTTGGGATTTGGCATGGAAGCGAGAGAGGATAGCTGAGCTTAGGGGTAGCGCTGGTTTACCAGCGATGTTTGAGTCAATTGAATGAGTTTTGTAAATGCTGATCCAGTGCCCGTGATGATGTTGAAGATGTGAGAGGGATACATGATGAAATGCTATTCCTTTCTATCTTTGCATTTTTCTTACTCTAGTAGGCGTCTACTCTATCAGAGTCTGTCTATCTAATGACCTAAACGATGCTTGTTCGACCCAGCCTTCGCCAACCAAGCTACTCAAACCCCCATCTCTACTCTCACCAATTTTCTAGGTATGAATCAATCAAGATTTCCTCTCTCTCACTCCTCTCAGTTTCCCATAGCCAACGAGATATACACTCCCCACGCAACTCCCGCCAACGCACCAACCAAGTTCCTCCCCTGCACAGACTTGACCAGCGTAAAGTTGACGAGCGACACCGCTGGCCAGAGCTTCGCAGCAGCAAACATGAGGGCCCAAAACTCTGCCCTTGCCGCGGCCCAGACTCGTCCAAAATCGACGCGGTTAAAGTCGACGGCGCCGGCGCTGGACCAGTACTTTGCGGCGGAGGGCAGGCTGGTGATGCGCGGGGCGTGGACCATGGCTTGGCGCAGGGAGTGGGTGAAGGTGCTGAAGAGGAGGGTGTTGAGGGCGGCGCCGATGGTTTGGTCGAGGAGGAATTTGAGGATGGTGTTTGTGAGGGAGAGGGGAGGAGGCTGTGATGGTGAAGATGAGGGGGGTTTCTTGGAGGTTGAGGGGGGTTTGGAGGGAGAGGGGTGTGCGGGAAATGTTGATTCGAGAAAGTCTTGCCTGTTGGGGAGGTTAGTCAAGATGTTTGTTATATGTTATGAGGGTATTATTTGAGTTGTTTTGTGGTTGAGATGATGAGGAAGAAGAAGAGATGGTGAAAGTGCAAGATGGATAAAACTCACCAGAGAAAGTTTGGCGGCGTGCTCACCACGGCAAAGAGGACATATTGGAACACGGGCACCCAGTCTATTGTCACGGCTTCCTATCGGTCATGGCTGGTATTAGTCGACTTTCATACGACTTCAATAAAAAGAGTAGACGGGGAATATCATCGTGTTTGTGGATTATTACTCACGTTGTTCCGGTATGCGGTGATGGCCTGCGCGAGGATATTGGACAAGGCTGCTAGGAGGGACGATTGTAGCGTTGCCTGAATGATGGGTGACGGTGCCATGGTTGGACGATGCTGTTGCGGGATACAATTTATAATGAATATATGTGCGTATGAATAGAAATATCTGTATGGAATAAGTAGGATGAATGAAGAGAGAGACAGAAGTATGGATGGTGTCGGCTTTTGCGTCGAGGATTTGAGAAATTCGAGGCAGGATTAGAATATTATAAAAACCGACGGATGGAGCAATCCTGCGCACAATCTAACAGCCACTGACTAACGTTAAAGTAGCACTAGCGATGACAGTGTGTTGCGTTCCACCAGGCCTACGGAACTCCATTGAAGCCTAAATCAGCGGTTTTATAAGCAGCAATTCGTGATGACAAGCTGTTCAATATAGCTGACAACACGTGCAAAAGAGAGCCGTGCCATGTCGTGATCAATGCGACCTCCAATACGAGTACAGCGGCATCTTCCAAGCATGTCATTTCACATTTCACATAAGAACACCTGTCATTACGGACAGTGTAGATTGCTTTCTTTCGTATCTTCTGCCGCTTTTCTGCTTCAGCTGATTATATCTCGGAAACGTGGCCCCTTTCCAAGCAAACACCCGCATGACCCTCTCCTCTCCTCATCTCTTCCTGGACAAACCAAGGCTTCTTCTTCTTTTCAATGAGAAGCATCAAGCGTCGTCTGGTGAATAATTAAGTGGAACAAGTCTAACCCCCGCAGTGGAGCGGAAACCCTCAAAACGCCGCCGATAGCGCCAGCCTCACGCCTCCATGCCGGTCCATACCATATATGCACATCACAGCTTGACCTCTTTATTCCGTGTCTAACGCCTTTCGTGATATCCTATGGCGTCCTTTCTTCTTCTTTCATAGATGCAAAAGCCAAGGCCCCTCTTTGACGCCTCATTCTTGTTTTTATTTCACTTTCTCCCCATCAAATCAGTTTCAAGGCCTGGTGAGAAGCCACATAAAGAACAGCTGGACAAGGTAGGAATAGAAGAAAAGGAACTGTGTCCTCTGGTTTCGCTTCACCCGGGTGTCGGTTTGCATAGGTCCTCCAGAGTTTGTGGCCGTTTCAGGTAAAAGGACGTATTTCAGAGATCGCATCTAAATACCAGGTCAGTTAGTATTGCCATGTCAGGGGAAATGGGTGCCGAAAACCAATGTAGTAGCATACCAAGAAAAGGGAGTTGGCCAAAAAAGTATAGATAAAGACCAACCAACCGACCCAGCCTCCGGTGCCCTTGCCGCCGTTGACAATCTCGGCAATGGCAATGGTAACGATGATGCCAACAAACTTGTAGCCAGAGTAGGCAATCAGATCAAGTAGTTGGGACTGGCTGGAGATGCTCAGGAGGTAGCATCCCACCTTCAACGCGATGATTTCGAAAATAACAACGCCGAGCGCGATTGTTGCTGTGTATCCAAGAAGCTCAGGGTTAAACTTGCCCCTCACACCGGCAACTAAAGTAGAGAGAAGAATATACGTGACCAATGCCATGACTATATCGAGCATGTTCATGTTAGCTACCGTTCCCTTGCATATAACTGGTAATTCGATGCGCGCAACCGACCTGGAATGTACATATCGGGGCTGTTGATGTCGTCTCGCGGCGGCAGATAGCGCAGCTCTTGGCCATTTGCTCCCACGGCTTGTTTACGGGACCAAGGCTTATGCCTCCAGGGGAACAGGACCAGGAAGAGCTTGTTGACGACGTAGAAGTTGGAGACATTGAAGTAGTACTTGAGCGCGGAAACATTGACGTAACGGCCGATCTGTGAAGCAGAGTACCTAGGTTAGCTGGATGGGAACAAGAAACGACTCCGTCCGAGTAAACGGAGACGGGGGACGGAGACGGAGACAGGGGCATGATGGACACACGTTCTGTTCCACATATTCCTGGCCGTGCTTGAAGGCCGTCTGGCCAAACTGCGCCGCCACCTGGGCCGTGGGATCGTTCATGAACTGGCCGTATGCGCCAAAGGCATTGCCCATGTTGCCGCCCTGCTGCTGCTGGTACGGATTCCCGCCATAGCCGAGCTGCTGCGACTGCGCGGACCCCGGAGGCGGAGGCGGTGATCGGAGCTGGGGAACCGTGGAAAAGTGTTGCGGCACCGGGTGGTGCAACGGAGGGGACTGCGCCGCCCGATGCATGTTTTTGGAGCTGAAAAGAAAAGGCAGAAGACGAGAGAAGGAAATGCTTTTTTCAGCTCGGAGGCGAGGGCGCGTCGAGGCGGGGAGGAGGTTGGTGAGAGCCTGGTTCTGATACAGAGAGGTGAAGATGGCGATGTTCGAGATGCCAGGTTGGAATTGAACTGAAATGTGGTTGACTTGGCTGCTGCAGCGTCATACATGCACCTGCTAGAGGCGCTGAGCTCGATGCGCGCATTGGGGGCGTTGCAGGGGGCGAGTACCTCCGAGTACATGCAGCCACGCGCGGGACCCTGCTCGGTCCAGGTACAGGCCCCGTACTGGGTACTAGAGCCGCCACGGGCCTCTTGAGTGCTATAACGTGGCCTCTAGGGAGTTGTAGGGCACTTTTTACACTATTTCACCAGCCCATTGACACGTGATCCGGCTTCTGTCATTCCGCGTCGGCAGCCATCAATCGCTAGAGCAGAATCCCCATCGCGTACTCGTACTCCAGAATCCGAATATGGATTGTGATTGTAATTGTAATTGTGGAATTGCAACGAGGCCAGATTCAGCTCGGAGACGCCTCGGCTACCGATGGAGTTAATCGACAAGTAGTAGAAATGCGCGGGAGCTGAAGAACCAACTGCCTCGCCTTGATTGATTGTGCCTTGCATCTTGCTATCTCGTATCGTGTCTGTCTCTAGTACTTTGTCGCCACCTCACAACTGCTAGCGCAAAGTGGTCTCTCGACTTGCGCCTCGACCCGACTCTTTGTGTCTGCCTCTGCCTCTGCCTCTTCTCTACAAAGACGGTGTGGGATTTTTAAATCTCTCTTATAATACATATTTACCATCGCTTTGCATCTTGATTTTGCCAGGGTCGGGACGTCTTTGCTGGCCTCTTCTCGTTGCTTTGCACTTCCACCAGCTTCCACTCCTTATCGTTTATCTGGATGACTACACCTACACCTTTTCCCTGAACTTTCCTTTCACCATTACTCTCTTCCTCTCTTCACGCCTCTCCCCAGGTCGCAAACTCCGTCTCAAGCCTCCCGAATCGACAGCGACTCCTTAATTCAACATGTTGGATGCGTTCGAGGTTCTCACCACGTCCGGCGTGGTTCTCTGGTCCAGGACATATGCGCCCGTCAGCCCCTCCATCGTCAACAATTTCATTGCCGACACTTTTATCGAGGAAAAGACGGGCACCATTGCGCCCACCGATTCGCAGTCGGCCGCGACCAATCCAGCCTATAGAAGCGATCAACACACTCTGAAATGGACATTTGTCAAGGAATTGGGCTTGATCTTTGTGGTATGCGCATCATCTGGGCGGTGCAAGTACTGTTTTGCACATACGTCTAGTATACTAATCACTTTGCTACATCAGGTTGTCTACCGTTCTCTGCTGCACTTGTCTTGGGTCGATAAGCTTGTGGACAACATCAAAACCATCTTTGTCGAGCTATACGGCGAACAACTCACCAAGCCCCATACCACCCTCGTCGAATGCCATTCCTTTGGTGAATATTTCGACCAGCAGCTGAAAGAGCTAGACAAATTGAGTCATGTCGGGTCTATAAGTCCTATAGACGAGGAATCTGCCTCCCATCCCGCGGCAGCAGGTTTAAAATACAGAGGCCATGCTCCCAATGGCTCCGCTGCCCATGATACCACATCGGCCGATTCGACGCCTATCCAAACACCCAACGCTTCACGTCCCTCTACTCCCGGGAACTTGGTTGTTGCCAAGGCTGGCCCTGTGGCCAAGATGTCCAGAAGAGCCCGCAAGGCCCACAACTCTGGTTCGGCGCCTGCGTCGTCTGGAGACGAGGCGTTGGCCTCGAGTCGACTGAAGAAGGGCGCCAAGGCGACGAAGAAGGGCCGCAAATGGAACGCCGATGGTTTCGCTGACGAGGAAGACGACGATGTACAGCTGGATTATTCCCGGCCTAGTCTCACAAGTGACTCGGAGGCTGAGGCAGTTGGGCGGTCCAGTGCTCTGGATGCTGTTGAGTCGTCTACCTGGGGATCCACAAGCAAGGGCAAGTTCATTCTCAAGGACTTGGGAGACGAGGTGCACGACATTTTGGCTTCGGCAGAGGCTCAGAAGGCCGAGAAGGCCGCGCGAGCAGACACCAAGACTGGTCTTTTGGGCTCTGGAGTCAATGCCATCAGTGGGCTGTTCCGAAATGTGGTGGGCGGCAAGACGTTGACTAAGGAGGATCTCGACAAGGCCATGAAGGGCATGGAAGATCATTTGCTGCGCAAAAACGTGGCGCGCGAAGCAGCCGTTCGTCTCTGCGAAGGTGTCGAAAAGGAGCTGGTTGGTGTCAAGACTGGAAACTTTGAAAGTGAGTGCAGAAACTTGTTTCCCCCCTTTTTCTTGTTGCTTCACATTGTCTCTGCGAAAAGGTTACTAATTACATGTACCATAGGTATCAACGCCAAGATCCAGGCGGCAATGGAGTCGTCTCTCACCAAAATGCTCACTCCCACCTCATCCCTCGATCTTCTCCGCGAAATCGACTCCATCACAGCTCCCCCAATCACGTCTCTCCGCAAAGCTCGGCCCTACGTCATCTCCATCGTCGGAGTCAACGGCGTCGGCAAGTCCACCAACCTGTCCAAGATCTGCTTCTTCCTGCTGCAGAACAAGTACAAGGTCCTCATCGCCGCCGGCGACACTTTCCGTTCGGGCGCCGTCGAGCAGCTCGCCGTGCACGTGCGAAACCTCAAGGAGCTGACGGCCCGAGAAGGAGGAAAAGTCGAGCTGTACCAAAAGGGATACGGCAAGGATGCTGCTGCCGTCGCCAAGGACGCTGTTAACCATGCGGCTCAGGAGGGTTACGACGTCGTGCTCATCGATACGGCTGGGCGGAGGCACAACGACCAGAGACTCATGTCTTCGCTGGAGAAGTTTGCCAAGTTTGCCCAGCCTGATAAGATTCTCATGGTTGGCGAGGTACGTTGTGGATTCACATCTCCCCCTACACTTAATCGAGTATGTCGTTCATTTACTAACTATCGACCCAGGCACTTGTTGGAACAGACTCTGTTGCCCAAGCGCGCAACTTCAATGCGGCCTTTGGCTCTGATCGCGCCCTGGACGGCTTCATCATCTCCAAGTGCGACACCGTCGGCGACATGGTTGGTACCCTTGTCAGTCTAGTCCACGCGACCAACGTGCCCGTCGTGTTTGTGGGAGTTGGCCAGCATTACTCTGACCTGAGGAACTTTTCAGTCAAGTGGGCTGTACAAAAGCTACTGAGCAGCAATTAATATGTATAACAAAAATATTATGAGTAGACGACAAAGCCTTATCCTAGTATTGGTAATTGGATATAATACGAGTTAATATGTATCACTACAACTTATTGTTCACGTTCTCCCTCTAACCAACGTCACATAATTAATTGGCAGCAAGGATACCAAAAACAGCAAAATAGTTGTTCAAAAATCTCATTGCAAGCTTCATTTAGTCCATTAATACTATAAGTCTGCAGACTAGTTCCATACTATGCATCCGCTGCCGTTTCGGCTCCGACTAATCCATTCCGTGCGTCCATGTCGTTTCAACCCCCTTTTTTTGAGTCACATTAATCACTAGGCAGCATGAAATGAGCGACCCGAAATTCATATCCATCCCTCCCACCATGCCGTATCAAAAAGAGAGAAAAGAAAAGAAAAAGAAACAAGAAGTAGGAACAGAAAAAAGGAGAAGAAGAGAGAAAAGGAAAGAGAGAAAGAGAATCAAAAAGCTCAACACGGCAAAAGGCCAGCGCCAGAGTTGTATAAAGACGATCGAAATGTAACAGTAATTGAGAAGAAATAATATGTACCAATATCAGCCGCCAAAAACACTTGCAATATAAACGTCTCTCTTTTTTTCATGTTTGTGTGAATTGTTGGTGTCGTGTTATATATGTGTATACCAATCTGAGGGACAATCTTTTTTTTTTTTTTCAGTTTTTGTTTTTAGAACTTTGCGTGTATCTTCAACCATGTGAATATCAAACAAACAGCACAAAATCCAAAGGGGTATCTCTTCTAGGGTTGTGTGTAATCGCAGTCTGGTATTGATTTGGGGGATGAATCATCTCAAATCACAACGTGGGTAGTATATATCTCTTCTTCTCGAGTGAAAAAATAGCGGGCATAAGCGTTAAAAACAAGGTACAAAGGAAAGTTGATAAATATAAAGAACAACGTCTCGTCTCAGGTTATGATAAAACATTGCTCGAGTAAGCCTCCGGCAATTCATGCCATCTTCTTCTCCGTCATCGCGGCACAGCAGGCTTAATCCTCCTCAAAGAAATCATGGTCGTCGAAATCTCCAGGCTGCGCGTCCTCATCATACACAGTTTGGTGTACCATGGGAGGTGTCACTGGTTCAGCCGCCAACTCTAGACGTCGATGAGGGATATCCTGAAAGTGCGATTTGTCAGATCGATGAGATACGTTGGACTCTCGGCGTGTTCGATCCTGAACACTCTGGCCTGTGAATCGCCGTCCGGTGCTGGAAAACGCGGTAGGCTGCAGGCGGCCGTCCGGGGTAGGGGACTGCCGAAGCGCTGTAGCTGGAGGCGTAAGAAGGCCGCTCATGATGCCGCCATTCTGCATCGAGTCATTTCTGCTCTTAGAGGGAGTGGAATTGCCCGTAACAGCGGGCGAACTCAACACTCCTGAAAGGCCTCGGAAGCTAGACTGGCCACTCTTGCGCCAATTGCCCCAGGCAGCTGCGATGGGAGCAATGGTTTGCGCTACACGTGGTGTTGCGGCTTGGATGGTCTGAGCGATGTTGGGGAGAGTGATGGCTGAGCCACCATTCATAGCCCTCTCACGCTCTTGTTCCTCCATTTGCAAGTTGGCCTTGAGTCTGATGGCAGCATCCTTGACGGCGGCGCGGTCAAACCTATCTCCTGAGAGCGCCACGATAATATCTTGGAGATCTCCCTGTCTCACGGCAAGAAGCTCGCGCAGCCAGCTAATCTCGTCGTCCCGCTTAGCGATCTTGGTCGCAGAGTCGGGGTCAAGTTCAGCGACAGTCTGCTCAAGCTCCTCAATGCGCTGTTCGCGAGCCTGCAACTGTTCTTGGAGAACCATGATGGATTCCCGGAGAGCTTGTGGGGAAATCTTTTCCGGCATTTCAACCCGCTCTGCTGGTTTCGCCATCGTAGGGCTCAAGAAAGAAGAGTCAACGCCAGCCGACTTCGCAGCTTGAGCTGCGGCGGCAGCGGCCTGCTTCGTAATCTCGAGCTTCTCCTCAAGATGAAGGATGCGGTCCTGCAAATGTTCAGTCTTGGACGTGGACAGACTGAGGCGCTCCAAGAGGTGCTGCTCTGTTCGCTGTCCATCCTCAACTGCGTTGTGGACTTGGCGTTCATAGCGAGTTTGGATGTCCTCCAATTCGTTCTGATGCTTGCGCTTGAGTTCATCTAATTCGCTGGCATTGCTGGATTGAGCACCCTCGAGAAGCATCTCGTTTTGAGCCTTTGCAGTGTCAATCTCAAGCTTGAGATTATCAAGCTCAGCGCGCAACTTGGCATTCTGCTCCTCGTACTCTTCACGAACAACGTTGACCTGGTTGTTAGCAGCGTCGAGCTCAGTCTGCAGAGACATGCGAGTTCTCTTGACTTCGCTGGCCCCTGATTCTCGAGCCTCTTCAAACTCGCGCTGGTATCGAGCAGAAGACTGGTGGAGCTTGGCATTTTCGGTGCGCAGCTCAGAAAGCATCTCCTCAAGGCGGTTGCACTCGTTGACAGCACGCATACCAGCCCGCTCATTGTCTTGGAGTCGCTCCATTTCAACCTCGAGGCGTTCTCTGGTCTTAGATTCAGCCTGCAGCCGCGCTTCCAAGACATCTTGGCGTGCCAACATGGCCTGGTCCCTCTTGATGCGTCGCGCGTTTTCTTCGGCGACCTCGCGGGCAGCCTGGCCCATATCCTCTTGAAGAGCGAGGAACTTGGCACGCCACGACTCGCGAAGTCGCTCGTTTTCTTCGAGCTGAGAAATGACGTTGTTGAGAGACTTGTGAAGGCGCTTATTCTCATCCAGAGCATGACCAAGCTCACCATTGCTACGGCGTGCAGCCTCATCAGCCCGCTCAGTTTCCGCTCTCCACGTGTTGTTGTCCTGGCGGACGTTGCGCAGATCGGCTTCGAGGACATTGATCCTGTTTGCCATTTCAGCTTGGTGATGGGTCCAATTATCACGAGCAGCCTCCAACGTAGTCAGTTGCAAGGTAGTCTTGCTGCCAGAGTGCTCAAGTGACTTGATGACCTGTTCTCTTTCTTCCACCATTTCGCGAAGTCGAGCCTCTTCTTCAGAAGCGTTGCGGAACAGGCGCTGAATTTCGGACAGGTTATCCTCGGCAACACGTCTGTTCTTGATTTCCTGCTCGTTGGCATCCTCTTGGGTCCTTAGCCTCTCTTCGAGATCAGCAACACGTTGGTCGAATACACTACGGTTGATAATTTCGATTTCCACCCGAGTCTCCGCGGATTGCAACTTCCGGTGGAGCTCAGCCGCTGCATCTTCTGCGGTTCTGCGCTCAGCAATCTCCCTTTCAAGCTTCTCTTGGTCTTGGCGGTGTCGCTGCTCCAGCTCTGCATTCTTTGCCTGAAGTTCGAGAATCTGGGCAGCAAGCCCTTCATCGGGCTTAGCTTGAAGCAGGTTCTCAAATGGAGCAGAAGTGCCATCATCGCGAGGCGTAGGTCTGGCACTCGAAACTAACAGGTCCTTGATCTCATCAAGGGATCTCAGCAGTGTTACATCCTCATTAGCTTCCATGGTGGTGACCTGCTGGCTACGTTGCTGCGTAGCTAGAGCTTCGACGACAATCGAGCGAATCTGATCCAGTCTACGGTCTCTCTTGGGACTCGCTGAGCGACGAGGAAGTGGTTCTTCATCTTCGTCGTCAGCATCACTTTCTTGGTACTCCATTGAGCCGCCACGGACGTCGCGTCGAGAAGACGGAGCACGCTGGTCTTTGGATGAGAAAGTTTGTTGGAGAGAGAGCAGGGCTTTCTCAAGAGGCTCGAGTCTGGAGGCCAACAGAGTGCCGACGACTTCATTGACGCGACCGTCGAAGAATTGGGCACGATTCTGAAGTTTCGAGTGTTCATCCTCAGAGAAGGCGCCTTCCCAATCGCTGACGGGCTCACTGTCAAGTTCGCCATCCCCAAACGTGCTGCCACGCCTGATGACCTGGGCGCTCAAAGGCGGGTCTACAAACGGATCTTCCAGCTCGGTACTCAGCATCGGCTGAGAGACATTGTCCGGTACATCGGTATACTGACGCGGAATAACGCTCCTTCCTTCACGTGCATGATCCGAAGGAATATGTAGCTCCTCAGACGAGTCATGGATCTCGACAGATGGCTGAGGATATTTGAATGTCTCAATGGACTTGTTAATGCCCTGAGAATGATCCATCTCCATACGCTGCATGACTGCGTCAATCTCCTCAAATGTAGGCTCGCGCCTCTCACCGTTGGTGGTAGGCGTGGGGTTCAAGGTGCTAGCATCTTCTTGTACCAGCTCAACTTCGGCATCATCTTGCTCAGCAGTAGGGGCGGGAGTCGGTTCTGCGAAGCGGGAAGCAGCCAAGCCTGACGGCTTAGGCAATGCAAAACGAGACCCAGCAAGGCCCTTGGGAGTAAGTTTGCGTCTAGTATCCGGCAGTCGAGGATCTTCAGGAGCAGAGAGAACCTGAGGCTGTGTGGATTCGGAGAGTCCTTCTCCATCAGAGCGAGGTTCAGTTTCCTCGGGGAGAGAGACAGGGGTAGCCACTGACAAAAGCCTAGGCGTATGTTCAAATGACGAGGTCCACTTCGCAGATACTTCAGCTGGTGAAGTCTCAGAGGGCGCGGCAGTGGTAACTTGGGTGTCAATCTGGTCAACGGATGACATGGAAGTGTCAGCGGGCAAGACAGCTTCTCCATCAACTGAGCCTTCCCCAGCAATGCTTCGTGACTCCTTAACCGATGACTCCACCATTGCAGTCTCTTCTTCTTCCCCTTCTTCCTCTTCCTCCTCTTCTTCTTCCTCGATCAAGTCCTCGGCAGAATCGTCTGGTTGATCAGCAAAGAGAGGCACGTCATCGGAATCAGACAGATTGGCACTCCTGGCCCTCTTGACTCTAGAGATGTCGCCAACTCGTCCGTCAGGGTCTCTCACGTCGCCATCATATGCCGCCGACGGGTCGGCAGACGTAACACTAGAGGGCCTCAAGATAGGAACGGCTTTAGACTTCTTAGTGATGTAATCATCAGGGGCAATGTTGAGATTGTTGATGTTAAAGATAGAATCAGTCCGCCTCGGGAAGCCTTTGTTGTTAGACTCGACAGGGGCTGGGGCTGAGTTATTTTGGGACTGGAAAGGTGTGAAGGCGGGAGCATCAGGTCGGAACTTGGGCCCGGACGAGGAAAAGCTGAATTCGCTCTGCCCAGGAGCAAATGCTGGAGCATTGACGTTGATCTTGCTCGCCGGGGGCTGTTGTGGCGGGACTCCAAATGGAGTCTGATCCATGTCTTCGGAGGGAGCAGCATGGAAGGCTGCAGGCTGGAAGCTGCTGGTAGAGAAGTTGAAAAGGCCAGGAGTAAAAGTGTTGGTGGGGTTGAACTTGAACTCTGGCGCTTCCACATTGAATTTAGACAAGGATGACTTGCTATCTTGAGCTGAATGCTGGCCACCGCCGTTGGCGAGTGACACAGCGTCCTGCCAGGGGTTGCTTGAAGCAGACATGTTCTTCTGGTGTTGGCTAAAGGCCGCAGCGAAGTCAATGTCTTGTATCGGGGTGCCGAGGTTGCTAGGGTTGGTTTGAATTTCCTCATAAGCTTCGTCAACACGCTGGGTCTCGGGAATGTCGTTCAATGGTGGGAATCCGCTCTGGTTGATATCCTCAGAAGAATCGTTGTCCCGATAGAAGTTTTGCGTAAGGGAGTGTCCACGGCTGTGAGGTCGTGGATGATGCAAGACGAGAGGCTTGCTAGGCTCGTTGGCAAAATGCTCAACCTGGGCAAAGCCACCGGCGGAGGGCTGATGAGCATGTGCAGGCACAAAGGGCTGATGGTTGATGGACTCCGCTCTGGTCTGAGGATTATAGTCTTCGTGCTCCAACTCATTACGCAATTGTTCTTCCAGGTGATACTCCGCATCATCAATCTCAGCCTGCAGTTGATCAGCATTGCGCTGTGTTGGCTCTGGAGTCTTTGAAGGGCTCTTGGCCAGTTGTTCTTCCTCCTCTTCATCCTCCCTAACGTCTTGAAGGCGAGGTGACGCTCTAGCATATTGCTGCGGCAGGTATTGCAGCGATTGATGTCTCTGATGCAGGTTAAACGCCGGGCTTCCAGCCTGGTTGAACCCATCAATACCGTAAGGAGACTGGGGAGAAATCATGCCATTGAGGCTCATGATGGACGGCGAGTCGAGAGGACTTAGGCCTTGCAAGACGCCAGCCTGGTTTTGCCATCCTTGAGGTGGCTGTTGGAAAGGAGAGTTGTTGGCAGGGAATGAGATGGACTGTCGTGTACCAAACTTGCCATGCACGCCAAAAGGAACTGGTGAAGCGCCCGTTGGCAAGCCAGGGCTCTGTGCGGCCGCAGCGCCGGGGATGAAAGGTGACGGAAACGGGAAGCCGGGTATCGCATGATTGCTGGATGCTGAAGATGTCGGAATTGGAGGAGAGAAGGGAAGCGGAGGATATTGAGCCGAGGGCATGCGAGATGGCTGTGAGGATATTGAGGGCGCAGCATCGGGCTCATCGCCGCCAAATGAGACGCCAAGGGCTCTAAGCTTGGCTTCTTGCAACTCATTGACGTAGTTCTTCCATGCTATGAGTAAGTGGTTGTGTTAGTCATCATCATCCTCCAACATGAAAAGGATAAAAAAATGAGAAGATAAACTCAAGGCCGTCAGACCAAAAGAGAAGAAGAAAAGAAACTCACCATTCAAGTCTGGCAAGACTACAGTGAAATCCCGGTCGTGGCGCTCTTGCGCCAAATCTTCAAGACTAGGCCAGAGCTCTCTGCTTTGGGACTTGCCCACAATGTGTTCCTCGGCCGGCAAGTCGAAACCGTCTACATTGTATCCAAGCTCCGTCCATGAATCAAACATGCGTTCAATCTCGTCCTGTCGAAGTGGGAGCGGCGGCTGTCCCGGGCGACCACGCTCATCATCTCGCGGGATGAGAATCATGATGTTCTTGCCCTTCCATGGTACCTTCTTCTTGATTCGGGGTACCATGATAGGCGGTTCCCCAGGCAAAGGCTTCTCTGCGACTTTGATGGCAGGCATGGTGAAATGCTCAGCCTCAGCTGGCGCCATATCGCTGCGGTGCTCTGGGATAGGCAGGGCTACAACCGAGCCCGTCTCAGTGGCGGCCGAGCTTGCCATCTCGTCGTCGATATCTGCTTGAGTGGGGTCGCCGGCCTTGAGAGTCTCGATACTAGAGATGGCGCGGGGATATCGAGAGGTGGATCGAGACTTTGCTCTATATCGGCCGGAGGGCGTCGGTGTTCGAGGATCTCGACGGCGGTAATACTCGGTTTCTGAGCCGCTCAGTGAAGAGTGCTCACTGCTGTCTCCGTCGCTGAACCAGAGTCGAGCCTCGGTATTCTGGTCTACGCCGGCGGTGTGGGTGCGGATCCAGCCCTCGGTGAGTCCCCTGTTCCTACGTCTGGCCCTCTGCACAAGAACGGCGGCAGCGGCACTGGTAGGTAAGAGCGACGGTGCCGGTGCTGGGGTTTGCGGTCGTCCCCCTACGAGAAGAGGCGGCGGGCGCAAGAAAGGAGTGTTGATGTCCAAGGAGTGGATGGGGAAGCTCTCGGACCCCTCGCTCTCGGACTCGTCGCTGGCGTAGCTCTGAGTCTGGCGACGGAGGTTGAGGTCGCTGCGCAGGTAGGGAGAACCCCAGCTGGCGGTGCCAAACTGCTCGTCGTCAGAAGCGAGGTTGTCGTCGCTGTCGTCCTGGTCGTCGTCGTCGACCTGGAAATCGTGAAGATCAAAAGCAGGTGCCCTCAAGATTGCCGAAGCCCGTTCGGATAGCTTGGGGGCGGGAAGCAGAGGAAAGACGGGAGACGATCCGAGGTCGTCGTCTTCGTCGTCGGCCGTAGAAGCAGTCGACAAGGCTGGAGACGTGGGCGTTCTTGATCCCCCGCTGGAGTCTCCGGGGCCGTCCTGCGCAGGTGCAGCAGGAGGATGAGGGATTGTCGACGACGGAGTTGGAGACGACGTCGTAGCGAAGTTCTATACGGGGACAAAAGAAAAACAGAAGACGAGAATTAGCTACTCTGCACTTTTAAGGCACATGGCGGTGTTGCTGCATATGAAGCGGGCCCCCATGCCGTGTGTCGGATTGGAGATGTTGCTCACCAGGTGAGATCAGCGCAGACGAAAAACGTGTTCGCCTGCAGCTGATTCTCAACATCCGCCTACTCGAGGTCCCTCTACTCTTACTCGTCCGTCCAACCGACCGTCCAGTCAAGCTGCCAGGGACACCACAAAAAAAGAACAGCAGCGGGTGGCCGTCTGGGGGGGTGAAAATACGCGACGCGTTGACAAGCCGCCGCAGTATTAAAACCTGGAACTAAATAAGAAAAGGGGGGGCGGTGGGAAACGGAAACTGGGGACAGAAAAAGGCGCGGGTGTGAGTGCAAGCAAGAGTGTGTGTGTGTGCGTATCGTATCAATATCTGGTCTCGTCTGGCTATCGGGAGTCGGGAATAGGAATAGCAGCAGCAGCAGGTCAGGCCAGAGACGGCGAGTTCGACAGCCTTGCAAACATGAAACGAGCGCCGGGACGAGCAGACAGGACGATTCGATGCCACATTGAGAGGGCGGGTCTGGGGTGAAGGAGAGGAGAAGCCGGAGACAGATTGGACAGCAAGAGATGCAGAGAGAGAGAGAGGAGGGGAGTGAGCAGCTGCACGACGAGCAAGGCCAGGTGTCGTGGCCCAGTGGCCAGCGAACAGCGAACAAGCAGCTCCAGCGCCCTGCTTTGGGCGTGAGTTGTTTGGACGGATTGCGACCAGGCCCTATTTGCGATGGCATGTATGTAAGGCCACATCGTACTCCATATTATTTAGTAGGTGTTATATGCCCGTATTATGGAGTCGAGACGGAGGGTAGCAGCGGCAGCAGCACTAGCACATGACGATACTGCGTAAATTCGCAGGTAGCATCACCACCAGTGCCAGAATTTTTATGAGGTCCGGGGTACGAGTCTCATAGTAGAGGTACTTAGACGTGATGTGATGGGGACATAAAGAGGCACTTAATACAGGTCTCACTGCTAGTACTAATAGTCACATAACTGAGTCAAGAGTCAATTCACCAAAAGAACAAAAGTCCGCTTGCTCGCACAATTTACCGACAACGCAATATCCTAGCTCTGGACTTTTCCAGACAAAACGCCACCATATGCGGCAATGTGGACGCCATGCAATACAGCTTGTCAACCCAAAGATGTGTCAAGTTGATGGCTGAAAAAGGCTCGAGTTTGTTGGCGGTGACGAGCGGCTTGTCCGCAGCCATGAAAAACGAAGAGGTATCCGGTACCTACGCACATATGGGGTCCTCGTACTTGTACGATGCGCACACGTACCAAACGTGGAGAGACATCTCGAAACGCTCGGGTAAAAAAAGAGAATCATCTATGACTTGCCAAACTGAGCTTACTGGAGCTCCCAAAAGTAGCACTCGTACTATTGACATTTCGTTCCCCATGCTGAGTGGGAGCTGCTAAATAAGAAACCCCGTGCTAAGCATGAACCAGAGATGCCTCTACTTTCATCCTTAGTACCTCTAGATAACGCGCCAAGGCCTTTAGAGCGCTCGTGTTGGCAGCGTCTGCGTAGAATCGCAGCTTTTGGGCTATGGTTAATGGCCGGGCGCTAGCACAAGAGGCAACGGTACTCCGAGACCGTGTACCAAACGGCTGCTGCGAGAGGTCACTCACCTCGAATGATGACCGCTAAAAGCTGTCACGCTGAGATACAAAAGCGATTCACGTGCTGCGCAGATCAATGCTTGATTCTCATGACCATCCATGCCGTTTCGGGCACCCTAAGCAATTTTCATCCATACCTACGAGCAGCTTTCTATAAGTATTGCGTCAACACATTCATGCTACGAAAAGAAAAGACGTCAACTCTCAGCATCTCGATGTCCAACTTTCCTCCCTCCACCAGCGACCACTGTTGTACCTCTACTTCCCTAGCTCCAGGGGTTCGGGGGTCAGACCTCGGGAGCTAAGACCCAAATAGCAGGGGGCCACAATCCCACGGGACGAGGCTACGCATACAAAAAAACGAGCCACCGTCACGAAACTTTCGTGCCACACCCAGGCCCTTGAAGGGAAATCCCAAGTGTAGGTTGTTTTTTTTTGCGGAGCATGGGGGAATCTTTAGATTGACCTTAGCGCAATCACCTCTTGGGAATATCCCTGCGCCCATTTAATGAGCAGCGAAGATGCTAGAACAAAAACAAGAAAAGATGAAAAACGACAGCAAAATTGGTCCCCCCCAGCGTGTGTGCCAAGTGTGCCCGTAATAATAGAGGGCGTGCGGAAAGAGACACGATTACTACCTGTACGGCTGCCCGAAATGCAGCCCACTTTGATGCGACGCGCTCGCGATGCATCACGGCGGCTAGTCCTGCATTTGCATTGTCCAGTTGGAGCTGCGCCATTGGCTGGGCCTCAGCGAGAGAGAGAGAGAGACGCGGCATCTGGCCAGGGATATGTGTCCAGGGCTGCAGCTTTTTGTTTTCGAAGCAAAAGAGAAGACCGGACGAAAAAGCCCTTTGCCGAGCCTCCATGCATTGTGTTTGCCTTGGGTATCGTGGTTGGGAAGTTGGGTAGCATTATCCCGTGCTGACGTCTACTCAGAGCCTCACCATCAAAGAGGACACAAGAGAGGGAGAGAGACCAAGGTAGGTCTACGGATGAGTTTGCCCACTTGATCGCCACAAGGGAAACCCATAATGAGCCTGCCAGGTCGGGGTGAAATGTCTCTGGAAACAATGCCTCGAAAATCTGAGCAAGACCTCTCCCCATTGTGGGAAGAGCAAATACTTGAATCAACTCCACGTAGCCATTGTGCTTCAGACATTCCAAGGGAGAGACAGCTGCGACAATGTCGTAGCATGATTATGTACAACAGTTTGTCTAGACCCATGATTGACTTCATCATAAACCCAGATCTTCGAACAATGAAACAAAACGAGGAAGCTAGACATGAGACCATGAGACGTAAAAAAATGTGTATATTCAGTGTTCCAAGTAATTAGGTAGGTATCACGCTTTCTTTCCCTATAAACAGTATCAATTCTATATGCAAAGCAACAGAAAAATAAAAGGGCTCGCTATGCAGTAGCCTCGCTCAGAATTCTTCTTTTTTTAATCCTTCTTCTCGCTCTCTTCCAAAAGTCTGCAGCATCGCCTGTCAAATCTTTTCGACATACATCGTAACCCATGCTTTGGGGTGGACCATATCCGCATGCCGCAACAGCTGCAAAAAGAAAAATCTCACCGCCCAAAAAAATCTTAAAAGTTGGCCGAAGCATTTACTGGCTGGTGGTAGTTCTCCAGCGTCGACTGGAACGGATTCCGCTGGCCACCCGATGAACTACCTCGGGGAGACTTCTCGGCGGCAACGATGTCGGCGTTGTAAGCCATGAGGCCATCGGCTTCCTCGGCATGCTTCTTGCGACCCCAGACTCGGAAGGCGACCAGAATGAGGGTGCCGAGGATGATGGCACCGCCAACGCCGACGACGACACCGATAATAGTGTTACGGGTCTGAACTGACATGCCAGTAGCTTTGGAGTTCTCGGCGTTGAGGGCTGCTGTCTCGGTGGTCCTTGTCGTGGTAGTTTGGGTTTGCTTAGAGCCATCAGAGTTGGTCTTAACAACAACTTCGACCTTGGTTGAGACATAGGTAGTTTGCTGTTCCGACTTATCAGAAGATCCATCCTTGTTGTCTCCTCCGGCGCTTGTCTTGTTCTCGCTGCTCCCCTTATCGCTAGACGAGGTGCTTTGGGGGGGAGGCGTCGTGGATGGAGCAGAGGCAGAAGGTGTGGTCGAGTCAGAAGGAGCAGTGGTAGAACCAGCCGAGGTGGAAGAAGGAGAGCTGGTGGTGCTGCCAGGGGCAGGGGTTGTAGAAGAAGATGAGTCCGGAGGTGGCGTAGAAGATGGAGGAGCAGAGGTGCTTGATTGTCCTTCATCGGAGGATGTAGAATCAGCAGACGAAGAGCTGGAGCTTTGGGCCGGTGGCGGTGATGGAGTCGAGGATGCTGGGGGTGGGCTGCTCGGGCTTGGAGAGCCGGTCAAGTCATTCAGAGCACCGGAAAGGGAATCCGCTCGTCGAATCAATCCACGGTGGTGAACTTTTTGGTTGTCCCACCAAGTGGCCTGGGCCATGCAGAGGATGGACACCACCACGACCAGCACCGAAATAAGCCTTGAAGAATACATGATGAATATCTCGTAGCGTAAGAGTAGACGAAGGAGAGAGCTGAGTTCAAGTTGACGCAGAGCAAAGACTCGGGGCTCTGGTTGATTTGGATTCGTCGAAGCTTGCCTTGGACGTCGAGATTGATGGATAGTTGAGTCGAATCGAAGCCGCAGGGCGGCTGGTAGACGCGATACTGGGGTTCTCCCCTCCTAGCGCTTTGTCTTTTGATGGACAAGACGGCAGGCTAGACGGGCGAATTACTGTCAGGAAGCTCCCGGTGACGAGGCCAGGACAAAGAGAGCGGATGGCCGGACGAAAAGAGTAAGAATGAAAGAAAATAAGGTGCGTTTGTATGATGGTAGGTGGAAAGAACGAATGGCGCCGATATGCGAAATGAAGCGATGACCTAAAAGGCCTTGTTCGGGGTGTGTAAAAGCATCAAAACGAGGGACGAAAAGGAGAAGGATTGAGAAGTGAGGATAAAACGAGAGTGTTTTAATATTGAGGTGACAGGGTTTGACAAACCGGCGAGAGCTCGTATTCAGTTCCGGCCAGCGGGAAAAGGAACCCCCCAAAATCCCACCAGCGCAGTGCCACAATGCCAGGCACTTGGCGCACTGTGCGCGGATGGCAGAAACGACCCGAACGCTTTGTTGTGCCGGCCATGTCAGGACTAGGGCTCTCGGGGCAGGCCGCCTAGCTCGCTGTAGCGGCCTGCGCCTCCGCCATCTTCTGCCCTGTGGACCAGCGCCAGCCAGTGCGAGACGGGTGGCCTCCTACGGTGCTGTGCTGCGGACTCTTGTTGGTCTGCGCTCTCAATTTCAGGGTCTTCAGCAGCTGTCTGTCACGCGACTTTACGATATGCCTGTACAGTACGGTGCCTGGGATCAATATAAAATAGAGTTATTGCTTGGCTATGGATTTACAGTAGGTATTTCGCGATAGCATCGATATCAGGCCAGAGCAAGTCGTGAGCAGACGACCATCATCACATCTCATCTCATTTGCCGGAGACGTTAGCAATCGCTAGCCGTCTGTGTTGCTTCTAGCGCGAGCTAAAATTAGCTCAGCTGTCTTATCCTCTGCTTTGCACAGAGCTATGCATGTTCCAAACATATCCATGGACTGGACGTGCGCAAGAAGCAGCAGCAAATCGAGGGTTCTTGTGCCTGATTGACCAAACTTGAAATTGCAAGCACCACTGATACAAAACTGGCCAATGGCTGGATGCGCGTCCCAGTCCAAATGGTTTGGATTGGACTGGAGTTGTGGCTTCACACACTGTGCCTCCGTATGATGGATCTGTGCAAAATGCCTGCTTGCATGGTGTTTGTATTGTACGCGCAACATGCTGTGCGCAGGCAGGTAAACGCCGTGCAATCCGTACGACTCCGTACGGATCCAATGGAACCCGAATGGCCTCGTGCTTTGGCGCCCTCACGAACGTGTTGACGCCTGTGGCCTGTCGTCTCTTCTCTTTGTTGCTCCCGATACCCGCCGGGACCGTGACACGTCGCTCTCCTGCCCAATGATCCCCAGGGTTTCATCGAATGCCGAGTCAGTGCGACAATCGTCGCAAGCCTCTGCACGCTGCCTCTCTCCTGAGTGCTGCAGCTAGACCAATGCTCGGTTGCACTACCCGCAAGTTGAGCAGATTCATTGGCAAGACATGCCCTCTGTACGGAGTACTCGTACGACTTCCCGTCCTCTTGCAGCTCCCGCACGCACTACGTATGCTCCCCAGCACAGTGCGCCATCTGCCAAGAAGCAATTGTGCAGATTAAGTCCCGGACAAATTCAACACAGCCCAGGGAGCGAGGCCGCAAGTAGCCACAAGATTCGATCAAGGAACGGAACGTGGACGGAGTTTGCGAGTACAGGTAATCATACAGTATTGCACAGCCACGTCTTTCTTGTCCGGCTAGCTTGGCCAACTTGGCGTCTCTCCGATCGACAGAACTTCGGCATAGCTCCGAGTTATGACGAGCCTTGTTTATGCATCGTTTGAAAAGCTTGAAAACACTCGTATCAATTATATCATCAAGGGCGATTTTGCGTTTTTGGAAACAGGAGAAAATAAGAGAGAGGAGCTCGTTTGTAATCTACATGTACCCTTTGCCCTTGACGTTCATTACGGCCCCAGTAATAATTGAGCACGAGACTGTAGCCATTGCAGCATGCATAAGACAAGGATGAAAGGTTACTATGTAGTCTAAATAGTGCCAAGTTTTATTATCCAGTCAGTTTGTTTCACACTGACCACTACAGTGAAACTGTCATATCCCAGAACAGGAAGGAGAGACTAATGGGTAATGAAGATAGGTAGATGAAATGGACAAAGTCGATATTGTTGACAGGAAGCCCGTCATATGCATGGCCGATAGAGGTACGATAGATAGCCCTGGAGCTATTGACGTTGCTGTAGTTCTAAAAAGGGTAGCATTCAATTGAGTTTGCTAGTCTCCAAAGCCCTAAAAAGAAGCTCCTTCTAGTGCCGCTTTTTTTGGCCGCTGCACTAAATGGTTGAATGGCAGAGGCCAGCGCGGGAAATAGGAGGTTGTATCTTGTATCCGCGGGCCACGCCTATTTCAGATGAGACAATGAGAGACAGCCATGACGTCAGGAGGATTTGCAACCCAGAACAAAGAGAATCTACAATTGCTTTCAATGGCGGACTTTTGCGAATTCCGGCACTTGATCGACACTTTCTAAAATAATTGAACCAAAGTGGAAATGCATCAAATTACTCCGGAACAGAGAAAGGCAAGTAAAAGTCCTTCAGAGGTGCTTCCTTTCCTCGGGAACGAGAGGACCGAATACAAGCAATTGTCACGGGAAGTAACGACCAGCAGCTGCCGCTTTCGTAGAAACATCACATGATAAACCCTTCGTTTAGAGAATGAAAATTCAATTTGGTCAGTCCAAACCTGACGATCCTTTGTGATGACCAAGCCTGGGAGACGATGTCGAAGGAATTATCGGAACAATGATCCATCGAACCGCATGTTTTCTTGTTATAGGCAAAAATCAGCAGAAATCCCGAGCACGCGCTCCAATGACGGCACACGCTCACCTCCGACCCCGCGATCTAAATCTCATCTCGTTTAGTCCATCAATCCATCTACCAGGTCTGTCATCGGATGGACCACTGGCTAACACGGATTTTACTATGAGAGCAACGCTGCTACCATGCAGTGAAACCCCAAGGCTTCGGTTTTGTCCCGAGCCCCTCAGATGTGATTGGCATGGTGATTTGGGTTGAAGAAAAGCATAAATTGACCGTCCTCGCGGTCCAGTTGGGGTTCTGGGTGTTGTCCATCGAGGACGCAAAGAGAGAGAAAGGACTAGGGAGAATACAGTCATGAAAATGAAGCCAGACTCTCTGTTGTCGGCGTTTGCGCTGCTGCTCACAGGCATCAATGCCTCGAGAGTTGGCATCCCTGGCGGCCGACCTCGTGAGATTATACTCGACAGCAGAAATGGGCCGCTTCAGGATATTGTCACATGGGACGAATACTCTCTCTATGTCCATGGGGAGCGAGTCATGATCTTCTCTGGCGAAGTTCACCCTTTTCGCCTACCCGTGCCGTCCCTGTATCTTGATTTGTTCCAGAAGATTAAGGCACTTGGGTTTAACACGGTATCGTTTTATGTGGACTGGGCGCTTTTGGAAGGCAAGCCAGGCAAGTTTCGTGCTGATGGCATCTTTGACCTGGAGCCTTTCTTTGAAGCTGCTACCAAGGCTGGCATTTACTTGCTGGCTCGCCCGGGACCTTATATCAATGCCGAAGTGTCAGGAGGCGGATTTCCCGGTTGGCTGCAGAGGGTCAAGGGCATTCTTAGAACTGATGCTCCTGATTATCTACATGCCACAGACAAGTGAGCCTAACCAACTTCTGAAGACGACTAATTTTTTTCGGCTAATACGTATTACATGTAGTTATATGGCACACATCGCTTCAATCATTGCACAGGCACAAATCACAAACGGGGGGCCGGTGATTCTGTATCAGCCAGAGAACGAGTATAGCGCCGGCAATGCGGGCGTTGTGTTTCCAAACAAACCATATTTCCAATATGTTATTGACCAGGCACGAAATGCTGGCATTGTTGTCCCCCTAATCAACAATGATGCCTTCCCCGGCGGCACAAGCGCCCCTGGCACAGGTCTTGGATCTGTAGATATCTACGTATATCTTCCTGTGAGATGTGACTGAGAGCATTAAGCTAACTCGTTACAGGGCCACGATGCTTATCCCGTTGGTTTTGATTGCGTATGTCGAGGGAATCGTCCCCCGTGTGAAAGCTTGTTACTAACCAACCTAAATAGGCCCATCCTTATACCTGGCCAGAAAACGGGCTTCCTACAACATATCATCAAACGCATCTCAGTCAGAGTCCAAGTACACCATTTTCTCTTGTTGAGGTAGGTCTTGTTTGCTTCGTTGCATATTATCTTCTTTAGTACCATCTAACACCCAAGATAGTTCCAAGGTGGTTCTTTTGATCCGTTCGGTGGATGGGGCTTCGAACAATGCTCTGTTTTGGTTAATCATGAGTTTGAGAGAGTCTTTTATAAGAATAATTATGCGGCTGGTGTGACCATATTCAACCTATACATGGTATGTTTTCTCCCATCAGCGCATGACACTATATGCAAGTGAAGAGGGAAAAATTATTGACGCAATCAATTTAGATATTTGGCGGCACCAACTGGGGCAATCTCGGCCACCCTGGCGGTTATACGTCATATGACTACGGATCGGTTAGTATTATGAGATGCCATAGCTTCAAAATGACCGAATGCTAATTGATTGATAGAGTATCAGAGAGGACAGAACAGTCGACAGAGAAAAGTATTCAGAGCTGAAATTGCAAGGCCAGTTCTTGAAAGTCTCTCCTGGATATATGACCACTACTCCAGGCAACGTAACAACAGGTGTATACAGCGACAACCAAGACATTGCGATAACACCGCTCTTGGCAGAAGAAAGCGGTAATTTCTTTGTTGTACGCCATGCAAACTACTCGAGTACAGAATCGACGTCATATACAGTCAAGCTACCGACTTCTGATGGAGAAATCACCATCCCTCAGCAAGGCGGCTCGCTTACTCTAAATGGTCGAGACTCCAAGATTCACGTCACCGACTACCCCGTAGGAAACTATACTCTGCTATATTCAACTGCAGAGGTATTTACATGGAAAGCCTTTGCCAATAAGACAGTTCTGGTTCTTTACGGCGGCACAGATGAGCTGCATGAGTATGCTGTCAAGAATCCATTTGCTGGCACGAAAGCTACAAAAGTCAACAAGATTGAAGGAAACGGTGTTACCATCCACACCTCTGAGGATTTGACTCTGGTTCTTCAGTGGACGGCTTCCCCGTCCAGGCAAGTTATCCAACTGGGTGATTTGGTCATCCATATGGTTGGTAAGTATCATGTCCTGCAACAGTATTCACTCGTGTCTTGTATTCTGAAATAAATGCTGATGGTCGGCTATAGATCGTAACTCTGCCTACAATTACTGGGTTCCCACTCTCCCTGGAAGCGGCAATCAGCCGGCCTACGGCAGTTCCTTGATGAATCCCGCTGCTGTCATTGTAAACGGGGGCTATCTTGTGCGCTCCGTAGCTATCCAAGGCTCAGCTCTCTCATTGCAGGCGGATTTCAACGTTACCACACCGCTAGAAATCATTGGCATCCCACATGGTATTTCTAAGCTTGTCGTCAATGGAGAAGAGCTAGACTACACAGTTTCAGAACTCGGAGACTGGATCACCAACCCAACCATTGACCTTCCAGATGTCCAGGTCCCGGAGCTATCATCACTTACATGGTACCACTTAGACTCCCTTCCAGAAATTCACAGCAACTACGATGATTCCCACTGGCAGCTTGCTTACCACAAGACAACCAACAACTCCATCGCACCTCTCAAGACACCGGTGTCGCTATACGGTTCAGACTACGGCTTCAATACCGGAACGCTCCTCTTCCGCGGCCGCTTCACAGCGTCCACTGCGCAACAGCAGCTTTCGCTCACCACTCAAGGAGGATCCGCCTTTGCAAGCTCCGTATGGCTCAACGACCGGTTCATCGGCTCCTTCAAAGGCTTTGACGCCGCAGAAAGCGCCAACTCCTCTTATGAGCTCAACAACCTCATCCGAGGCCGGCGATACACCCTCACCATCGTTGTCGACTCCACGGGTCTCCATGAGAACTGGGACATTGGCCTCGATGGCATGAAATCCCCTCGCGGCATCATCGACTACGCACTCACCTCTTCCAAGGGCACTCACGTACCCATCTCCCCCTGGAAACTCACCGGTAACCTCGGCGGCGAGGACTACCGCGATATTTTCCGTGGCCCTCTCAACGAGGGCGGCCTCTACTTCGAGCGTCAGGGATTCCACCTCCCGTCTCCTCCGCTTCACGCCTTCTCCCGCGGCTCTCCGTACAAAGGCATTTCCCACGCCGGCATTGCCTATTACACTGCCAAGTTACATCTCGACATCCCCGCCGACAAGTACGACGTCCCGCTATCCTTTGTCTTTGACAACACCACTAGTGCGGCGCCTTATCGTGCTTTGTTGTACGTCAACGGCTTCCAGTACGGTAAATACGTGAGTAATATCGGCCCTCAAACCGAGTTTCCCGTCCCGGAGGGAATTCTCAACTACAATGGTGATAATTGGATCGGCGTTGCACTCTGGGCACTGGAAAGCCACGGTGCCAAAGTCCCAGGGCTGAAACTCAAGGCCCGATCGCCAATCCTCACGAGCAGGAGCAAGGTAGAGCTAGTCAAAGGGCCGTCATACAAGAAGAGATATGGAGCGTACTAAGCATTTGTTTGCTTCACAAGACTAGTCTTCTCTTAAAAATGTGCACAATTGAAGAAAGATCATCAAGTCATGTTAATTCGAGCTTCTAATAATACAATGTCCAGCATCCCCGACGGTGCCCAGACTGAGCCCAAAGTAAAATGTCAAATAGTATCCCTCCACCGCGAATATGCCCTAAGAATTTTTTCCCTAGAAATTTTTTCTTTTCTCAAATGCAAAAGTATGCAAAGATAGCCCACAAAAGAAAGGGTATCGAAAATCTCGTGTGTTGAGTCCCAGAAAGCAATGCTTGAATTAATATACAAGGCGCGTGGCTATGGACGCAACAGAAATGCCCGCCAAAATAGCAAATATAAGAAAAATATTCGACTGTGTGCTCGAGGAGAAACAGGCAACGAGAGAAAAGAAATAAAGAATAGAACTCTGTGCCCGCAGATGAAAAGACATAAAGGAGAGGATATGTCGTCTTGAAGAGGACGGGTATGTGTGACAATAACACCAGAGTCGACAAGTATGAATATCAATACCGTGAGCGAATGCAAGAAGAAAACCCCCAGTGGTAGTATATGTACGTGTTAAAAACAACAATGGCCCGTTTCGGTAATGAGAGTCTGGAGGATATAAAAATAGATGCTTCAAGTACTCAAAAAAAATCCATATGCGGTCGAGAATTATAAATATGATGTTAATACCTGCCTCACGACAGTTTTAGATTCGAACTCCCCTATAAGTCGGGGGATTACCGCGCGTAGGCTGGTTATGTCTCGGAGAGATAGGGCTTTCGAGCAAACCATGTCCGCTGCGCCGGACGGCTTGCGCCTCTTCAGCTTTCCTTCGCTGTGCCTGGGCTCCATCCCAGGAACGATGAGGCTGAGCAAGAAGCGGCCAACCGGATGAGTTGTTTGGAGACGAGCCAAAAGCTGGCTCTCTGAACTGTGGCGGAATGGGTGGTGGGACACCAGAATCCATGATGCCACGGGGTCGCGGAGTCCTTGGCGACGGTGCCCCAGTGGTTGAGTAAGAAGAACGGTTTCCTGCGCCCTTGTTGAGAGCTTTATTGTCCGGTATCGTAACTCGTAGTTCTGGTGCTGATGATCGGTCTTTAAGAGAAGAGCTTTTGGCCTGCTGATTAGATGAATGGGTAGTCGGTGACACCGACTGAGCAGACAAGCTGTTGCTGCTCGCTGCCGCAGAGTTTACTAGTGAAAGCGCCCGTTTTCTCTTTTCTGCGTCGACCTTGCTCGAGGAACCCACGTTCCCTGCAGCAGACTTCCGACGGGTCAAACTCAGGGACGGCATTCTTGATGTTGCTGCTTCAGCAACTTGTCGTAGCGAACGTCGTTTCTTCAGCGATTTAGACCCATCCGAATCAGTACCCGCCTCGATGACGCTATGAACATGCGCAGTGCAATCAGGGGAAACCAGGTTGTCAACGCTCATGATGGTGTTGAGGGTTGCGCTGCTGGCGTCCATCTTGCGCGAAGCTGAACGAGATGCCAAGGCTGGGTTGTTGTGTTTTTCATGGCGTTTCGCTCTTGACTTTGTAAAGGTAGAAACAGATTCGACGGCTTGTTTCGCCGTGTCATTTGCTAGGACATTGTTTCTCTCTCTTTCCCTTTCCAAGCGGACAAAAGGCTTATAGAGCTTGCTGTGTTTATTAATTCTATCGGAAGTAATCATGTGTGACATTGTCGGTTGTTCCAAGGTTGGTCGTCGTGATTGGTTATGTTGAAAGTAGCTGTTGTCATCGATACTTTTCGAACTCGGGAATGAGCGTTCCGAAGCATTCGAGCTGTAGCCACTATCCGCTTTAGAAGATGCCCGGTGCGAAGTTTCAGATGACGCCGTCGAACTGAAGTCACTATTGGATCTCCAAACCCCGATACTGCCCTTGCCACCAGAGCCTCCTTCGTTATCTTCAGCGTCGGAATAACCCAAGAGAGGACTGGGAACTTTTGACAGCGGACTGGGCATCAAGTCATCCACAGAAGGCTTTGCTATCTGGCTTGACGGTTGGGAACCCCTTTCGCTCAAGTTGAAACCAGAGATGGAGGCCAAAGCTCGAGATTCTGCTCCTGAGCCAATGACGGTGTGACGATTTTTGCGGCGCGCCATATTCAGGTCAAGCCCTGAATCCTCAGGCAGCGGCTCGGCGCTCGATCCAAAGTGCGGCTGGCTGGCTTTGTCTGGTGGGCTTGAAGGGGGAGTTCCGTTCATAATCTTCAAAGAACCAAATTTAATACCCCCAAGCTGCTTATAATCCGACTCGCACGGAGTGACAGCTCGCTCCAGTGGTGCAAATCCTACCGACATGGGAGGCATGGACATGGGAGGCATGGAAAGATGTCTCGGCGCTTTAGTGTTAGGGTTGAATGCATACTGACCATCTCCAAAAACTGGCTGGCTCTTCCGAGAACTTGTCCTATCTGGAATCGAGAGCCTATCCTCTCGCCTTGGCCGGGTAGCGACGCCAGGCGTCTGAATAACAGAACGCCGCCGCACTGGAGCGTAGATTGACAGGTCCGAGGTTGTTCTCGTAAGTGAGGCGCCCGCAATGGTGGAAGCCCGCCGTTCTTGGTATTGGCTGCTATGACTCTGCCTCCGCCTTTGGTTCTGGCGCGTTCCAACTTGGCTGTTCATGGCGGCTACCTGGAGCTCTTGCAAGAATTCTGAGCTTGACCGAGGCAGCTGCTGAGAAGCGTAAAACTGCAGCAATTCGGATTGCATCGACGAACCCCTTTCCAAGCGATTGCCATGCCAGCTAGTTTTCTGTCAGTTTCACAAGAACGATTGAAGGAACCCAACATGAACAGACCTTTGCGTCCGCGTAAGAGGCCGCTCAGCATTGCTGTACATTACGGAGCTCGTCCTGCGCATCTGGCTGCTTACCGTCGAGTTTGCATACAAAGAGTGCGATCTCGCATCTGTTATGGGTGATTCTGGTAGAACGGGGCTCCGCATATAATCAGACTCTCGCCGAGATAACCGTCTAGAGGGCTCATACAGTCTCTCGATGTAAGGCTCTTGTGCTGCATCGCTGCCACATTGTGAATCCCTTGAGGAGAATGGCATAGAGGCCGCAAGGTATGATTCTGAGATGCGGGTGCTGCTTGACGCAGCTGCTCCCGTAGGATTCTGCGGTCTCGGCATTGCTCCATGGCTAGCCGCTCGAGGTTTGGATAGCTTCTGAGTAGGCTTCCGAGGCGCCTCTGACGACGGTGTGTTCCCCATCAAGTAGATCACCCCGGTGGGTATTTAGAAGAAAAAGGAGAGAGGGGAAAAGAGTGATGTTTTCGGAGGTTCAGCGAGAATCGCGGGGAAGGGTCGAGGGAAACAACAACCAGGCCAGCTGTGTGAGATGCTCAGGTGTGGAATGTAGCCGTCGCCATGTCTCTCCAAAACTTGGGCGCAGAATTCAAAACATGGGGATGTATGGGGTACTCGACAGGGGAATTTGTAGGAGAATTGTAAGAGAGTTCAACGTCAAGTCGGAAGTTAAAGGCGAAAACAACAGTAATAATATATGCAGAGCAATGGGGAAAAAAGGTTTCGATGAGGGCGTAGCGCAGTCGGGTATATAGTTTTTTCTTCCTCTTTTTTTTCTTCCTTCCGTCTTCGCCTCCCAGAATCGAGGCGGCAAATCGCACCGTGATGCTTAAATCGTGGAGAGAGGGGTGAAGCTTTTGACCAGAGCGCCACCTCCGAACGTATGTTCTAAGCCGACGCCGTTGCGCCTCGAATCCGGTTCCGGCGTCAGTATTTTCGTCTGACGGAGTATCAATGGGAATCACAGTGAAAGGGAGTCCGTTGGGCAAAAGAATGGCGCGTTGGAGAGCAGCAGGATCGATGCAAAAAAGAAGTCTGCAAGGCCGAGTAAACAATCCAAGCAGCCAAAAAGTCGCGACACCAGGGCCTGACGATGGCCTTCGCACATCATCTCCCACGGCAATCCAACAAGCGGCTAAAGCTATCGTATATGCGCTGCAAAGCTCCACAATTCTCGCACGCCGCTGATGGAATTGAGGCCGCTTCCTGGTCGACGGTGATGACAGGGGAGCCCAAATTGCAACCGAAGCTACCCCTGTGAGATTGCCTGGTTGGTCGCATTACAGCCAAGAGTTCGTCACGCTACATGTCTGAGACAAAGCAGATTGGATTAGCCGTGTCCACCAGTCAATGCCGCCGGAGCATCCAGTCCTCTCGTCGTCGTTCCTTGATTCGTTCTATTCTCTCTTCTGTTCTCTCGCCTTCTACGGAAGCACCTCTTCTGTCAACCATGGGCAATCCAGTCCGATGGGTGAGACGACGAAGATGAAAAGAAGCATCGTGGAAAGACCCATCAATTGCGAAAACCTTGGCAGCTGAAAGCTCGGAGCATCTTTCTCCTATTCGCCGACAGTTGGGTTTCGTCGTGTCCAGCTGGAGAGGAAGATTCGGGGCTAGCTGGTCTAGCGCGGTCGATAGCTAAGAGAGAGAGTCAGCCCATGGCATTGAAGCCCGAAATGCGGATTTGCAGTGGGAGAATACATCACATCATCGCCTACCTGTTTTGTCCTGTCCTGTCTTGGTTGTCTTTGTCGAGGCTGGCCGTCTGTCTGGCCATCTGTCCGTCTGCCCTGTTTGGCTGCTTGGTTTCATCTGTCGAAAGCTGCCACGTCGCGTCCACAACCCAACCAGCCCAAACAGCTAGTCACTCAATTTCAATCGACGATCAATCGAATCCATATCGCCCGTCAATCAATGAGCCAGCGCTAACTAACGTCAACGACGGATCCTCGGATGCTCGTAGACCGGCGACCTTTGCGGGCACGTTCGGTGCAAGATCTCCATCTGGCCTGCATGGCGTGTGGGGAGCTCTCATTACAAACGGATCCCACCACGATCTAGCGATAATTACCGGAGCCCCTCAGCAAGATCCGGCGAAGACGACGAGGTGCTGCTTCTAATTTCAGACAGAAACCGCCAGGCGGCATTCCATGGTAAAGTCACAGTGGCAGTGGAGGGCAAAGAAATGAGCAAGACCGATGACTAAGCTTGCCCCTTTCGCTGTTGCTACCTGCAATATCAAGTATACGAAGCATTCCCCTACTAGCAGTTGCATCAGGCGGTTACAGGTACAGCACAAGCAATCTCTGGTGCTTCGTCTCCATGGCTCAAGCTACTATAAACTTGTAGGCTTCACGAGTATTCGTACGACGTGCTAGTACAGTAGCTACTAGGGAGCTAATAGAAGCTATTAGACGGATCAATGGCTGGTTTAAAGAGGCTGGATGAAATGAACCAGTAGCGAAGCTCCATCCATCTAGAAATCATCCGATGACAAACCTGCGGGCAAATCCGATCCATTCTGCTGACTCCCGCCCACATGCAAAAAAGGAAGCAAAAAAGCATCAATGGGATCGTGCTGACCAGAGCCCTGGCAAGCGAAATCTCGGTTCCGCCCAGAGACATGGTCCCCATTGATAGTCGAAAAAATTGTAGCATTGCATCATTCGCTGGACGGCACGCGCGGAGGAGAGAGACTGCCGATGCCGAGGAAATCCGTGACGTTTGCCATTGTCTGCACCCACTCAAAAAAGTAGTAGATAAACATGTCTCATATTAGAGTTACCCTAGACTATCGTGAGAGTTTGAAGAGATGGCTTTTTTTCTTCTTCTCTCTTCCTTTTTTTTCATATGCACGTTTACACTTTAATCTATTGCCTATGACGTGATGCCGTGATTTTGCATTTCCATTATCAATTGCATGAATGATGTTGACTTTCAAAAAGTCTTCTTCTCTGGTTTCGACTCTGCATCGTTATAGCACATCGTAATTTTACTCTCCACTGTGATTGAAGGTTGATCCTCTCAAAGCATGTAAGTGGGTGAGCATACAATACGGCGCAGCTATCCAATGCCTTTGGCCTCTTCATCTAGTAGCATTGTATTATCCCAACTCACATGATGACGCCGGCATTCGTAAATGGGACTAAATTATCTGCATGTCTCAAATCTTCCGCGCCCAGGCTGAATTGTGGCGTTGCAACCCTCAATGCCCCTCCAAGATGCCGAAGCTATTCTCCAATCACATACGTACAACCTTGGCTCCCAATCCAAACCTCATGCACTCTCCCAGCCTCCACGTCCACCCTGGAGCCGACGCCGTACGTCGTCTTTTTACGATCCGCCTCGTTAGGATACCACAGTGTCATCTCGCCGTCGACAATCAGATGCGTTGTCAGCCCGCCGTGCGAGTGGGGAGGGTAGTGAGAGTTTCTGCAGCAGCGCGCATTAGCGACCGAGCACACAGCCACCATTGATTGATCTGCTGGCGATGCTTCCGTAGAGCCCGAACGGCAGAGAAGAAGGGAGAAGACTATTGAAAGCTGCTGATCATTATCGAATATGATACAACTGCTCAACGGTACGTATCATAGAGGGGAGAACGCCTGAAGACGAATGATACAAAACATGTGCAGCAAACTATTACAAGCGCTAGATGGATACACAGGTAGCTAATACGCGTATCGACCAGTCACAACGACCACAGAAGCCACGGCATGCAAAAGCATCGACGCTCTGGTTCGACTTACGGGCCATCACTCCAGGTAAAGACGTTGCCAAACCCCCACGATCTGACCTGCGCCTCATGCCGGTCACCCATCTTGGCGGGTGCGTGCTTTTTCGATTGCAGGCCGCGCCCCGCTGGGATCCTTCAAGGCGAGCCTTTATGATGGACGCCCGTTTGGGGCAGACCGGCGCTCAGACGAAGAGGCTGCTGATACGATACGGCGTGAGACGGTGGCTGAGCTCGGTCGTGTCTCGTTCTTCTTCTGCTGGTTATACTTTGGTTGTGCCGCAGCCGAGAGAAGACGCAGTAGCAAGCGAATGAACGATGGGAATGGGTGAAGCCGTGGAAGAGGCAGAAAAGAGTGAGTGAGTGAGAGAGGATGGAAGCGAAGATGGCGCTATTCACAGTGCATGACCTCACTGGCGCAGACCCACTAGTCCCAGGCCTGAAGCACCAGCAACGGTGCCACGCCCCGAGCCGCAGCGCTGGGAGGCTTGGACAACCTTAAAAAAATTTCTGAACTGTGTCCATCATTGTCATTGATTTTGATAGCCACCCAATGCATCATGATTGACATTGATCAACATCATAACCCCTTTGAGTAGTTGCCTAGAATTAGCGAAGCCTCTCTGAATGCTTGACTTGACCCTGAAACAATGACGAGACCAATTTACCTGCTTCTCCTGTACGTTAGATGTCCAAAATCTGCCCAAGGCATTATCTCCGCCCTACGAGGCCATCAGGCCACCCATCTTTTCAGCTGGCACCGGTCCAAAGCAACCTAGCCTCAACCACACATGCATCGCGAGGGTTGCATTGGGAAATCCCTCCCCCGATAGCCCTGCTTTGCGAAAACTTGCAGAATCAGCTATACCGTAACCTGTTGTGACTTTTTGGTGCCCAAGTTCAAACTCTCGTACTTACCACAGCTGTATCTGGAGCATAGCCATGCCAGAACAAGCGCCCTCAACATGTGCTCTTATCCAAACGGAAACATTCAAGATGCAAAGCCGGGGTCCTCCATCAAACACAATCATCCTCGTCCTCGCCCTATCAAGCCCAGCCCGAACACGACAACCAACCAACTCCACGTCCAGCCCTGCCGGAAGACACCAGACCAGACACAGTCAGTCACCCTGTCCGCTCTCCTCCTCACTTCCCCCCTCCAATCCCGTGGCTCGCATCCGACGGCATGCCCGCTACCGCCAGCCTCACTCAGCCCAGCGCACCAATCGCCGGCGACCGCATTGCAAGACAACACAGCACGGCAAAGGCACTCCGTATGGCAAAGCCTCTCTTCCCTGCTCACAGGCTGGCCACGAGAACAGCGCCAGAGAAGAGGCGTCTACTTGTCACTCCATACTTGTACTACTCGTACATACATCACCCTTACCTGTTACATGTGCATGCCGCCAGACCAGACGGCAAACAGCCATTCGCAGAGAGTGGGAACTTGTAATTGTAAAGGCTCTCGGGGATTGCCACCGGGCCCTCAGTAGCAGCGGCAGCAGTAAGGCTGTGCACGCAGCAAAACACTGAGGTGGACATCCCGCCCCATGCACAAGAAAGCAAGACACCAGACAAAGCCCAGGCCTTTCGAGTCAGGTAATTCTGCCAGCACAAGGGCCAACTATCCCGACCCTCTTCGCACTGTCGCACTGTGCGCCCTCCCCGCCCGCCACAGCGCCGCAACCCCCGAATCTTGAGGCTCAACAAGGCAAAGACAGCCGGCTCTCGCACGGTGCGCGCCGCCCCGACAGCCCAGTCCCGTCTCCAGTCTCTTCTCTCTGCCGTGCCAGGCCAAATTGATGACTGCAAATTCAAGCCCTGGGATCCAAAGTCGCTCCACTAAAAAAGACCCTCCCAGGAACAACTTCCCAGCAGCAGCCCCAGCAAAAGCCCCAGGGAGAAAAGCTACCAGTACCAGTAACTCGTACAGTACGGCACAAAAAGTGACAAGTGCCGCCGCTGCAACTCGCTGCACATGCACAAGTACCCTTCGGGTTACAGCGAGAGGGACCCTCCGCTAGCTTACCCAAAACGAGAACCATTGGCAGCTGAAATAGCACCAGACCTCTTGCTAGTGAGCTTGCTAGTAGCGGCACCTAAATTAAGAAGCTGACCCGATTCCTTCTTCTCACCAGCTCGTTTCGTTTCTACTTCTCTCTCTTGCCCTCTTTTCATCCTCATCCTCTTCCCCCTCGAAAACCTGTATTCTTGCGTCGATATTTGCCTTTTCAGACTGATTGGCATATCCACGCACAAGATAGATGCACAAATAAAATATAATCTCCGCCGTTATACAGCTGACCCAGAACGGGAACCGAGAGCCCGCCTTATATAAGACAAAAGACAGACGAGACACACACGACAGAACCCGGACAGCTTATCCACCTCAAGGGCGGAAATCCAAAAGAAAATCTCCATATCAACACCATCCTCCGCCGACGTCTTAATCCTCTGAGCCTCGTTACATCCTCGTCCCGGCTTCTGGGTTCATCGTCCGCTTTCCGAGAGCGGCTGGCATTTGCTTGCCTCTCATGCGCTCCTCACCACGACAGCGACAGCGGCAGCGGTAGTATCTCGCTTCTCGTCCTTGTCCTCCTCCCCACCCCCAGCCAGCTACCATGTCTCTCACCTGCGGGCTCTTTGTAAGTGTCCAGCCAACTTTAATTTTCCTTTTCTTTTTCCCTTCCAAATATACCAACTCCTATTCTCTCACTTTCACCTTCTCCCATCTCCTCATCTACGGTGCCATGCGCAAACCAACCCACCACGCTAACACATGGCCAAACCTACAGCGCCGTCGTTCCAAGACGGACGAGAAGAAGCCGCGGCGGACCCGCACCATTTCCATCTTCGATCCGAGTCTCGATGCCCTCAAGCGAATGATTAAGAACGCCACCATGATCTCCCCGATAAGGCTTGGCGATGGCGACCCGACCCTTTCCCGCCGCAACACATTGACACGCGAGCATTCCATGACGCCCGAAATGATTGCCATCCTAGAGAGAGTATACGACGACCTACGAAGCGACGAGCCTGAGCTATCGAAAGAAGCATTCATCAAATTCATCATGGACACCCAGGGCGAAACCATGGTCCAGCTGGATAAGGATCAATACACCCTGGGACAGTTTCTCTACGTCTTGGCACACGAATATCGCTGGGAAGCCATCCGGAAGCCATCACAAAAGGATTACTCGAAACCCATCACAAACTACTTCATCAACAGCAGTCATAATACTTACATCAGCGGCAACCAATTGGCTTCAAAGACTTCTCCAGAGGCGTACATGAATGTCCTAAAGAAGGGCGGTCGTTGTATCGAAATCGACGTCTGGAATGGTGACGATATTCCGGTCGGCGGCGAATCCAAATCCCCATCTGGCAACGGTCATTCGAGGGCCATTTCTGGCATATCCGGCAGCTCTCTCCCCTACGCGGCCGCTGCCGTCTTCGAGAAAATGGAAGACAAGCTCGAAGCCGCCAAGGACACTGCCAAAGGCTATCTCGGAAACTCAAGTGGCGGACGCTCAAGAAGCACCAGCACCAACAGCAGAACCATGACCGACGACACATCATCCAGCTCCAGCAACGTATACCTTGCCCCGGTGGCCAACGTCTCCAGCGATAAGTTGGAGATCCCCCGCCTCTCGAGGACTCGATCATCTCTTCCCCGAGGAGAGCCCATCGTCACCCACGGATGGACCTTTACGACTCCCTGTGGATTTCGCGAGGTGTGCGAAACGATCCGAGACCATGCCTTTGCGCATGGTAATGACCTGCCCATCATTATTAGCTTGGAAGTCCACGCGGACCACAACCAGCAAGAGGTCATGGCGACAATCATGAAGGAGGTCTGGGGACCGATGCTTGTCCAGCAGCCTTATGAGGGCTGCGATCCCAAGTTTAGAGTGCCCACGTTGGACGACCTTCGGGGCAAAATCATGGTCAAAGTCAAGCGCGCATTCCCGAAGATCAATGGCCCACAAGACGTCACTGCTTCCTTGCCCGTTTTGCAGACAGAAGACGACGGCTCGACCTCGGACGATGAGCACGCCCCTCGTCTCCGAGCAGCCGCTTCTTCCCCCGCCGGGGCCCTCCCTCAGCAGGATGAGAACGGCAAGGTGACGATATGCAAGCCCTTGAGCGACCTCGCCGTCTACACCCGCAGCGAGCGGTTCAAGAGCCTCAGCACCCCTCAGGCGAAGCAGCCCACCCACATCTTCTCCATCAGCGAGGACAGAATCTTGGAGCTGCATGAGAAGTTCCCGCGCGAGGTCTTCACCCATAACAAGAACTTCTTTATGAGGGCCTTCCCGGCCGGACGAAGGATCAACAGCTCCAACCCGGACCCGAGCCTCTTTTGGCGAAGAGGCGTGCAGATGGTGGCCATGAACTGGCAGAACATGGACGAGGGCATGATGCTCAACGAGGCCATGTTCGCCGGCGAGGACGGCTGGGTCCTCAAGCCCGCGGCGTACCAGGGCGCCGACAAGGCCAGCGTCACTCTCGACCACGCCGCCAAGCACACCCTCGACCTCTCCATCACCTTCTTCGCAGGCCACAACATTCCGCTCGAGGATGGCGAAGAAGACACTTCGCGCAGCAGGAGCAATCTCCGTCCCGTCGTCAAGGCCGAGTTGCACATTGGCGAGGACGACAAGGACGGCCACGAGCACTCTTACAAGCAGCACACAAAGACGGCCAAGTCATCCAACCCCATATTCATGTCCAGCTCGCAGCACAAGGACGCAGGCGACAAGTTGCAGTTTCTCAACATTCCCAAGGTGGTGGAGGAGTTGAGCTTCATCCGGTAAGTTTTTTGATTACAAACTTTTCTTGCACCGTCGTTTTTCTCTCTCGCTACCCCCTGTCATCCCCCCCCCCTTTCCCCCCTCTCCCCTTAACCCAGGCTTTGTTTTGCGCAACAGAGGGCTCTTTGTGTCACGCCCAAAATCGCCACAAGCTGGCTGTTGTTGAGCTTCATATTGCGCAATACACAGCGTGATACTTTGAGCGGCAACTGGCAAAATCGACCAAGCGGTCGGCGGCTCCTATCCGAGCTCAGTCAATGTCGTATCTTTTCACTCTTTCTTGGCTGCTACCCAAAGCTCGAGTTGGTGTGGTGTGGTGTGAGCTAGCGGTCAAAGAACAGCAAGCCTTTCGGATCCAGCTTCTCGGGTCCTGTTTGCGCAACTGTTCCCCCCCCCCTTTCTCCTTTTTGGCCCTTCGCGGCAAGTTGCCGTCCGGAGGTTACCACCACAAGAGGGAGCAGCTATTTCTTGTTGGGTGTCCGTGGCTTGCATTTGCTAGACTACTAGTTCTTGGCTGGCCGCACACCAAGTTTTACCCCTTAGTTTATTTTAGCTGCATTTCTGGCTCTCACAGCAAAAACGGTGAAAGGGCCGCCTATTACCCCCGGTGGTATCACAGCTTACGGCCGAAGATGTGACCCCAAGAAAATTTTATTAAACACACAAAAAAAAAGGAGAAAGGAAAAAAAAAAGAGAGGCTAACCAGGAATTCAAATAGACTCAAAATTGAGGACAACTCGCACACCGTTAGTTCACCGTGTCTCGCCTGGGCATGCATCCGCCTTGACCGGCTGCAACGAGGGTACCGCTTCATCCGCCTCTTCGACATGAAGGGCAACGAAATCCTTGGCGGCAAGCTGCTTGTCAAGGTCGAAAAGGTGTTACGGTGAAATGGGCGGTAAGATGACGCCAGCACCCAGCACCACCATCCCCTTTTCTTTCTTTTTCTTTTTCTTTTCCTTTTTTCCCCATTGGAGGAAAACGTCTACAGGTCTTTGATTTATTTCGGGGTTTCCAACTCGGTGGTTGAACAGTATACCATTTTTATTTACATCTCCTTTGTCATTCTTGGTTTCTTTGATTCCCTTTGTCAGAAACAACAACTCTTAGAGAGTCTCGGGAAAGAGAGGGCGAGTTTATTCCCTCCTCGTTTAGCGTATGGAAATCGGCGTCCCTCTTTTGGTTCATTCATCTTGGAATATTTCGGGCTAGAGAGGGGGAGGAAGGAAACCTCATGCATTATAGAAAACCGCATCGAAATGAACCCCATTGAAATTTCGGGGGAACAGTCTTCTCGGCGAAGACGAGTATAGTTTATTTTTTTTTTGTCTCTTCCCTTTGGGAGGAAGAGGGGGAGGCGTTGGGGAAGAAAGAAAGGAATCGTGTTTGCCGGCTTGGCAAAATCAATCAAATTGATATCAAAGGGTCTTAGGCCATGCACTACTGCGTCATTTGCCATCCATTGCATTCTTGTGCATGTTCCCTGCTGTAAAAATTGAAGTCTTGTTGGTTGGCCATGGCGTGTGCCCGAGACGGCAGAGTGATGGATGCTGTGCAAGACGCAGTTCTCCTGTTCCCCCAACACACACTCGCAGCACACACACTCTCCAACGACCCTTTCTTTTGCGGGTTAAGAATACTTCGTAAAAGAGCCTTAAATCCTCCGCGGGAATGGCACACGGGTGTAGCCACGCTTCCTCCGTGGTGCAACGAGCCATGCAGCTCTAACATTGGCCCTGCTGAAGATGGCATGCCCCCCCTCCTCGTTCTTCTCGTTCTTCCATCCACACCACCATCGAAAGGGTAGAAGCAGATTTGCTACCAAGCCTGCTACAGCACTTACTATACTAGCGAAACGCCGCCGCGTAAAAGAAAAATGTCACCAGCTCGGGGGAAAAAAAAAGTCTGAGGAATGGCTGCCCGCGCAGTAGTGCGGCCGCTGAGCGCGGGAAATTGGTAACAAACCGTCAACGATCGAAGAGTAGCGAACCAATTGGGTACATGGCTCTCCGCTGACCCAACCCCCTTCAGGCCCTTCGGAGTTGATTCGTCTCTTTTTTTTTTCTGCCTCATTCTTCTCTGCTCTTTTTTATCTGAGCGGAACGCGGCTAGTGGCATCGGAGCGAAGGGCTGATGCTACGACATCACGACGCCGCTGACCGAAGGAAGCGATTGGGCGGTCCCCTCGTGCTGCCAGTGCGGATGCGGCTGCTTCCGCGGGTTTCCTAGGGACTTGCCGCAACGCCGGCCTATTCACCGTCGGCAGAGCTCTGCTCAGGTGTGAAATTCGCGGTAAAACAAGGTCTGGGAGACACGGAATGGACGTAAGAGGTTTCACTGCCGGCGGTCGGTGGCCGGACGCACTGGCGGCCGAGCACGAATCCTCCACCAACAACTCAATTGACAAACCACAGCCTGCGAACTGCCGGTATTGCTTCATGCCGGCTTGAATGCCAGTGACGCAGTGAAACCTGCTAGCAGAGCTCCGGTGTGTCCCAAATATGCCACGAAATGATGACCTGTGCTGGTTACTAGCCGTTGTCCGGCAAGCTGCATTTTGTCATGTCCTAGCCGCCGTCGACACGTCACAGAACGTGCCAGCACCGCATCCATGGTGCGACCTTTTTTTCTTGTTCCCTCCCTCTCTGTTCCCTCTCTCTTAGTTTGAAGTGGGGGACAAGTTTAGGCATATCGAAGCACGTCTGGGCAAGAGAGTTTGGCGTAGCCTGATAGGTCGTGGCCGTTGACTTTTTATTGGTCCAGGTGTCTTGAGCTATATGCGTCCGGCAAGGAGATGTCTGCAGAGCAGGGCATCTTGAAGGGTTCTAGTTTAACCGGATAGCCTTGCCTTTTTCGAGTGCTGTCGAAATGCAGGTAGGGCTTCTTTTTAACGCCGTGTTTCTTTACCTTTTTTTTTTTTTCGCCAATAGAAAGCAGAGTCAGATCGTCAACGACAAGGACAAGAAATGCCAACTACCCGTGGTAACTTACCACGAGATAAGCTTGCAGCTCAAAGCCATGACCATACAGCTGCTTAGATGGACTGTACCCGATGGCAGAACTCGCCGAAGTGGAGAGAGAGAAGGAAACCAAGCGTGATGCTTCATGCGGCCGGGGTCCAGCACCTGCATCGACACATAAAGCTGGACTCCATCCATACCAATTGAAAGTATGCCTTATACGCCCATCGAATACCCGCAAAGCGACAGGATTGAAAGACTACTGCGGATTCTATATTAGCCACACAAGGGATATGGACCATTGTGGTTAGCAGTCGGCGGGCTATAAGTCAAGCGCCTCTGAAGATGCATGTATCAAAACAACCGGCCCAACAAGTCGAAAGGGCCTATCAATCAGACCAAAACAGTGGCACCATGGGAACAGTAAGCCATCTGGCTGCGACAATTTGAGTGCTACTGTGAAAAAATCCTCAAAAAATGCTCTTCTCATCTCACGCCCCCTCCTCGACAGGGCCTGTCTGGCGGAATAAGACAAGTGGACAGGAGGGTGCGGTCACGAGGGCTGGGCATATATGCACTCCTTGTCAATGGCAAGACTTGGTTTGGCCCCCAGATTAGAGTGACGTCGGCGATTGGTTTGTGGCATACGGGTTTTGCGTACCTAGTAGCCATAGGTTGCTGGTCTCACTTCGTTCGCCAATGTCTTTCACCGTAGCTATCTGATCCAGCAAATGGGAACCGCAGCAGTGATTTCGATTCCATATTGGCTCCGCAGGAGGGACCACTTTGTATACTTCAAACGTAAGATGTGAAAACGGATGATGCCTGCTTAGTCCAATAAGACAGCTGCGGTTAACTGTGATGGCAGCATGCAGGATTGCCGGGTACGTACGGTAGGTCTTCGTTCTCGGGTAACTAACCTGACTGACCGCTTCATCCAATCACTCGATGGGCGCTAAGGAAGCTCTTCGAAGGGTTGCCCTGTCATGGTACGGCTTTAAAATGTGGTTTGATACTCCTCCCGTGGTGAAATGTGAGACATCCTTCCGCCGGTGGCTTGGCCGATCTCTTCCCCTGGTCAAAGGAAGCTCCGCTCTGATTAATTCAGCTTCCTTGGACGCTTGTAAAGCTCTCTCTTTGGTCCTGAAAGCACCGCCTTGGACTCTGCTCTAAAGGGGGGGCTAGGACACTTGAGTGATACGAAATTCTAACTGGAGAGCAAATTAGTACCTGGATTGCCCTTGTTCCGCCGGCTGGCCGGTAATCCTTCGCGCCACAGGTCAAGGCTCTTTCGCAGGTTGCGACCCCCGAGTGCTTGTCCAATAGGGGGGTTTCCAACCAATACTGCCATCCATGTTTGAATCGAAGGCGAAAAAGAGAGACGTTTAGGAGTTACCAGTATGCATTAACTTGTCATTCAGAGCCTGACACCCTCCCCCGGTTGTATTTCATATGCACAAGCACCCTGCAAAGCTCAGTGGCACGGACAACACGGACCTGTCTGGGCACCTCTGTGATGCGGCATGCATCATGTCATGTTATTGTAATCGAAGCAAGTCGAAACTCTGTTTTGAGAATATGTCTGGGGCCCCATAACTTATAACTGGGCAGCACTACTGCCTGGCCGGAGGTTGATTTGGTTCCTTTGGCATTGGCTGACGCCGGTAAACACGAAGAGGATCCCCTCCCAAAGGCCACTCGCGCTTGGCCACTAGCAACTTAATCTAGAATCTCTCTAGGAGCTGCCACCGGATGGCCATGTGCACTATCTCCCAGTAGTTTAGCATTGCCATGTAGTACTCCACACATGCCTGCAGTTGAAGGAGCATGCATTTCGATATAGAGGATCCGTAATTCCAAAGAAACTTCCAGTCCATGCCGGGGCAAAAGTTCAACTACAAGGTAGTTCTGCTAGCAATGACCCACTAGCTAGCCATTGCAGCCGCTGAGATGATCAAGTGGGGTGTGAAAACATGGGGCGAGGGTCGTCGTCTTTGTTTCCCTAGGTACAGATTGCTGGATAAATGTGAACCAGGAGACACATATGGAAAAAGAAGAGTGGCTATTTTTTTCTTGCACAGATGCCGTGTGGAACGGTGGCTGGTGTGTCCCCTGGATTTTGACTCGCTCACTATTCAGCTAGGTTGGTAGGCTTCGTCATATGTTGCAAAGCCTTCACGATATGATAGAGCGGCTTGTCTAATTTCAACGACCGCTAACACGGGACAAAACTGGTAATATGAATCAAAAATATGTCGATCCGGCTCGGAGACGCATCCTAGGGGAAACGAAACTCTGTGTCCGTGCTTGGCAAGTGCGGAAAAAGGAAACCCTCATCAGCTCATGGAGTCGTTTTATGTCATGGCAGTTTCGGTAAAGAAATGCCACAGCGCGGCTGCGGCGATATGTGCCCTTGCAACATGCAACAAACAGCACATGCCTGTGGGCAAAAACTCAGACTAGACCAGAATATGAGATGGCGGCTCACCATGGAAACCAAAACCATATCGTCGTGTGTGCAGTTTGCCGGGTGGAGGGAGGGAGAAAAGGGGATCCGCTTTGTCAATAGCGCTCTGGCTGGGTTCCCCTGGCCAAGCTGAGCAAGCCGTTTTTTGCGTTTTCATTCACTCGTCAAAGCGACCGCCTGACCGTCGAGCCATCTGAGAACTGACAGCCGCGTGTGTCTCTCGTGACACCTCGGGGCCCGCATCTTGTAGCCATCGGCGTTTTCCCTTCTCCCTCGTGCTTTCTTTTTTCTCCATTGGCAATGCGGATTCTGTAATTTTGGATGCTGGCACCCCGCGGCAAACTCGCCATCACCCGCGGGTACAGTCCCATCAGATAATAATAATGATAATTTAGGACACATAAAAAATAGGGCCTGCCAGCCAGAGAGTTTGCGAAGCGGAGAGACAACCGCACTCCAAGGGTTAGCTGCTGCGAGCCATTGCGTAAAAGAAAAGTGGTCACGAGCTGCCGTCTGTCTAGTTTGCGGTTGCTAGCTTGAGAAACGAAAGGACGCCTGTGCTGGTACGAGTTACTGTAATCGTATAGGCCAAGGTACTCGTAGATGCAGATCGTCGCGTTGGCGGGCAGCAATCTGAATCAGTCGCCGGCCAGAAGAAGGACGGGAGGTTTACAGACGGCGAGCACGCAGCTAGCCAGCGATTCCCACGGCAAATGGCCAATGGCGTCAGGCATCAGGGGTGTAAAAGAGGAGAGATTGTCGAGGGCCGGCGGCTTGACCTGACCTGACCTGACCTGATCAAGAGAAGAATGTCTCAGTTACGGAACTCCAGTGATGGGGATAATGCCGGCAGCAAAAAGAAAGCCGTCCATCAGAAATAGAATAGGCACGTTGACTGGAGCAAGCTGGAGCTGGAGGATTGTCGGATGCATCAGCCCGCCCCAAAAAATTGTTTCCCTTTCCCTTGCGGCTTGGCCCCATCGTGCTTGCCTATTCCAGCGGCACCAGCCCGCATCTGGCCAAGCAGATGAGCCGCCTATCTAACACGAATCCTGGCGATGACCTCAGTCAGGGTTTGCAAAGCAGGTACTCGTACAAGTACTTCCATGTGCTCCATATACTCCATACACTCCATACTCCATACATCCATACCTCTATAATATAGCACCTACCAGGTACAGTACCTTACACTTACCATACTCCCTAGTAGGCATGTGCTCGCCCAGTTCAATACGACTCCAGCACACTACCGGGTGGTAACCCTTGCGGATCCCCCGACCCAGCCTCGAACTTGGATGGCGCACATGTCCAGAGAGGGCAGCCGAAGAATGCAACGTCAAAGACGGCATCGTTACGGAAGATATTGCAAGTGTTGCCGAGTAGGATTGACGCCTCTGTGCTGCCAGATTTGGTTCCTTCAAGACCAGGACGGGCTTCCTTGGCGGCAGGGGGTGGAGCGTCTGGGAGTTGTACCGACATGTACGGGATACGGAGTGCTAATACACAGAACCTTGGAAATCAGTCTTGCCGGGCGATGCGAATGCCAAGATGCTGGAGAGAGAGAGGCTAGACGGATCCATGATTATAGTAGCCAGTAGGAGCTAGTAGTAACTAAAGGTATTCGAAAGGAATTGCGAAACACGCATCAGCGAGACAAATTAAAAAATAAAAGGGCTCGGCCTCTTGTCACGTCTAAATGATGACTGACCTGGAGCTATAGCAAGTATTGATCTGACTTTGACTTGCGTTTGAGCCGAGGCTCAAGCCCGAGCATCAAGGTGAGGCACTAATAAATTAGCACATTTGATACCAGACATGGCCCGTTGCTGCAACTAACATGGAGGTAGCAGGGTAGGCAATAGCAAAACAACTCGTTGGCTGCGAGGCATTGCACAGCACAAGCATATTGCCAATTTCGAGTCGTCAATTAGCAGTGCACACGATTTGCTAGCAAATAAGGCGGGTTGACCGGAAAGTGGGTGACTTGACTGCGGAGGAAATAGAGGCGGCTCCGTATTCCGTACTCCGTACCTGGCCTGTACCTGTACGACGGCAAAAGCATGACCACTACTACAAAATAAGGTAGCACCTGTAAGCATACATGGGCAAGGGCATCACCAGCGATCTAATTAATTACAGATATGTGGTCGCGAGATGGTGGGGTCGGAGCACCAACATGACCTTAGCTTGCTCAGTACCCGCGCCTGTTCCTGTACTCTGTACCTGTTGCATTGGTTCCATGTTGGCGCAGTGGAGTCGAATCCAGGGCAAAAGACGAGGATGCTCGGGTAGACGAGGTGGGGTTTATTGCGTCTGCGGGTAGGTAACGGTACGGGGCGGCAGAGTACTCGATACAGTGAAATTATTGGCAGTTGGTGGACACGTTTCTGAAAGATGATAAGCGATGGCGAGAGATGATGAGACTGGCGATACGAAATATGGAGTACTGTCCTGTACAGGACAGGATAGGAGGGGGGAGGAAGAGAGAGCAGAAAAGACGACGCAAGTTGAAGCCGTTGCCATTGCCAGCAGCATCCCGCGTGAAATTGGGCAGGGCTGCGACCCAGAAAACGCACACGGGTTAAATAATGCAACCGTGACAGTTGATCATCACATCTTCACCTTTGTAGGCCTGGCATCTGCATGCCTTGGCGTATTCGTACCTTGTACTTGAAATTGTAGGGACACATGGGGCATTCGTACATAGGTATGTATGTATGTCCAACATGAGCCAAGGGGGCCGCGTCTAGAGTCGGGACTTGTGCGCTGCGCATTAATAATGGCAACGGTCGAGCACATGTGCGGCAGCGTGCTTGTTGGACCTGTATATTCCCGATTCGATACTGTCGTGTCATCAACACGGGCGCCACCGCCGTCTTTCTCGGCAGCGCCTCGTACCGTACTTTAGACGGCACCGCGCCTTCGTTTAGCCTGCGAACGGCCTCTGTGCATGCCCAATCGCAATGTCTTGAGACTTGTTAGTCGTGCTCGTAGGACTCGTAGGAGCTACGGAACCTTTCCGACATGTTCACCGAGTTGAAAAAACATCAATGTCAAGACGTTCTCGACCGCAGACTACTCATGTTCGGCAAACCAAACCCTTTCCCCCGTTGTGCCTGCAATCTATCAGGTTCTGGCCGGCAAATACGCAGCCCCTTGCCGGCAAAAGTGGCATTGATATCAACTGGTGCTCTGCGGTGCTGGTGTCTAGACTGTCGCAACATGGTGTTAGTTAGTATTACCCGTCGCTGACTGTTATGGAGTGCCGCTTGACACGAGGCGTCAGACTATCAGTCGACGTTTGAGCAGTGGCCCCCAAGCAACAGCACGATGCTCCATAAGCATGTTTTACCGGGTCATGACGATGCAGAGCTGCACCCACCTCCCGCTTCCGCATACAAGCCGTAATAGTCGGCATTCGATCCCATTTGCAAGTCGCCTTGCACAAGCCGGCTGTGATCCGCAGGCAGGCAGGCCTTTAGCAATCTTTCTGGTCGGGGTTTGCTCCTAGTGGCTTAGCATGTCTGTGCCGGCAGCCAATGCGGTCCCGCGGCCACCCCGGTCCATCTCTCAACATGTTTTCCCATCACCGCGGAACCCAGTTACACCACTTCTAGCTTGGGTACTCTGTACCTGTCATCGGCGCTGTGTGTTCCTGTTCGGACTAAAGGTTGTACAAAGACGCAGCCAGTACGAGTACAAAGGCATGGAGCGGTATATCCTGTAAAATTGGTCCCTGAGCAGGGAAAGGGCAGCCGCGTATGCAGCGGCACAGAGTGCGAAACGCTCGTGCTTTTCGCATTGATGAAATGGCCAAAGTTTGTGTGTGCGATGCTCGTATATCATCCATGTACGCGGCACGTGGTCCCGCTGTCCTGGGAGACAGGAGGAGTGCGTCTAAGAGCGCAATCGAGAAGAGAAAGAATAAGAAAAAAAAAAAATTAGTCGTGTAATACTCGTACCAGGGAACTGCGGCCGTCTCTGCCTTGGCCCCCCCTTTTGAGCACATGGTGCACGCCGCAGACTTGCAGCGAGTTTCATCGAGAGACTATACAACTAGTACCTGCACGGAGCGTTCGTAAAGTTCCCGACGACCGGGATCGCTTGTGGCTGAGGGGCGATAGCTGGATAAGATGTCTGATCCAAGATGTAGAATGATGGAGCTGGTCTTGCTGGATCTGGTAGCGCGGGAGATGCTAACAGCACGAAGCCCCTTGCCATGTCTGGAGTAACCCTTTGCGTGCTTTTACTCTTGTTTCGTCCCGCCAGACTTGGTCTTGGTCTTGTAATAGGTAGCTCGCATCAAGGCTTTGTTCGGAGTAGAGCATCATAGCATCGGTATTGCTTTTGCGACAGCGTCCTTGGCGATTGGCACGGCTGGGCCACATCGCTCGTCGCTCATCACCCATCACCCATCACCCATCGCACCCGCATGCCAGACGGCTACTATTGGGTCTCAGGGGTTATCTGAAAGGATCGTCGCGGGGGTTTGGGGTGAAGCTGCAGCAGACCGTCATCGTACTAGTAATCGCCGACAAGAAGAGTGGAGACGGACGGCATCACTCACCGTTGGAGCCCAATACCTACCAGCATCAATCGTCAGCTGTGCTGTGCGCTCGCGTACTCGTACAGGCAGATTTGCTTTGACGCCGCCTGTGTCGACGATGCTGCTGGTAAGCGCACATGTAATTCAACTCATTTCGGGCTCCGTAGAAGGAGTGCGGAGGCTAGAAATTCATCCGCCCCACGCAGAGCAGAGCAAAATGTGGCTCTCGTGAAGCTTGCCAAAATTGTGTCTTGCCCCCATCCCATGGTGCTTGGATATGATCCGTGTAAGTCACGGCCGCCACCTGCTTACCTCGAAGGCACTGTTACCATTCCCATTCCCTCTCTTCCAAGTTTTTTGTTGCTCCCACTCTGTCACTCCGTCTCTCTTTATGCCCCCATCCCGTCTCCGCTTCGGCCCTGTGTGTCCCGGGAGCAGTCGGCGCTGCGATTGAGATTTGATTTGCCTCAGCGGCAGCATGCATGCTTGGAAATGAAGGAGGCGCCTCGTCGATGCTGCTCTGTCGCAGAAGAACAGGCATGCGGGAAATCACGCGCTCAAAACGTACGACGGCAGAGCAAGTGGCCTCTTGGTGCATCATACGAGTATGTTTGTATGCAGTGCAGAAGTGGATTGCGTAGGCCAGTCTGGAGCCGTCCATTGATTGATTCCATGATCTGCGTGTCGTCCCAATCGTCTGTCCCAGCGAGCCAGGGAGCTAGCGAGGGAAAGCGGTAGGGCTCAGTCAATGGATTGCTTCGTACTTGTACCTGTAGGTAGGCGTAGGTGAGGGGCGGGTATTCTGTGCCTAGCTCCCAGGTTTGGGGCTTGGCAGGCTCGCAGGTAATTTGCAGACTGCCAGTTGAGTTCAGTACGGCAAGAGTAGGAATGCCAAAAAAAAAGAAAAGAGAAAAAAGGAACTAGAGGGGGGGAAATGTAATCCTGACTGATGTGCAATTTGATCACTCCTGTATTGCAGCGGCAAGTGGTACCTGCCACTACTAGCAACTTGGCAGAGTGAAGTGAGTACAAGTACGAGATACTTCTCTTGGTACCTTGTGATGTTGTGCCCCTCCAACCATGGATCCTTGTCTCTGGTTCTCGAACAGCGTCAGCAGGATTCTCTCATTTTTCCTTGTCCTTTCCTTTTTTTACCTCTTTTTCCTTTTGGTTGTTTCTTTTTTCACTTAAGCGAGCACCACAACTTGTGCGAGCGTGTGTGGGCAAAGAGACGAGACGCCAATTTGAAATTGCGACTGGCCAAACGGAAGCAAGAGAGATAGATCAGTTCCAGTCCCAACGCTCTTTTGCAGCATTGGGCATCCGGCCCTGCGCTGCCTTTTGCCGGCTAGCAGCAGTGCAGTCAACCCTCATTTGTTGGGCCCTGATGCCTCCAAGGCGGCTCCATGCACTTGGGACAGCAATGACACCAGGTGGCTTGCGCTGGTGCCGTTTGCTAGCACGACTAAAATCGAGAGTCTGCGATCCTAGATGCCGATGTCAGCACGTACAGTTGTTGCCCACCGAGCTGGGGCGGGACAAGGGCGGCGCGCTTGTGGTGCTGCTGGCCTGTGTCTGTGCGGTACCAGTGCATGTACGGACCACTACTGATACAGGGTGTACCTTGCCTACACAGCAAATTGATCTGGAATTGGATGGAGTGGTGCTGTCTTGTCTCATGGCAGCTTGAAGCCCTCATACGCCATCCATGGAAGTGCCCTGGCCTGCAAGATGAAGCGTCCACTCCCTTGTATATTAGTGGTGGTTGAGCTCAGCACCTCCACGTACCGGTAGCTGCGAATCAAATCACCACAAACTCCCTAGTACCTGGCCAGTACTTTAGGCCCTGATGCTAGCAACTGCTAGTGGGCTGCTCGTCCATCGTCCTGTCGGTAGCGTTGTTCCTCGACATGGAAACCGAGATCGCATCGTGGCCATTCGCGGTGCCCATTGGCCAGACTTGCAAGCAGCTTCATTGCAGTGTCCTAGCTGGGCAATTCGCGAGCCTGGTGGGGCTGGTACCGCGCAGGTACCGCCAAAGGTAGCTTGGCACTGCCTGTGCACGCTCAGCCAATCTAGGGTACATGCGGGTACGTTGAGTGTATTCACACCAAGACCACAGGCCAAGATGGGATGCTGTGCCGTACCTGCCCTCGCCTTCAGTTCGATATCCAGATACGATGTGATAAGATATCAATACGAGCAGCAGGCAAATCCATCCGCTGTCACATCTCCTCTCCTCTCCTCTCCCCTCCTCTACATTCCTCCTCCATGCCACCACGAGCTACAAAGTACTACGAGGTAAGCATCAAATCTCCCGTCCTCACTTCTCCTCCTCTCCTCTCCTCTCCCCCGCTAACGCTGCCCCTCCCTCTGGCCGGTTCTCGTCTCGACCCTTGCCTCACACCCCTTGTTCGAGTTGCGGGTGCTCCCAGCCCGGCTCAGCACCTCTGCTCTATTTGACGTACATGCAGCACCATGTTCGACGGGTGGCACAGGAGCTGTCCCGGCAGGCGGATGGCAGAAGCCATCGCATCGTGGCGTGCATGAACAAGACGACAGGCATCACGCAGCGCAAGTATGTACGAGTAGGACCTCAGACACACTCCCTACGCTTATGTGCGAACCACCTCCGGCAGTGCAAGCTGCTACTGTTACTGCACTCCGTACGGAGCAGAGAGCATCAATGCCGTGCAAGTTGGTACAGTACTGTACGCACAGGTAAGACTTGTGCTTGGCCAGCATCATGCGTCACGTTGCCAGAGACCAGCTCCCTTGCCTGGCCCTTGATACCAGGTTCCTGGACCGGTGCTGCCAATGGCAAAGCCGGTCCATGTCTGAATCGCTCCACGTCCTTGTCATCTGTCTCCAGGCCCGCACCCCTGACCCTGCCTTGTCCTGCCCTGCATTCCCTTGGATAGCTTTCTTTTTCTTTGCTGCTCCACCCAGCGCGCCTCTGCTGTCTGTCTGTCTCCGTCCCTCAAGCTCAAGAGCCGCCGCACGGCGCCGCTGCCCGCACACCCCCCCGGGCCACAGTACAGTACATCCATTACTTGTACTTGTTGCCAGTAGAGCCACCCCAGACGGACGAGGCACAGGTAGCAGTACTGCCAGGTACAAGGCCTGGCCGCCTTCAAGCGCCGCCGTGCTCAGTAGCGAGCAATGAGATGAGGGCATCGTCTCACAGCCGATATGACATGTCTGCTCCCACACTGCGGTGCGCCAACCCGGCAATCCCACCCCCAACACGCACCTCGAGACATCGCCTTGCCTGCCTCCCGATCAACGGACGGATAGCCATGGCCGCTGCCCGCATTAGCCCGTCTGCTACTAACACGACTAACAAGACACAAGGGCCTGGCCTGCTCTGCCTCTGCCGCCGCCCCCCAGTCTCTTTTCTAGCGCCATCGACTTGTCACCACAACTTTGTTCCTGAGAGCTAGCACTTGATACTACCAATCTGATTGCCCCCCGACCCGACCAGAAAACCATAATTCAATACATAAATGCCAATGAGCCCCCACACTTTGGCCTCGATCGATCAAACCAAGCCTCTCTCGATTCAATTGTCTTTGAGCCGTCCGTCGGGCCCTTCCCCCCTAGCCAACCCCACGTTGAATTCTCTGGACATATAATACGCCTATCTGCCCGGCCCCAACACCACCATCGTCTCGCTCGCCAACTACCACTCTTATACCCTACCATTACTTGCCATTACTTTTACTCTGCCATCACATTGGACTAGCCATTCACTTGATAACCACTTGTCATATATCTCTGCCTCTCTAGACACTCACCAGCCATGTGCCTCTCACACACTCTTCGTGGCATCCAAGCCCCCATCCTCCCGCTTCTGCCGGAACACCCAGTTCCTTCACAGCCTTCCGCTATGCCTAACGGCATCATTATGTTGGGACCTAAGGTCAGAAAATGTTCTTGGATCCAATAGTCAATGCATCTATGCTAACTTTGAGTAGGTCCCTGGCACAAGATGCCCAACCTGTGCCCTAGATGGCAAGGAGGTCTGGGTTATCCCGGGCCGATGCTGCGGCTATTGCGGTACCCCATGTGACTGAACATCATACTTTATATGCGTGAGTTGAGCATATCACGAGTATCCTAGAGCCAGCCCACTAACTCTCCTTTTCCAGATCGCCAACTACAAAACAAACAAAAACAAAAGAGTCACCTGCTTTCAAGCAGACGGCGTTATTGGAATGGCAGAACACCACAAACCTTTTTTTCTCTTTGATCGAGATATACGCCTTCTCTACTTCAAAATGGGAATATCGACAAATCCTTTATGGGCACCCTTTTTTCAGCTCTCAAGGCACCCGGGTCCGTTGGGGCATTACGTCAAATCGAATCACGGACGAGGTGCAGCTAGCACGAGTGGACGTCATCTTTCCCACCTTTCCTGCTCTCATCCCCCCCCTTTCCTTTGCAGTTGTTGCCTTTATATTGTCTCTTTCCTTTTAAAACAAGAGAGAAAAAAGACGTCATGAGTGGACAGAACGGTCAGTACGGGTTTAGTTCCATGTTCAAAGGGCGGAGTCTGGAAGGCTATGGGAAAACACAAAATTCTGGGCTTTTTTTCTCCTTTGTTTTCTTGCTTTTCTTTTTTGGTTCCTTTTCCTTGTTTTTGGTCTGGGCAAATTATTTTGGTACGAGCACCAGAGCTAGCGAACCCTTGTGCGTGGGTGCTCTGCCTGGGGAATCGGGCGCTTTCTTGATACCAGCATGTTTTATGTGTAAATTAGATGTAGCATGTACACTAATATTTGACGATCTTACGAAACCATTCTTGTCTTGAGATTTTTTTCATTGTGCACCTGGTCTCGTGATGTGTTGGGCACAAGTATGTCAAACATGGAACCGCTTGGACGCGATGAACCAATTGCCCGATACAATTGCTCTTTGTATGCAAGGAGAGCAAAATCACGACGCTGTTTCCAACATGCAAGGATGATGCGTTTCACAGACCTATGGTCGAATGCATCGACGCATGCGCAGAAAAAAAAAAATTTGCACTGACACCCCGTATGACGTGGGGGTTTGGGGGAAGAAGGAGGTGCTGCTGCCGCTTGTACTATGGAAGCCGTGCGAAGTTCCATGCGAGACATGGGCCTCTGGCGCCGGGTATTGAATGACGAATTTCCGGTCATGGAGCTAAAGCTGTCAAGGTGGCATGCTGCACGATGTAATTCGCCAGATGGGCCAGATGCAGCGTGCTCCTTCGGTATCACAGTAAGTAAGGTATGAGGGAGTGTACTTACTACTGTAGGGAGGTAGGTGAATAGGAGGTATGATGCTACCAAGCATTTAGTCAGACATGGAAAATGCTGACCTCTCACATATGGGCAGACTGAGCTGTGCAAAAGAAGCCCAGAAGAAAGGGGAATCGGCGCATCGTTTGCTCTTCTGATACTAGTGGTACCGTCGGAATACACGGGTCTGAATTCCGCATCAAATGAGCCGGCTAATCTGTAGCTGGCGGCATTGCAGACTGGACCGACTCGAAACAGACGGCTGGCAAGATTCATGGGAAGATGACATTTGCGAGGGGGGCCCAGACCCGGGGAGGACACTAAGTGGCTTTTTTTTACTGTGTGTCTAGAAAGCGTAGAGACCAAAGACCGACAGGTCATGTTCCCACCCCAGTCAAATTGACATGTCTTGCCTCTTCTAGGCCGCTACAGGTCGCCCAGGGGCGGCCATCTTGTGACCTCTTGACGAGTTTGAACTGCTGGCGCGCCGGAGACGTCTGATGCGTACAGTAATCACGACACTAACGATTCGTGAGTGTCTGGGCCGGGCCATGAGCTGGGCGCGGTTTGGCGTTGAGGAGAGATGAGGCTGAAGGGGCACACCCAGGACTGACCTCAGCTCGTCGATGACGCTTTGTCTTGCCGCTGCCATGGCCCCTGCCGTTTCGCATCTGGCATTCCCGGATCTCTGGGTCCTGGGAGCCTTCTTGCGAGCAATCGAGGTTCCAACTGTACGGAGCAGCTGTAGGTGCGGCTGTATAAATTGCGTATGCAGATTGACTATGGCTAGCGCTTAGTTTTCCGACCAGCCGGGTCTCAGCTGAGCCGCTGACAGCACTGCCGGGCTGGATTAGCTTTGGTGATGGAGCACTGTTACGTCTCCTGTGCTTGCGTGTGCCTCCGGCGGGATATCGAGGCTGTTTGAGCCATGTGAAGCGGCCATCCCGTACGAGAGCGCCACCGCTGCGGACCTAGTTGATAGCAGTTGTCTCAAAACATGACATCTCTGTCCCCGGGCGACTAACGACCGACCAACCCCCAGCCTAACCCCGAGACAGCCTTGGGATACCCACCAGACAGGCAAGGCAATGAAATGAGGCGAACCTGCAGCAGCCGATCGCTTATGGGGAGAGATCGCATGTTGCTCTACCAATGACCTGCTCCAGCACCCACCCAATTGGGTACTACCGCTACGACTAGCAGCAGCAACAGCAGCAAAGTCTCCGAGACAGGCCACGGCGGGGTAGACGCACGCACTCCTCTTGCTGAATCCGCGGCGGTGACCGCTGTTTTGCAGATATCTCATGACGGATTGGGTGAGTGTGGACAAGGGGAGACGTTTTGGGGAGGGGGCCAACGGGGAATGCAATGCAGGGACCACTGACCGCCAACAGGAGACCCAGTGGTGTGTCTGGTCAATGCTTTTGGTCGCCGCTGGCACCGACAGATAGTCTGGGTCACTGGACCGCACTAGCTGCAGGCCAATATGCCGACGAGATGGAAAATTACCAGCTAGCCGGGTCCTAAGTGCTGCGACAAGGCATGGGTGTTGGATGTAAGGGGGAAAGCTTGGACGTCATGCAAGAGCCGGGTTGGGTGGTTTGTCCTGACGCTGGTCGAGGGCTCGATTTTGGTCCATTGGATTCGAGCCACTGCCTGTTTTCCTTTTTGTTAGTGACGGGTCGATTTACGAGATACTAGTTTCGGGCTTTGAGAGTGGGCTACCGTGAGCTATTCCCCGAAGTGAGATGGCGGCCACAGCCGCAGGTTCCAGAATGTGTGGTGTGTGAATATGAAATCGCTTGTAGATTGTGTGGATTGTGCGTCAAGGAAAAATTCATTTTGGCATTTTTGATGCCGAGAAGCTCTCATCTCTCAGATCTGATTCCTTCTGTCTTGCTGTCATTTCTCACGTGCCTACTCCTTATTAGTCAATGTAACTCGAGCAGGGGTGTGCTGATGCAGTTGCTGCTTAACCAACTCCAAAGAGTGAATTTACCTGTCTATACGGAGTGCGTCTGCATGGATCGGCAAACAAAAGGGAGAAGACAAGAACACGGGACAACCGGGGAATGCAAGGATCCCGGAGAATGAGGATTCGAGTCTTAGTGGCCCGGAAAGTGTGCGTTGGTAAGGCGCTAATGACGAGTGAAAAAGGGATTAAGATTCGACAAAAGGGGTGAAAGCAAGTGATGGCTCGTAATCTCGTGGTGTCAGGTAAAGGTAAAGCTCAAGGATGTCCTGCAGGGTTAATATGTATGAAGAGGAGAATGATGGGTGAAGAAAAGAGATGGAATAAGAATATTAAATGATACGAGAAGGTTGGAAATCATCAAGTGAGTGGTGGGAAGGTGTAGCGGGAAGGTGCAATGTGCTCTTGCCACAAGTTGTAGATTCAATGTTCTGTAGGTGCCTCGGGCAAACTTGGCACTTCGTTGAGACCGGAAATATTCGTAGAGCTTCATTATTTTCTTTTCAGCTTGATCTTTCGACAATATCTACTTTTCTGCTAATAAAGCTTTTTATCTATTTATCTTCATTCTGTTGGGATTATCATATCAACGTTTGCTTATCCAAATTGTAGGTATCCAGGGCTATGGGAGATATAATGCTTACCTAGATCTCTACAATGTTAACGTAAGTGAACGAGCCAGGAATTGGATCGATACACCTCTAATGTACTGAAAAGGTGCGGTGGTATCCAGTAAACAGCAATGTCACATATGACACCTTCCAAGTCCATCTGGATGATGAAGTAGATGGTATCAGAGAAGCCAGTGGCTTAGATTAAGCTGTATCCGGACAGCTCAGCGTTTTTTTTTTTTTTGCAGCAGCTACACTACTCTGTAGCAGAGAGACCCGGGTAGTATACGTCACAATCAACCTCAGCATGATTACACGGAGGCCTTTATCCGTCGGAAACTGCATTAATCAACACGATCAAGGAAGCAAGTTTGTCAAGGGACTGGTATATAGCGGCTATTGACTAACAGCCAATGCAGGAGACATGAGAACGCTACAAGACTCCCCTAATCTTTGGCCAAAGAGATGGATAATGCGGAAGTCAACAATCGCATTGTCTTTGGCGTCATGAATAGCGGACCTGATACGTGTTTTCCCAAAAAGGGTGACTGGACACTTCCTCTCATACAGCTCCAATCACAATGGACAATTTGTGGCCTTACAATCGTCTGGAAAGGGTACATGAGACGACATGTTTGAGAAGATGACGCCGAGTTTGGCTTCTGCTTTGATAGTGAGATCCAGACAGTCTATGACGACTCGTTTCTGTCTCCGTCCACGCGACATTTGTCTCTTAAGGATCCAGAGCTGAAAACGCGACAGTCACGCGGTGGTCGACACATAATGGTGCGTTATGAAGGCTGTACATCTATATATTAAACATAAACTGCTACCAGAGACTGGGCAATCGACCCGGCATGATGCCCTGCTTCCGATGCCATGGAGGTGACAAGGTGGTGAACAGGATGGACAGTAAGTACTTTGACTGATGCTAAAACCTACGTTTGACTATTGGATTCATTGTACTTACTTTTACGTTCTTGGCTGTCCGCTTGGTTCTCATGAAGCCATTGGATGGGCTAGTTGAGAGAGAACGACCGTGTGGGGTGAACACAATATCGGAAGCTTCTCTTGAGCCCATGTTTGGGAATATCGCAGCGCAAGTCACTTTTCCCACGAGTGTCAACATGGTATTGGATGAATGGCATTCACACCACTACCATGTATGGCTTCTACGTCTTGTGCCGTCTCTGTTCTCTGATGCTCAAGTTGCAATATCCTGACATCACCGGGCTAACAGTTGGCCCAAACCCCGCCCCCACCTTCGACCTCGGCCTCTAAGCTTCTCGTAAGCTCTGCGACAGCTCCAAGCCTCCACTTGGAGCTTGACAAGGACGCATACATGAGAGCCCATTTGCTTACGAATTGATTATGCAGGCACTATCCGAGTGCGTGTAGGAGCTTGAACTGCTTGGAAATACGTCAGCACTTGACTGACGTTGCCATGAGCCGTGGATGAAGCAATCAATGATTCGCGACGATTGACAACACCCAACGACACCAATACCAGCATCAAGCACCCAGCCAACAGCATCTTTCCTGGCGGACATTGCAGCCCAACTACAGTACTCACTTGTCCGGCCCGAACCGCGCAGTTTCATGAAGCATCTCTGCCGTCTCTCCTCTACGTCTACGTCTGCCTCTATCGCTGGTCCCCGCAGCAACCTCCACAGCAGCCCCTCCACGTTCAACCCATCCCACCCACAACTCCAGACCTGCTGTCAGCTTCAACCTCTGCTTCAATCTCAACCCAAATCTCAACACCATCGCCATTACCATCGCCAATCCGCAGTAACTGCAGCCCAAACCCGCATCATGTCTACCATGCCCGCTTCCCACGGCCACAGCGCCGCCTGTTGCAACATTCCTCCTATCGTATCCAAGGGATACCAGGCCAAAGGCTCGTATGAGGAAATCGGCGGCTACAAGACGTGTAAGTTTCTCATGATCACTATCCGACGCACATGACCACAGCCCTCCCAGTGAAGAGTCCTTGTCGCTGAGCCCATTTGCCTGTTCTGCTTTTCTAGATGTCACTGGCCCCGCCGACGCTACCAAGGCCATCGTCGTCATCTTCGACATCTTTGGCTACTTTGACCAGACCGTCCAGGGAGCCGACATCCTGGCCTATGGCGATGACCACCACAAGTACAAGGTGTTCATGCCCGACTGGTTCAAGGGCAAGCCTTGCCCTATTGAATAGTAAGTCACCTGAGCAGTTGCATTCTGAAAAAGAACGACTGACCTGACCTCTCCCAGCTACCCTCCTGATACCCCAGAGAAGCAGGAGGCTCTGGGCAAGTTCTTTGGCGAGTTCCCGCCTCCCAAGATTGCCGGCTATGTGCCCGACTATGTGGATGGTGTCAAGGCCCACAGTCCGTCTGTTTCCAAGCTGGCCTTGCTAGGGGTAAGTCTATCAACACACTGCTTGTATCTGTCATGCTGCTTGATACTGATGTTTTTTTGTTGCGAAATAAAAGTACTGCTGGGGCGGTAAAGTTGTTGCTCTCACAGTCAAGGCACCAACAAACGCCTTCGTTGCCGCGGCCTCGGCTCACCCCGCCATGGTCGACCCTGCTGATGCCGAAGGCCTCACCATCCCCTTTGCCCTTCTGGCATCTGGAGATGAGACCCCAGAGGACGTCAAGAAGTTTGAGGAGAATCTCAAGGTGCCCCACCATGTCGAGACGTTTGCCGACCAGATCCACGGCTGGATGGCGGCGCGTTCTGACCTGAACAACGAGCGGGTCAAGGCTGAGTATGAGAGAGGCTACAAGACGCTCTTGGAATTTTTTGGCAAGCACGTGTAAGGGGAGAAGAGTAAAAGTTTGAATCATGTGTAATCGCTACTTGTAAGCAAATGCAAATGAGAATGAGATGAATGAATGAAACCGCAGCAGAAGGTTACCCATCAATGATGCCCCTTTCTGCCTCTTGACGCTGTTGTATAGTGGTACTCTTGTAAGGGACGGATATAATAGCCAAGATTGCAGCGGAGATGCTCACTATAGAACCATACTTATGAAGAATGGTTTATAGAGCTTTTACTTTGCGAATAGTAGGCACACCCAGCCGCCCATGACTGAGACCAATGGGTGATGAGATTCAAGCCATAAAGCATGATAAATCAAGGTTCAAGTAAACCAGGCACCGGATCAAAGCCACTTGCGTCAAAAAGCCCAACAGAACGACGTATACAAAGCAATGTATAAATGAGACTTACCACATACAACCTGTTGAAAGCGTTATACAACGTAGAAAATATACGGCCAGACATCGGTAAGCAGAAGCCCGTGAATCTGCGGCTCTGCGGGCCGGAGCGGGGAAGCGGCAGCTAAGCAAGGTGATTGGCAGTGTTTCACGCTGAGGCCATCTCACTGCATCTCGACTTCTCATGATAAGGTAGGATTCAAATCTGACGTTGCACTCATAAAATTACTCACGTCCAACGTCAAGGCTGGCCACATCTTCGTCCCTTCTGTCCAATTCCCTCTTAATCACTCTCATTTGCTTGATTTATACATATAGAAACGTTTGAAAGGGGCAAAGTCGGGACTGAGATATAGAAACGCAGCCCGCCATGGCTCATCCCAACGTCTTCCTCTGGGCTCTCGACACTCGAAGTCTCTGGCCCGAAGCCAGCAACACCAAGGATCTCCCCAAATACGTACGTCTTTCATCTTCTCATTCCGCCTCGTTATCCTTATATAAACACAAATCAATCGTCATTCTAGCTCATACTAACATACCAAAATCCAGGCCCAGCGCGCCCTCGCCCTGCTCTCCCCAGAGGAACAATCCGCCGTCCTCAAATACTACTTCGTCAAAGACGCAAAGCTCTCCCTCGCATCCGCCCTCCTCAAACGCCTCGCCATCTCCCGCTACTGCCGCATCCCCTTCCGCTCCGCCACCGCCGTGCGCGACGCCCGCACAAAGCCCGTCTTCCTCCTCCCCTCAGGCGAAGAGCCTCTCCTCTTCAACGTCACCCACCAGCACGGCGTCGTCGTCCTCTTCGGCGCCTACAAACCTCCCCCCGGTGTCGCCATCGGCACCGACATCGTCTGCCCCGGCGAGCGCCGCGACCGCGACGTCAAGCACATTCAGACTCAGGGCTGGCCGTCCTTCATCGGCATGCACTCCGAGGTCCTCAGCCCGCTCGAGGTCAGTCGCATGTGCGGCCTTCCCTTTCCCTTGCACCAGCCCCAGAAGCTGCTCGACTACTTCTACGCAAACTGGTGCCTTCGCGAGGCCTACGTCAAGATGACCGGTGAAGCCCTCCTCGCTCCGTGGCTGCACGACCTGGAGATGCGCTACTTTGCTCCGCCGGGAGAAGTACCGCCTGAGGGAGCGGATAAGACGCTCGAGGTGTGGTTCAAGGGTGAGAAGCTGACGGATGTCGATGTTAAGCTGGACTGGGCGCTTGGAAACGAGTACATGATTAGTACGGTGGTGAGGAGGGGAGAGAAGGGAGAGGGATTAGATGTTCCGGAGCCACAGAGTTTGGATTTGGAGGAGACGCTGGCGAGTGCGGAGGCATTGTTGGAGGAGCTGGGCGAGTGAACTTTTGGATGATTGGGTATGTTATGTTTTATGAATCAAGATGGAATACAAGAGAGGTGGAATAGATGAATGCATCATGACAAGATACGGACAGGACAGGGACAAGCGGGATTACAATTACTAAACAAGATGGTTACATTCACTAGATACGAAAGAATCTTTATTTCCTTCTTCTGTTTATGTGATTAACCTGTGCTCTAGATCCGTGCAAGTCTATATATACCTATACGTCTGTTTAACAAGCACAGCTGCTTCCATCGTATAGGAGACACGATATACCGTATCACTTCTTTATTCATCTAAATGATGCTATTTTTATATAACCATGGCCCATTTTACCAGAAACCCTTACTCCTCATGATCTTTCTCCTCCGCCCCCTCAGAAGGCGCCTCTAGTGAAAAGGAAAACACCTTATGCCCTTTCCTGCCAGTCTGTCCCGCTTCCGTACTATTTTCTTTGCTCTTCTCCTTCTCCTTTTCGTCATCCTTCTTCTCTTCATCCTTCTTCTTCTCGTCCTTTGTCGTGTCCACCACGCCGTCCTCCAACTTGCCAATCGTCTTGATTGCCTTGCCGTTCCCGTCTAGGTCAACCACCACGTCTACTGTGTCTAAACTTCCATCCTCAGTATACATCCACAACTCCTTAAACTCTCCGCGCACCAAACTGGTCAGCAGCAAAGACCCAAGCACTCCCGGCACAAGATACAACAACGCCGGCTGTCCATGCTTAAAGATGAGCAGCATGGCCAACGTAACTAGCATCCCCAAAAAGTATCCCACCATGGAGGCGTAAAAGTACGTCTTGGGGAACCTTGACGCGGCAACCTCAGCAGGAAGGGTTTGTGAACTAACAAGGCCAAAAGCTTGACGAGTCCAGATGCGCTCTCCCCAGTTCCCTTTGACATCGACATATGGAGTCTTAACCTCTCTGTGCTTGGTCTCGCTTCGCGTGATGGATTCTCCAGAGCCAGAGTGCTTCTCGATGATCTTCAAGTCAGTAGACTCGTATCTGATCTTCCGATAGTAGTGGATCCAGAGATCAAGTCGAAGTGCCCAGCCAATAACCATTCCAGGAATCACAATATCTCCGAGCCCAAGGATGCTCTTCCTTGACGCTGCCTCGTACGTGAGCTTGATTGGCACGTCAAGAGTCGTGGCCACCGTCACCATATAAGGACTACAAAGAAATTTTTTGTTAGTCTACCGATATGCAAAGGAATTAAAGAAGAGCAACCCACGTATAAAACACCATGAAGATGTCATAGAAGAAGAGACCCCACAACACGAGCGATCCAGTAAGGAAATCCGTCGGCGAAAGAATCAAAAACGACCCATAACACATGCCGTAACCCAGCATATTGGACAGGAATGGCCACGAGGTCGCAAAGTACACAATCGCCGTTACCACAGCCATCAACAGCGCCATCATGTGCGCAAACTTGACGTGCGCTGTCTCTTTGCCCATTCCATGCACAAACATCTCCAGCAGCCAGTGCCTCGTCAGGAGATCCCTCAGGTTCCAAGCCTTTTGCTGCAGCCACGCCACCGGCGTAAAGAAACCCAAGGCGCCAGGAAGCGGATTCGCCTTCCCAGCATCGAGGTTCTCAAGTTCATTGCCCGCGTCGTCGCAAACCGCAACAGTCCTTTTCGCCTGATCAACTCTTCGAAGCTTTCCATCTCTCCCACGCCAGAAACGAGGAAACACAAACGACGTCAGCACTTGGATCCCATGTGCATAAAACGTCAGCAAGCTCACCATAGACATGGTGGTCATGTACGAGCGAAGAATCTTGTTAATGATTGCTGGGTCCTGGAGCCACTGGATAAGATAGTAAAGCCCAACAAGAACACAGGCAGCCATGATGGGAAACAGGATGGCATCAGAGAGCTCCAGTCCCTGGCTAAACGTCTCGTCGTCCTGCTTCCGGCGTTTCTTGTCCTTTGAGACAGCCGCAGATGGTGGACGGCGTAGAGAGCCATGAGCTCCGAGATAGATGATTCCCATGGCGCCGCTGACGATCTTCAACTCTAGCAGGAGGAAGCTCACATCTTGCAGGGTATCGAATATTGAAGTAGGAGAGGCGGCAGACGCTGTGGTATTTAATGTGACGTTGAGGCCGTCCAAACCCTCCATGAGGGTGACATTGGTGGCAGCCATTGTTTATGTGTCAGATGCAGCTGTTGTATAAAGATCAGAATGCCGGCTGCTGAAGATCTTTCGTGGACATGCCCCAGCAGGCGAAACGTGGTCTGAACTCGACAAGGCTGCTTATGACGTTGGCCGCAGCAGGCAGAACATTTCAGGTGCTAGATGGTGTGACACGTTGAATCGATCTAGTCCAATGCAGTTGGGGGGAAAAAGGGGAAAAAAGTGTGAGAAGGAATGGCTGTGAGTTGTGCTGGCACAGAAATGAAAATGAGAGTGAAGCAAGAGCTCCAAATCTTGTCCTCTATAAAACATCAATTCAATAGAAGAGTCCACCTAGACAGCTGATCATGAAAATACAGTGGGTTTCAGAAGAGACGCCACTAATCGGCCATCGCTGCAGCGCCCAGACAAGGCAGCCAATAGCGCGCCACGATAGCGATAACACACCAAGCTTGCCAACACCAAGCATCGCAGCCTCGTCCCGCAGTGACAACCAACATTCAATTCTCCATATCCCAACTTTTCAATCCTACAATCAACGCCTCTGAAAAGGCCAATCTCGCCAACCATGACTACAAACGTCGTTCTAGAAACCTCAATGGTAAATCCTCCCTTTCTCAATCCCTCTTTACTTCAAACAATCTTCCCAAACCAAAGTCAAAAAAAAATTACAGCTACTAATTCTCAATCAAAAAGGGCTCCATCACCCTCGAGCTCTACACATCCCACGCCCCCAAAACCTGCAAGAACTTCGCCACCCTCGTCTCCCGCGGCTACTACGCATCCACAATCTTCCACCGCGTCATCCCCGACTTCATGGTCCAGGGCGGCGACCCCACCGGCACCGGCCGCGGCGGCTCCTCCATCTACGGCGACAAGTTCGAGGACGAGATCGACCCGGCCCTCAAACACTCCGGCGCGGGCATCCTCAGCATGGCAAACGCCGGCCCGAACACGAACGGATCGCAGTTCTTCATTACGCTTGCGCCGACGCCTTGGCTTGATGGGAAGCACACTATTTTTGGGAGGGTCAAGAGCGGGCTTGGGGTGGTGAAGAGGATGGGCATGGTGCCGACGGGGCCGGAGGATAGGCCGGTTGAGGAGGTTATGATTTTCAAGGCGAGGGTGGTGGAGGATGAGGAGGAGATTTGATTTTGTCAAGCTTTGAGGGGACTTTTGTTGAATGTTTGGTCAAGTTGGAAGTGACATTGTGAAAAGGAAACACGGATACAATAATGTGGACGCATTTGACGCGCCTTTTACATATTCCAGGTGTATTCAAGCGCCTTTGTATATAGCTTGTGGATTGGCATAGACGGCACGGCATGGCGTTTCGTTATTCTTACTATTATAATATTGGGAGATTTATTCGCCCTTTTTTGTCAACCACGCGTCAAGAGCAAAACAGGATGATAATGGCGTAATATGAAGAACATTTCACACAAGAGTAGATGGCACAATGAAGCTAGATAAGAAAGAATAAGAAGAAATCTTCTCCTTGCTTTATACATATAGATTTCATTAACCTAAAGCAAAAGAATGAATGAAAGTCAAGATGCAAAGATTCGTTTTCCACCCAACGCCAAAGTCCCGTTTTTTCCTCGGGATGCTGGTTGTATCATCGTCTTTATGTAAAAGCCAGTCAGCCAGCCCAATAGCCAACCTGTCCCAGAGCTGCAAAATAAAAGAAAAGCAACTGCAAAGCAAGCAGCTCTGGGGATTCATTTTTCCGTTTTTCATCTTCCTCTCTTGTATCTCTGAAAGAAAAGAAAGAAATGGTAGTAGTACAGTATCCATGGATATCAAAACTCCAAAGTCCCTCTGCTTCGAGTCTATCCCGTATCCAATTAGCCAGTAGTAGTCACGCAGAGAGCAGACGCGTGCATGGTTTCCATATTTGCTTGATCCTCTTTTCCACTTAATGGCGAGGTGGTGAAGAGAGCGTTCCCGACGACTCAGACTCCCCATCGATATCTCGACCATTCTTCGACATGGGCGAGCTCATGGCCGGCTTGGTGACCTTGAGTTTCTTAATCGGGCTCTCGTTCTTGGACTTGATCTTATTCAGCACCTTGGGCGAAGGCACGTCGTATTCAGCCTTTTGTTCCTGGCTCAACGAGCTGCTCTTGATCTTGTCCTTCTTCAAAGAGGGTTTCGTCTTAATAATGACCTTCTTCGTCTGGGTGTGCTTAATCTTCTTCTTCTTGTGGCTGCTGGTTTCCGAGTCGTCGTCGTCATCGCTCACGTCTCGCTTCCTAGGGCTCTGAGCCCGAGATGTCGGCGTAGGAGTAGCCTTCTGAGAAGGAGGAGGCGTCGGTTCGTTCTGGGAACCGCTGCCATTCATCCTCTGAGCGGCTGCTCGACTGGCGTTGCGACCACTGTTGCCAATGCAAGACCCCATGTGATTATTCAGCCGTGTAACCAGGATGCATCTCTTGCATTTGCTGCACGTTGCAGAAGGGAACGAGAGAACATTGGGAGGCCGCTGCTCGGGGGCATCCGATCCATCCTTCTTGTCCATGTCTTTCTTCTTCTTGCCCCTTCCTGGGCCTGGTCCAACCCAGCTCTGGCCGTAGATGTCGCACCCGGGCTTCTCGATGAAGGGGTGTTTCTTGCAGTAGACAATCGTAGGGTCGGGCTTTCGGGCGCCTTTGCCATCGGTAGGATAGAGCAGTCGCGGTAGATGGCATCGGGGACACAGGATATCCGCCGTTGTCTTAAGAGGGTTACCCTTTAGGAGCACCTTGCCGTCCTCGTAGATGGCAGCATCCGTTTCGATTCGCACGTCGGGAGCTGAGTCGGGGGTCGAGCTCTCTGAGGCGTCCGAGGCCAGCTTCTCCACTCGAATGGCAGCGGTTGTCGCCCTCGCCGTCTTCTCCTCTCGATGCGTCTTCATCAACAGGTCCGACACGATGTTGTATAGCATGTCATCGAGCACCGAATGCGCCTATAGCGACGAGACAGGTCATTGTCAGCAGCCGCATCTCGCCAAAGAGAGCATTTCAAGACTGATTGGCGATGCACGCATGCAGCAGACTGGTCCTCGTCCACGATAGACGAGGCAGCGGCAAATCGCAACAACAGCGTCTAGGCTCTAGGACCCAGCCTAAGTGGTGTCTTGCAGGCCAAGGGTGGGAAGATGGGAATTGCATCAGTGTCGACAACTTACCAGTTTATCCATGCTGCCAGCATCATCCCGGGCACGGATGATGCCCGCCCGACCCGAGGCTGAATTCATGATGTGCCGCAGTAAGCCCTGGATAGGGAAGGAAGGGGTTTAAAAAAAAAAAATAAGGATCCAAGAGCTGAGGTGTGTGTGTGTGAGTGTTCGGCTCTGTGCAACTTGGCGTCGTGTGATGGATGACCGAGCAATGCCGGGCGGAAAAGGCGGTCCCGGTTCTCGCCCCCGGTTGATCTGACGGAAAGGCTAAACAGAGGCAAATAGAAGGATGGATGATGGCTCAGGTTTGGAATCCGAACGCTGCTAGTAGTAGCATCAAAAGTACTTGGTAGTGGTGCGCCGCCTGCGGTTCTTTCGTCACTTTGCACTAAGCATTCCGCTGAGTAACTCTGGGGGGTTGGGCTGGGGTGAGCGAGAAGTGAAGGGCGATCTTTTTTTTTTTTTTTTTTGTATGTGCTGTGTGTTTTCACTCCAAGCGCTGATTTCTCCGGAGCGATGGAAATAAAGCGATGGTTGGGAATTTGATGGCCGCTCTCGTCACGCTCCTCTCGGCTTGGCGACTTGGCTCTAATTGCAGTGGCTACTGTACGAGTACGCAGAGGGAGATGAGAAGCGATGCTCTGCTGGCGCAGGGCCGTGGGGGAAAAGGTGGATTAGAAACAGAATGGAGTGTAAAAAAGGGCGATTGAGCGCAGAATCGGAGTTTTGGGTTTAGGAATCAATGCACCCCCCCAGCTGCCTGCCTGCTGACTGACTCTTCAGTGGCTGCTGTTGAGTGCATGTGCTCGTGCTGTGCGCAAAGTGATGCCGGCATGCCGCTAAGGCGCCTGTTGGTGCTCCGTAATTGCGGGATCCCCCCGTGTCATTTTAGGCTTTTAGGGGACGAGATGGGCTTGCGTGCAGCTCTCCAGCGGCTGGTTACCGCTGAGTTACAGCGCGCACAGGCCCCTACTGTACAGTTCGGCTGTACTCAGTACCTGGTGGCACTCCGTACTCCGAACATCCATGGATCTCCGTGCCTGATGATACTTTCCAGCCCATCCCTTACATACATGTACAGCAACGACATCCGCGATGAGACGCCCCAATCCGGCGCCCAGAACTGCACATGTAGATTTCCCAGATTGCAGATTGCATCCCCCCTGACTAGCCATGCGATGCGCGCCCAGCATCCCGCCCACGTCCCCTGACCCAGCGGAACATTTGCAGCCTTATCGCTGATAAGCACCCGCTGGGCAAAAAATGGCCCTTCCGGCGAGCGCCGTTTGCAAGCGGCCTAGTAGATCCGTCCAGCCAAAAGATAGCACCCCCTGAACGAACGCGAGACATTGAACCTAAACTGAACCCAGAAAAAAAAAAAAGAGACCAAAGCCAATCGTAAACCTTCACATCCGTTCTACACTTCTATCTTCGTATTTACATTTTTGCGGCACTTCTCCGGAGAACGTGGCTCCCTTGACCTTTTGATTCAAATACATTCTTTACTGACTCGTTTTTATAACTGTTGGCTTCGCTCTCCAACTTTCTTTCTCTCTTGCATTTACATCTTGTTTTAACTTCTTAATTCCGGCTCATCCAGCCCATCTTTCTTCATCATGTCACTCCCTACCACCGCCGGCAAGCCCTCGCAAACATCCATCCGATCCTTCTTCCAAGCCAAACCACCACAATACGCTCCGCCGCCTTCAAGCAAAAGCAACAACTCATCCATCCCCCTCGCCCCAGTCCCTCCTCCATCTCAATCGCAATCTCAATCCCAAACCTCCGAGTCCGCCCCGCCTCCGGATTCTACTTCCCCACACTCCGCCGCGCCGCCATCGCGATCCTCAGATCGAAACCAAGAAGCACAAGAGCTGAACAATCATCAAGCCTCCTCCTCAAGTCACCCCCGACTTCCCCTCGAAGCCTCCATCCGCCCCATCACCACCGCAGACGTCAACGCCCTCCGCCGCCTCAACGCCCTGCTGCTCCCCGTCAGCTACCCCGAGACCTTCTACAACCGCGCCGCCGACCCCGTCACAGGCCGCTTCTCGCGTGTAATCTGCTGGGCGCACAAGGGCGACGACCAGCCCAAGCCCGTCGGCGGCATCGTCTGCCGCGTCGAGCCCGACGTCGACGTGCGTGCCGCCGGCTCCCAGACCGTCCAGAACATCTACATCCAATCACTATGCCTACTGTCACCATACCGCTCCCTGGGCCTCATCGCTGCCGCCCTTGACGACATCATCGCCTCTGCCGTCACCGACCCGACCCTCGACGTCCGAACCCTCACAGCCCACGTCTGGACCGAGAACGAAGAAGGCCTGCACTGGTACGAGGCCCGCGGCTTCCAGAAGCAAGAGCCCGCCATCAGGGGCTACTACATCAAGCTGCGCCCCGACTCAGCCTGGCTCGTGTCCAAACCAGTCAGCGCCTCCGTCCTCGGCTCTCTCCCCTCCTCGGCACCTCCGCTGTCTCGCCCCGACATATCCAGCACCACCGCGGCCGTGCTGAGCCTACCGCCCATGGCGAACCAGCCCCCCGTCAGGCCACCTGCCAGAGTAGCATCCGGCAAGTCGTTCCAGAACCAGCGGCCCGAGACGGAGTGGAATGATCTCCCTGCAGACATGGCGCCGTCTCTGCTTGGACCGCCGAAGAACGGCAGCGAGCCGGGATCCGGCGCGAGCTCGAGGAGCAGCTCCACCGTAAGAAGGAAGAAAGATAGATCATACCCAGCCGCGGCGTTTGGACAGTGAAGCGCATCATACAGTATAGAATTGCTAGGAAAATCATCCATTCTCTAGCTGCAATTGAGCCAGAGATAGAAGGAGATGAAACAAAACCCAGAAAAAAGAAGAAACAAAACTCAAGGACATTGGAAAAATAGACATCAATCTTTGAAAGAATCTTTAATGATTATCGTAGAATCTTTAATTACAACTAGCTACTATCCACCCCTTCCTTCATATTCATATATAGGACATCGTCCAGTCGACGAAAACCAAGACAAGCTTTAAATCCAAAGACAAAAAGACCTGCTCTCTCCATATCATGCATGACATCGTACAAAATCGTCCCAACAAGGAATCTTGATATACAGAAAACTTTTCGTGTCCCCAAGTGCAAAAGACGCCTCCTTTGGATATTCCCCTGAAAGATTGAAAAAGACCCAAATCATGAAACAACCCAAATGACAACACCAGCTCAACACCGGTTTCTCCTCTTAATTCCTGCTGTATCTGCTGTACAAAAATGCGGCAAGTGCTCCAACTCCAACGCCGGCGGCAACCAAGACTGGGAAGGACAACAATGATGATTCTTCGACTGTAAAAAATATGTTAGCTAAAATGCAAGAAAGTAGATGAGTAGAGAGGGGGGAGATGCAAAGAAGGGAGAATGCAAAGAGGACGAAAGATGGTAAAATCTCTCGAGAAGGTCACATACCAGGAGACTCGAAAGGCTGAGAAAGGCGGCGCTTGATATCTCGTCGTAGGTCAGCAAGGAAGTCTCCAGGCTTCTCCATCTTCTGCGCCATCAGAGCGATCAGAGCGGCGCCAACACCGCTGCCGTCCTTGGCGATACCGATACGGATCTTGTCGGCGCCGCTGGGGCCGATGCCGTCAATGGCGCGCAGGGCCTCGTAGATCATATCCCGGAAGAAGGGGTAGTGCTCTACCAAGCTACCGTCCACGCCAATGTCGACAATCTCCTCGGCGGGATCATTCAGTTTTCCTGACTGGAGAACAATGGCGCCAATGGCGACAGCTGAGAGCCTAGCAGCTCTGCGGACAACAGCGCCGGCGACAGCCTTGAATGCCTGCGCATCCTCTAGTGAGGGGGTGTACACCTGGAGCGTGTTCTCTAGTTCTTGTCGGATGGCCACCAGCTCGGGGGTGTTGTCGGCAGCAGCCACGGACAGGACGGCAGTGTCCAGTCCCCACTGGAACAGGAGGCCAGACTTGGGGCTGAGGTTCGTTGTGGTCGACCAGTCATTGGTGCTAGAGTTTGTGTCGCGGAAGAGGGACGTCTCGTCATCCTTCATCATGTCGGCAACCGCTAGTCGCACAATCTCACCCAGGAACATGCCGGATACACGCTTTTCGTACATCTGGATGCCGGGGTTAACACTGTCTCGATCTAGCGCGGTATCCCAAACGGTGGTAGGGAGAACATTGAGCTGGTTATCGAATGAACCCCACTCAGTGTTGATGACCATTTCACCAGTTGAGGCGTCGTATTCGCCCTTGATGGGCTTGGTAATGTTTGAAGTCTTCTCGATGTAGGCGCCGTTGGTTCCAGTGCCAAAGATGGCGCCGAGAAGAGAGCGGTGCTTTCCTGTTGATGTGTACGAACGCGCCATGAGGGTTCCTACGGTATCATTGACCAAAGCAGCCACCTTGACGGGGAGATGAAGTCGGTCAATCTCATCTTGGAGAAGCTTGCAGACATCCTTGCCAATTGCGTCCGGAATGTCAAAGCCCTTGGTCCACCGGATGAGATTGCCCTTGTTGATGCCGAGCTGCTGTACGGGGAAGCTGAATGTGAAGCCGAGGCGGAAAATCTGCTCGTCGTGGTAGCCCTCAGGGAAGCTAGTCGTGTTGCGACGGGAGGTGGCACTCTCAAAGTGCTCTCTGTGGTGCTCTCGGAGGAAGAGCTCAATTTGCTTAGCCAAGAAAGCGAAAAGATCTCTCGCCGTCTTGGCTACCATGAGATTCTTGGGAATGGCGACCTTGTTGTAGGTCAGGTTGAAGGTGCTGTCGCCGTTTAGCGTAACGGAGCAAACGCGAAAGTTGGTGCCGCCCAAGTCAACAGCTAGGTAAATGCCCTGCAAAAATAAAAATAAAAAATCAATTGGTCAGTTGTGCCGTCCGTCAGCGAACTTCTAGAGTTACGGGGACAACTCACTCGCTCTGTGCCGTCTGGTACAGCAGTTACGTAGGAGGGAATCTGACTGAGACTGGTTCCATCTACTTTTAATCCCTCGTCTACAATGACGTTAGTGGTGAGCACATGCATGAGCGGCGACCAATGCGCCCGAGGGAATTGGCGCCGAGCTTACTGGTCTGCTTCAAATATTCTTGGACATGGCGATTGAGGTCCTCGTCCGAGAACTCGAACTCGGACACAACCCTGCTGGTGTGCTCTGCTAGGCCCATTGTGAGGACTCGCGACGTTGGGGGTGAGAATGCGAAAGGTGGTAGCGGACAGATGAGCTCGTCGTGGACAGTGAGTTGTGAGGTCAAGGAAGAGAGAGGCCACAGAACTCTGGGATGGAGATGAAGGAGGGAGAGAAGTTGGCAGGCCCACGGTAGCTGAAGAATGGCAGTTTGTATGTTGGCGTCATGGAGCGCGAGCTGGGCAAGCTAGTTGTTATAAACATTAGCGAACCGGCCACAATCGTCAGTGCCTTATACTTTTCTCGTGATTCCGTGGATGCGCATTTACGCAGCGAGCATGGATAGCACAGGGA